TACTTTTCCATATAATATTGATGCTTATCACCAACTGGCTAAGAGGGGGAAAACCCCAGGGTTCGGAGAAGACAAAATGACGACATTTTCATTTAACCCCATATTTCGTTTTTGATGCTCGTGGAAATGAAATATTTACATCAATAGATAATACCTGAAATGTAACATCAATAAAGATAACATATTGTTTTGGCTTATGAATATACTTAGGGAGCATCTCAAAAGTACAATGTAGGATTATTAACTGCATTTGCACAGTTAATCTGTGACCCCTCCTCCCCCTCATAACTGTGTTTGAGAAATGCTGATATGCGTTGTTTCGAAAATCACACTGTATCTAACATAACATGTAATATTACCATTTCCACTATTAAAATGAATGTGTATTTCTGTACATTATTAGCAGTAGGTTTAATACTCGACAAGTTTATCGTGACTTGTGAATTCAGTATCACTGTTGAAAACAAATTAATATCAGCTCAATTTTTGTATAATTTTACTTTTGTTGTGTACATGTTTTTTTCGTGCACTGGACAAAAAGAGCATGCACTAAAAAAAATTCCGGGAACGATGTCGGAACGCTAACTTTTAAGGCCAATAACCCCCTCCCTCCCTAACTGTACAAATGCAGTTAATTTTCCGATATCAATCTTTTGGAATGCTCCCTTATTTTTGGTTAGAATATTACCGAAGCAACCTGAAATAAAAAAAATTGTAATTGTAATTGTAATTCAATCCAGATCTGTTTTCATGTACTCTCTATGAAATTAATTCAATATTCGAGTACGCTATATGAAACATAGTACTTTTGCCTCATAGTATAGTTCAATGATTGATGAGCAGAAATTATGATCAAGCCACGCTACAAAGAAAGCTAGTGTACGTTTTAATGTTTGATCTCGTAGCATGTAAGATACTGATAAACCCCTGTGTATATTATTGCTGCTAATTACTCCTGTGACACATATGTCAACGTTATAGTTCATTTGCACAGATATTTCTTATAATCTATATCATTTTTTGCCATTATCTATACTACAGGGTGGTCCAAAAAAGTGAACCCCTGCAACAGGCTATATTTTCCTTAATACTCGCATGAATTGCTTCATATTATCACATGTTGTACAGAAAGTCTAAAAAATTTTATGATATGCCTTTCAGGAATCAAAAAAGAATAATTCACCTTTCAAACGATTTAATGTTTAATTGATCAAAATATATATCTTGTTGGTACGAAATTCTGCCTGTCCACACTTTTTTTGCATAAATATAAGCATTGTTATATTATGACGTCATCACACAGAATCTGTTTGTCTTTTCCAAAATGGTGAATTTAAATATTGTGAAAATTTGAGAAAGATCCGTTAAGAAATGAAAAAGTTATCTTCATTTTTCGTTTAAAATTAAAATCATTTTTCTTCAAAATGTTACAGTCCACACCCCGTTTTAGCATAATACGGCTTGCGTGATTCTCATTTAAAAAGTCCCGAGTCAGTTATTTGGAATTCTGATAGGTAAAATATTTCATGGACATATGTTTTCAACTGATGACGAAAAATTGTAGAAAAATATGATTTTGCTGTCGAGATATTGCGGTTTTAAAAGTAAGTACGCATAAAAAAATGCAGTAAAATGCCGCGATGTACAGTATCTGACGTCGTATCTATTTAGTCTTATTTGTATCAAAAAGTATTTATTTCATCATTTAATTCATTGAATTACTTGCAGATAATTATAATGTTTTTTTTTATTTGAAAATGTGTAAGTCAATTATTCACAACTCAAAGGAAATGTTTTAATTTAAAGATAATATTGCCTGTAACTTGAGGTGGAACATTACTTAGCCAAATTATAAACATTCCTTTTGTGTCACTCATCACTAGCGGATCTAGGGGGTGGCGCCCTACAATGATTACGGTACTGTATATGACATGTCAGATACTCCCATATAAGGCTATCAGAAGACCCTTTACAATCTTACTATAATAATTGGGTTTTATCACACCCACATACAGTGGGATGCAGTACAGTAGTCATTTTGAGCATGGTCGTGATGACTTAACGTTTTTGTCATCCCGATTCTCCGATTCCAGGAAAACAGCCTATCGGATTTATTAGATACAAGTGCTAGCCGATATCAAGTTCTACAGTTTTTGGTCCTCTGATTCTCTTTAATTTTTTACTGATGTTATTCTGGAATCAAGCTTAATAACCTTTGTTAGGCCATTTTGGATTCTGGTGGCCATTTTTGATTTAAATCGTATACGAGGATGGCAATGCTTAATTGTGACAGTCATCTTGTCATTAAATTCCAGAAAAGTTGATAAATTGTACACATACATAACTATAAATTATATATTTTTCATAATGACAGAGAGAGACTCATTTTTATCGTACCTAAAAGGTACATTGTTGTTGGTGGGTGGCTGGGTGGGAGGGCGGGCGGTGGCCAGTGGCCTCTGGCCAGTGGCGTCACACTTTTCTTGATTATTAAAGTACTTTGTCACTTAACGAATGGCAAGGTCGTCTTTGGAATAAAATCAATGGTACCAATCGAATGCTTGTTCAAAAACTGTTCCTAGTATATACATTTTATAGAGCGATCTAGAGCTCCAAATAAAAAGCGCATTGTCTCTGCCATCTTCGGAAATTGTTTCGGATTTGTGCGTCAGCCTTCGTATTGCTTGCATACAACTGAAAATCACAATTCTGAAACCTGAATCTACAGGGTGGTCCAAAAAAGTGAACCCCTGCAACGGGCCATATTTCCCTTATTACCTTCAGGAATCCTTCCATATTTTCACATGTTGTAGAGGAAGGTCTTAAATTTTTGTTGGCACCATACATTTTTCTTAGTCTTGCAATTTGCAGAACTTTTAAGCCCTAACCAAATGTTACTGAAAATGGATAAAATGTTATTTTCAACATCCACAATTCTTCAACCCTTCAACACCCTTCCACTTACAATTTTTGAGCTGCAGTCTTAAAGAACTAATATATTTTGACTTTGTTATGTTTTGAATCACGCACATTATGGCGTAAAAACTAGCATCCTACCTCTGATAGTTGCAAAGATATTGTGATCCAAAGAAATGTTCTAAGTTTCCATAGATGAAAATTTTTCCCAGTGAAATCGCAACATACCCCGATATGATCTTGAAATGTCAATATCTTCATTAATCAAGGACCAATTCTAATGAATTATGGCTCAAAACATTGAATATTAGATTTTCCTTTGATTTTCTAAAGATATTTGATGAAGGGCTTCTCAGATTCCTGGTCACAGGGGGCAAATTTGCCCCCCTCTAACCATTTGTGTGGGTAACATGGCCCTTAACTGTTGAACATTTAAAACTGCATCAAAATGATGAATGAACGTGTGAAATGTGTTTTCTGCTCAAAAAGTATCCCTTTTGTCATATGGTAGGTTTTTAAACTTGTATCTCTAACTGAAAGCTGTTTTAAGAATAACTTAAGTGTTTCAACAATTTCCATTGGTAAAATTCTGCACAATCCAATTTTCAGGCATGTTTGTTTAAGTCTTGTAATTTCTTCAAAATTGTTACTACAACTTTGGATATTTCAGTGCTACAAATTGAAATTCTATTTTGATATTTGGAGTCTGAATTAAAATATCTATCTTATGTAAAAGATGAATGAAACACCCTTCGTTTGTTAAGACTGATACAAATCAATGATTTCATATTTACAATTCTAAACCAAGTTACGTACCTTGACGAATTTAGATGGCTTCTAAAATATTTTAATCAGAACCAGTGGCTGTGACTAGGGCTATCTAATCCATCCATTATATCATATCTAACATTAATTCTAAATATTATTAACTCAAATGTTTAAAAGCAAATATAATAGACCATGCTGCTATAAATAACATCGTGTCTGGTTATTAAACCAATATTAGCATATCAAATGGATGACAATAACGAATACGTAGTGCCAGATTCTATAGCTCTGAAAAGCTAAGTTTTTATTCAGAGATTTATGTAGTAGCTAGATATCCAGTTGTAATAAATTACCGATTGGATTTCTAAAAAACAGTATCAATTAGCATCAAAGGAAAATACAATTTAAAATGATTTTATTCTTTAATACTTATATTTATTTACTCTAAGAACGATCCATTTATACTTAAAGTTTGAATTAAGCTAGAGATCATTTTTTGCTTTGAAATAGCCATAGATGATTTACGCAATTCACAAATTAAGACCGGTGTGAAAGAAATGATGGTCCCCCAGGGATTATGGTCCCCTTTCTTAACGGCCCTTACTGGCCCTGATTGCGTATAAGATAATGAGGGAAAGAGTTGTATTTAGGTCACCATATAAATCAATGGAGAGTAGGACCATAATTTGATAGGACCTCCTACCCTTTTACACCGGAACACACCGACAAAGGTAAAGTCAGATGGTTGCGATCGCACCCCCTCCCGATAACTAATTAAAAATAATTAAAAAAATACCATGAAAAACAAAGAGAAAGGAGCTTTAAAACGCTTTTCATTGGAAGCTTCCAGTTCAATTTTGAAGGAAGTTGCATCAATTTATCAATTTTTGTGAAATTCAATTTTTTGACGATCGCACCCCCCTGAGCTGGCTATGCTCCTGCACCATAGCCCGTTGTCACATATTACCATGTAACGACGTTGTCTTTATTAATTACATCAAATCCAGATTCCGTTCTCATTGACGATATGGAAGACGGTGTATTGTAGCGATTAATGGATCGAAATTGGGATTTCATATAATACCCCATCACAAAAGCTTAATACCACAGGACAGGATTAGCAGCGATAAGGTCCTATGTAACGAGAACCAAGTGATTAAAGAGTTGAAGAGACGATTACGTCAACCATTTGTGACAACGGTATCTGGCTTAAACGTTGTCAGGGTGTTCCTATGTAACTTAGGCTGTGCGAATTCGATTCGAATCTCAAAACTGCTAAAATTGGTCACTTCATAAATGTTTTCTTCTATTTTCAGGTGCGACCTTTCACGTTGATTATTCTGGCTTTAAGGGGGCCTTAACAAAATGGCAGAATTACCCCGAAACACTAGATACTCCAAGTGTCGTCAATGATGCGGATCTTGATGATCTATATGCAAGACAGATTTTGTCAAGCTTTGTCAAGCGGTATAGTCAGGATGAAATAAACAGGTAGATAGATCATCGATCGTGTATTTTTCATTCTAGATTTTAGGTAGTATCTAACTTTGTTTCTTTCATTTCAACACCAAAGTGGAGTGGATTAACTTTTGACAAGGAGAATTTAACTCGAGTATTTATTGATGGAAAGTCAAATTAGAAAAAGAACATTCAACAGATATCAAGAATAACGGCATTCTCTATAAAGTAAAAGACATCATAAATCATGACTGTAAACTAATATAGTATATCATTCATTAATGTTCTCAAATTAAGGTGCCATGGAAGATAACAGGAAATGACGAAACAGGAAGTGACAAAAAATTTTGCATTTTTAGACATTTTATGAACAAAGATAACAGAGTTCTGGTTTGACCTCCAGTCAATTTAACTATTTCCACATATCATTTACATGACCAGGATCACAATGTGCATGGTCAGAATGACCCTAAACATGATGAAATAACCTTTTTAGCCCTTTGAAAATGTGACTGAAAAATAGCTAAAAGTAGGAGCGTAGGAAAGGTCACTGAACAGAATCTTTTGAATTTTTCAGAAAATGTGCCCAATATAATGCTCTAACTGATACAATCTTTGAAATTTTAGAAAATTGTCTTAAACAAAAATGGTGGTCATAAAAAGGAAAATAGATCGCTTTTCAAATCAGTTTTTTTCATTTTTTTTCTTTTTCTATGAATGATATCAAATTTTCAAAGATTGTATCATTTAGAGCAATATATTGAGCACATTTTCTGAAAAATTCTGTTCAGCTACCTTCCCTACGCTCCTACTTTTAGCTATTTTTCAGTCACATTTTCAAAGGGCTAAAAATGTTATTTCATCATGTTTAGGGTCATTCTGACCATGAACATTGTGATGCTGGTCATGTAAATGATATGTGGAAATAGTTAAATTGACTGGAGGTCAAACCAGAACTCTGTTATCTTTGTTCAAAAAATGTCTAAAAATGCAAAAAAATTGTCACTTCCTGTTTTGTCATTTCCTGTTAACTTCCATAGCACCTTAACTATTGCAATAGTATTTGGGGTCATGTTAAAATAATACACCTACACCAATACATCTTATTCAAAAGATTAATTTCCTATTATCTTAACATAATTATACAATTATTCAAAAGCTCCCAGCCAACAACGGTTTATGAGACACTGTCCATCTCAAGCCCAGTATACACTAATGGGGCAAGTTGGGACCTCCATACACTTAACAGTACACTGCGTGGGACCTCTTGGGATTTTGCTCTATGATCTGATGATACTCCGTCGGATTTCGACCCATCTTGCCTCATCGAGTCCCATGAGATCCCACATGGGACTCCGTGGGATTCGATGGGGCAAAATCCTACGGAGTTCCATCTTGCCCCTTTGAAAAAGAACATGTTTATTCTTTCCATGGGGCAACACGGGACTTTTAAGGTGGGATTAGATGGGGCAAGATGGGACTCGATGGGGCAAGTGGGATTTTGCCCCATTGGTGTATACCAGTCTTTCAGAAACATTGCTTTATATATATTTTTTAAAGATTATTTCAAAATTGACCAACATGGCTATGGCACAAGATCAACACACTAAATTGTATTTGATGGATGTAACATGTTAAGATTGGAATAATCATAAGCTTTTCTGAAGTTTTATGACCCCTAAGCAGTCTAATATATCTACCTGTCCTACTTTTAACATTCATGAAAAAATACGAAAATACACAATTGAATTGACAATTTGTGTATATTATAGGCTGCGTTTTTGAACTCCCCGCGGGTGATTGCATTGCACAATATGTAATAAGTATTCCCCTGAGATATCACGAAAAAGAACAATGAGCCCATGGGTTGCAAATAGCATGCTTACATGTTTTCAACAAAAGCAGTTCATCCAAGCGCACTTAAACCGCTAATTACGCTGTGGTAACCTTGTCGGCTGCTTGCGTTTGTCAACCACGCCGGCTTATTGCTAGTGCGCCACAGGAGTTCGATTGCAATAAAGCGTGATGTTTTTCAAAAGAACTATGAGTGTTAGTGCACTTGAATGAGCTTTTTTGTTGAAAACACATGACCATGTAATGACCACTAGGGCTTATTGTTCTTTTTGGTGGTACCTGGGGAGAAACCTCATTAAAAATTACGCAATTCACTAGCAACGCGAGCATACAAAAATACAGTAATACTCACATTGTAGTTAAACTGGAAGAACATAAATCTCAAGTAGTTTCAGAGATTATAAACAATTGTACTAACTTACAATTGGCCATACTTATACTATTAGAAGGCTTATATTCAAACAATATAAATTATTTTTATACAGGCGTGCAGATTATGAAGATGCTAGAGACCACAACAATGCAATTGGAAAGATACCACAATCCGATTTTCCGACGCCCGAGAAGAAAGACGACTCTCGCTGTTGCCAAGGAGTGGGCGAGAGTTGTAGTATGCGCGAGAGGAGATATTGCCGATATTTCCAGTGTATGGTTTTACGCGGTAAACTGGGATGCTCTTTAAAAAGGACTACCAGAAGTGTCGCCGGAAATAGCGATAATAGAAACCTTGGAACATGGGGCGAACGTTTGTATAATATCAGAGATGCAAAATAACAACTTTAGCTAGAATCTCTCAGAACATTCACAATCGAAACAATTCCAATCTGTTCCAATTTGAAATATAAAAAATACAAGTACATTACAAATTTAAATATCTTGCTTACTAAAAAGGTCAGATAGACCTACTTGTAGTTTTACTTCGGAAATTGCACCAATTACTCGCAGGATGAAGAACCCTTTTTTCATCCTAGATAACACTAAATGGTGCGCATATCATGTCGTATATATATTGTATATATGTTGAATTATGCATTTGATTTGAAGAAACTAAATTGTTTAGTGACTGGATATGGTTTCAAACCAATACATCGACATTTCTAAGGAAACAAATTGTGATCACCTCTAATTGTAACTAATTAACTGAAGCTAGGTATATTCAGTTTTATCCCAAAAAGGTCAGTGGGGGTTGACCCGGGATTACTGAACTTACAACTGAATCCATCTTTACTGAACAAAACTCGATGACAAGATAATAGTTCTAAGATAATTAATTAAATTCAGATACTGATTTTACAACTTTTGCATCCACCCTTTTGATGGGTTTCGTGCAGTTGTGAAGAAATCGGTTTTAATGTTTGGCTTGAAACTTGCATGATTGTAGTATTTGTATATGTGCTATGACAGTGAATGGAACTTGGCAACTGTAGCAACTACTAATGATTAGGCGACATACACATTTGATTTAACAGTACATATTTCGGGACCATGGGAAAAGCATCGTGTAAGCACTCTGGTGTACTTTAAACATTTATCATTATACATGTGCCTTGTTCAAAATTGTACAATAAAAAGCTATTGAAAACAAGCTACAACAATTATTTTTGTTTCATTTACCTTGATAAGATATTGGTAAGTATAAATAGGCCAAGATAATTTAATTGTTTCGAGTCACCATTCGGTCTGATAAAAAAGGATCACCAAATATGATGGTTCCATACGTCAGCTATATTTTGGCTGTTCTGACCATATACTGTTTAGAGGTACAAGGGGCTGCTGTCGAACAGCCGTCTGGACAATGGGTGGGTACGTAACCAGGTTTTAACAGTTCTCTTTCTATGAAATTTGACTTCAGGAATCATTGAGAGCTTGCGAGGCAACAGTACAAATTATAAAGCACTAAAAGATAATGTATTATAATAGAAAAATTGTGTCTAATCATCGACCGTTGTGGAAAAACAAATTAAACTCGTTCGAGGGGAGGGTCAATGACGACATGTAAAATGATATATCATATGAAATTGAATGATTGTGAAAATCAATATGGCGCGCTTAACGGGTCACCTCGTGGATCAATATACAGTATGCGCATTGCGCAAGTGCCAAAGGGAAAGGATCAAAAATTGTGAAGAAGACAGCAAGAAAAAGAAAACATCTATTAATACACCAGTCATAAGGAAAACAAATCCCAACTATTCCAAATCATAATATAATTCAACGTGACAAGAAACAGTGTACGAGGGGTGATTCAAAAGTAATGGACAACATTTTATAGGCACGCTTACCTTTACCAGATTTGAATGAAACTTTGTACAAATAAAGATTAATCAATTATCTATTAGATGTTAAAATTTTATTAACTAAATGCAAATGCATTTTGAGATAGAGCACTTCTCTTGGATCATGGTGCATACACCCGGAATTCATTTTTAAGGCTATTTTCATCATAATAACAAATGGATTTTCAATGAAAAGTTTGCTGGTGCAATATATTTTGCAATGCAAGATGTATATGAAAAGCATATCGCAGTAAGTTCAATAATAATCCATATCATTCCTTATTATTCCTGATGATCATCCATTTGAATTATATTCAATCCTCAATGTATTCTCCTCCAAGTTCAATTACTTTCTTCTGTCGGCGCACCCATGCAGAGAACACATGCCCAAATCCATCAGCAGCCATGGTGTTCAGCTGTTTTTGTACAGCCATTTGCAGCTCAGCTAATGTCTGAAAGGATTGTCCCTTTAATGCCATCTTAAGGGTGGGAAAAAGATAGAAATCACAAGGAGCAGTATCAGGGCTATATGGAGCATGTGGAAGTTGAGGCATGTCCATGAATGCTGCAAGAGTATCCTGAACTAGCTTGGACCTGTGTGTTGGGGCATTGTCCATGTGTAACAAACGATTGTCTCTTGTGTCTTTCCTTTTCTTTTGAAGTGCCTGTCCAAGATTGCATTTTCTTAGAAATATCATTGTGATGTCATAGCACAATTGGTTGCTGAATTTAGAACTCAACAGCAAACACATGGGCATGTGAGTCTTGCTTGGCAATTGCATTACCATGCTTGTTAGACATATCATGTGTGGTAATTGAGTCATTAAAACGAAATCAAGCAAAAATGACAAAAACATTCAATTATCATTAAAAAACCAATGCCACCCATGCTTACCCTTGTTACCATGGTTACGCATAGCTGAAAAAATTTCAAATGAGAATTCGACACAAAGTAGAGAATTGATTGATCTATTCACTGTGAAAAAATTAGACTGATTGGGTGAAATTTAGTATGCCTATAAAATGCTTATTGTCACTTTAAAAGTACCTATGGCATCAAGCAATTATTTACATTCACGTGACTGCAATCCCTGAAATCATTTTGGTTCCTGTATGAACGTACACCACGAGAGATTTTTTTTTTTTTTTTAATATATATTTATTTAAGTCAAGAACAGCTACATATTTGTCACATAATGTTTACAGAATCGAATATATCGAAATAGATGCATACACGTTGTAAAGTCAATTATGCTTAATTATCAAGGAAAATCAGTCGAAAGTATATCGTTTAGAGGATCCCATTGATCTCCTCTTCCAACACTTACGTCTAGTTTGTAGTAGGTTAATACATTTAACTTAAAACCTCTAAATGTTGGTTTCACTCTAGAATGTTTACATAGGAATACATATCTTTTAAAAATACTAAAAACGTTATTTAAGACAACCGCCTCTTTGGTCATTAAATTTGGTCCTAATATGATAGTTTGCTTGTTACAGAAATGCTCATATTCTTTTGGGAGCCATTGTTTTATATCTTGTACAAGGTTCTGGACTATTGCACAATCATGAAAAAGGTGGCATATTGTTTCTACATGTATCCGACAAAAAGTGCACATATCAGAGTCTGTTAGACCACACATCTTTAAGTATTTGTTGGTCGTAACAAATCTATGTATTACTTTATAGTTGAATGATGCAAGTTTAGGTTCGAAATTGCTTATTTTGTTCATTTTATTTATTATTTCCCAGTCTCCTGTTTCAATTGTTGTATTCAAATCGATATTCCACTTTTCCGAATAGGTGCCGTTTATTGGTATACTTTTGATAAATTCCCAGTAGATTTGTTTACATATTTTTGAATGAGATAGAAACTTATTCAAGTATTTTTTAACCGTACGGGTTTCATTCATATTATGTTCACAAGTTAAAATTGTCTTAATCCAGTCATTTGGTATTGAGTTTTTTAAAGATAAAAAGTCCAGGAAGTTTAACTTTGCCTTAAATTTTTGGTTAAATTCGTTAAGGTTAAGAACTTGTTTATTCGGCTGAAACATATCTCGAAGTACAAGTGTTTCTTTCGCGCCTTTAATTTCTTTAATGATAACCTTAACATTTTCGTTTCTCGTATATTTTAACCAGGAATTGCACAAAATATTCTCCGCGTGAAGAAATTGATTATTTTCTACAATACGCTCTTGAATTTGGGTGTAATGTTGGAAGGCACGAGTAAAACTTCTCCAAAACGTATTTGAAACGCTACATTCAATTCTTTGTAATGATTTCGTGTCGTATGTAAATAGCTCCTTACCTGATTCCAGCCCTAAAGTTTTTATGGCAATATGTTGCCAGGTGCCATTTCTAAGTAATTTTTGCAACCATGTTAGTTTTAATGAGTTTTCAAATAGTTGTGGATCGATCATTCTTAAACCCCCGTCTTTGTAGTCTTTGACCAATTGAGAAAAACTTACCTTAGAGACTGGGGAATTCCAAATAAATGTAGTAAAAAGGTTTTTAATTCGTTTATGGAACTCACCCGATATACTGGGTAAAACCAGCATCAAATGAACTATTTTTGGTAAAACAAAAGACTTTAAAACCGTTATTTTCCCAAGTAGAGATAGATTCCGTCGTTTATATTTGCTAATTACACTTTGCATTTCTGTTAATTTCGATTCGAGGTTCAGCGTTTCTACATTTCGTAGGTCGGAAGGCAGTTGCAAACCTAATAGTTTAAATTGCGTTTCCCATTTCAAAGAAATATCTTTACATAATCTCTCATCTGAATTTGCTTTGCTTCCAATCCAAATAGCTGAGGTTTTATCAACGTTCAATTTTAAGCCAGACGCACAATGGAATTTTTGAAAAATGTCAATACATGTTCTCAAGGATGGAGGTGTTCCGTCAAGGATCAAAAAGGTGTCATCTGCGTACATACCCGTTTTTATTGTTTTGTCAAAGATTTGGACACCTTTTACACTATTATCATTCTTAATTTTCATGCAGGGAGGCTCTAGAGCTAGTATAAATAAGTAGCACGACAAGGAGTCCCCCTGCCGGCAGCCTCGTTTTAATTGAAAAAAAGTAGAAAAATGGCCGTTGTTTATGACGCAACTTTCGGATCGATTATAAAGAACATGATACCATCGTATAAAACTTTCGCCAAAATTGAATCTTTTCAAACATTTATCAAGGTAAGACCACTCAATACTATCAAAAGCTTTCTCGAAATTTGCTAATAATATTAAACCAGCTTGTTGCTTTAAGATGACGAGAGATTATACTGGGTGACTCAAAACAATTGTCTGTGACTCTCATATTGTCATCCATAGATAGTAGAGACTGTACCTGGAAAATAAAGTTATATTGCTCACGCACATCAATGATGTACTTAAATATATTTACAATGGTACTTCACCAAACTATTTAAACTTAAAACCAAGAGAAATTAAGAAATTACTGGAAAATAGATACATACCATTTTGGGAAACTAAAATAAAATCAAATAATGGTAAATTGAGGTTTTATAAGATAATAAAAGCAAAATGGAACAAGGAACCCTACTTGGATTTAATCAAAAATGAAATAGACAGAAATAACGTGACAAAGCTAAGAATTAGCGCACATGAATTAGAAATCGAAACAGGTCGTTACACAAAACCAATTACCCCTATTGAAGAAAGAAAATGTTTAATGTGTAACAAGAAAACCGGTTCAGAATGCCATTTCCTATTAGAATGCAATAAGTTAAATAATACGAGTGTGAGCATGACGAGTTCGTAAGCATGGTAGGTACATGTACAGTTGTCATCTTTTTACAAAGATAACATGCCAATTCCTCTACAAATGTCTTTATTTGTGTAATGAAGGAAAATTTCGAGTCAAATGTAGTCAAAATACTATTGCAGAGGGATGTGGCGTCAGCAAGTACCCGGATGCAGGGGCCATCCCAAATGCATCGGACTTCGTGATGGGAGGAGTCGCTTCTAGACAAGGGGAATTCCCATGGCTGGTATTGAAACTAATAATTACAAAATAAATCACCATAGCAAAATTTGAGTACGAATTTCATTATTAGGGAAGTCTGATACAAATTCCCATATACATTCCAATACACAAATCTGTCATGAACTTATCGGAATAACTTGATAAGAAATACTTGGACTACGTGAACATTCTTACTCTAGAAAAGCAATAAGTTATATTTTATAACTTTAACAACATCATGAACATAGGGATGGGGATTCATTTAAAATATTCTTCATACCCTCTGTATCAAAAGTCTTTTCCTATTGAGAAAACCCTTAAATAACTTTTGTATAAGGCAAGTAAACTTAATGAAACTTTCCACGCATAATTTGAGGCATATAATACACACTCTGTAAAAAATTGGAGACAATTGATTGATTTTTACTCAAAATATTACATATAGAACATAGCATATACCAAAAACACCGATGTGACTTTTTCCAAGTTTGTGACGTCAAACTTACCTAAATTTGCCTAACTGACCAAAGTCAGGCTGCTCTGCAAAACTAAATGGACAAAGGTAATTATATATAATATGCTAATAATGAGCAATCAGAATATGTTATAGACTTTACAAATGATCCTGTTCATGAGAGTTGTATATTTTATAAAATAGTGGTGTCACTGAAACCTGTATAATAACAATGCAAAAGTCCTTACACTTGGGTCTTAGAACAGTATTGCCTAACTGTTCATTGTTATGCCATATTTCCTTAAAGTCCCCGTCTAAAGTTTGAAAATATTTTTTTATCATTCATTTACTATTTGTCAGGACTTCAAAAGTGATTTTAGAGATTTTTGAACAAAAAAAAATTTTTGAAAAAAAAGTTGTGGGCATTTCATTTCTCAAATATTCAAATTTCCCGCCATTTTTCAAAAGAAGTTGAAATTTCTTAATCATCAAATATTTCTTAATGCATTTCAAAAAAGATTATATTTTTAACACCAATGCAAAGATTGAACAAAGGACACACTATTTCAATAATAAAATGCCATATTTAATGGGCCACTTCAATGTTTTAGCATATCAAAAATATTTTGAAACATTAGTGAAGTCACTAAGGTACCAAAAACTTTTTTTTTAAAACTGAAATTTTTTTTTCGATGTCAATCTTTCCTAAATATGTTAGACTTTCATAAAAAACCAATGTTGATTGTCTAACCAGGTTAAAAGGAAGAATAAATTATGTTTTAGATATCATTGTTCCATTGGTTTCTATGAGAACTAAAATTTTGAAATGCATTTTTCTCAGAACCATTTTCATGCACTGATAAGTTCATTTCTCGCTTATTTATGAACCGATTTTCTTAATTTTTTCGGCAAAAAGCATGGGAGAATGAATGCTATACATTGGTATGAATTGTGGCTAATTAGAAGATATGAGTGACCTCTAAAAGTGGGTTTTAAATAAATTCACAAATTTTGGAACAAAAAATCTATCAAAAACCACTTTTTGAAATTTAAAAAAAAAGTTTCACATATCACACTTTGATAACATTGGGTAAGACTACAATATAAGCCAAAGTGGTTTAAACTTTATATGGGGCCTTTAATATTTACCCCTTTCCTGCCCAATGAAATCAATAAGTATAATTTTGTGACTAATGTGTCAATATGATTTTCTCAGGGGTTTATCTTCTAAATATTCTTGATGTACTTTTGGTATTTAATTCAAAAGAATCTATCATATTTCCATTTTATTTCAATAATTCTGAATCATAATGCACCGAACATTGATATATTAAGGATAGCAGTGCTTATTGTGACAACATATTTCTGAATTTTAAGTTGAGTACAGCATGGTCCAGGGCTGTTAGTAAAATGTATGAGGACATTCAGAGTACATTTTTTGTATATTTAATAACACATTCTGCTCATAATTAGCATTTTATATATAGAGACTTTTGTCTGCATACTTTTACAGAGCAACCTGATTTTGGTCAGTTTGGCAATCTTAGGTAAGTTTGACGTCACAAACTTGGAAAAAGTCACATTGGTGTTTTTGGTATATGCTATGTTCTATATGTGATATTTTGAGTAAAAATCAATCAATTGTCTCCAAATTTTCACAGAGGCTGTATTATATGCCTCAAATTATGCATGGAAAGTTTAATTAAGTTTACTTGCCTAATGCCTAGGTCACATAGCCGCCGGGCGCCGGCCGATGAGTAGTCATCGGCCGATTTCTAAATCGACCGGGCGCCGGTGACTTTTCACCGATGTCTTGATCTAATCGTGAGTATGGTCACATAAGTACAGGCATCGTACGGCGCCCGCAAACAATTGAATCTGAAAGACATCGCACGGGTATCGCAAGGCTATCTGCCGATGGCCGTACGGCACCCGCCAGGACATCGGTCGATCTACAGGCCTCTAGATTTATACTTAATTTTTGTATGTCCCAGTATGAATGTTCCACATGGCGTGAATGCAAGATTTGAAAACGAAATATTTCGATAGACAGGACTTCCAGGATAATAATGTTTTCATGCAATAAAAATCAGAAAAAGAAGATCCTCTTTTGAGTAAATAGGTTCAATATTCAGAAAAAATGCTGACATGGGGTCCCATAATTTTTCAAATTGTTTGATTGATATTTTTACTATCATGGGTACTTCAATTGAAAGAAAACATATTGTTTTCATAAAAACACTGTATTTATGCCCAGAAAGTACTCATGATGAAAGATATGACCGTCTAAAATCACTTGCCATACTGCACGTGGTCTTTTCATCAAAGGCCTTAATTCATTTTTAGATCTTTCATATAAACAAATACGATGTCTAACTGTCCATCCGATGCTATTAGCAAAATCCATATTTCTGTATCTTTTGTCTGTTCTCGTAAAGAGAATTTGTTTGGTCATAAAAATATGGCCTATCTTCAAAGAACTTGGTAATTTTTTCTTCTATTTAAAGTGGAATACCCTCTTCCCTAGACACATCTAAATCTTCATCATCCACCAGCTCACTAGCATTGTTATTGTCTTTTTCCACCTGTCTTCCCAAGGCCTTCCTCGTATATGGCCCATTGGCCTTATCCCCTATATCCTTAGCCTTTGGCATATTAACTGTAATTGAGACAGTGAACTTTCGTATTAAAATTGTGACCCTTGAAAATACTGTACTCACAAAAACATTCAGAAGATTTTTAAATAAATGATTTGTAATGGTGTATGCATGAGTGAATATACGCATAAAAATGTATCACTCTATTCAATGTGTATGACAGGCATACACGATTAATGCCAACATAAGAACGACTAGATCAACCCACCCACCCAGCCATTCAAATGTGTGTCATTGTTTTACAGTAAGCCTAATCGTTCCATTTATGTTTTATAAAAAATCTCTGACAGTGTGTAGTAATAATTAGTCATTGCCTCATTATTTTATAAGTAATCATTATTAAGATTTATCAAACAAATCAGCACGCAAAATCCCAAGATAACCGTGCGATGCCACCGGGCGCCGTAAGATAATCGTACGATGACCGGACGGGACACGGCCGGGTAGGTACCGATGAGTTTGGTTGAGAAAAAATCGCCAAGACATCGGCAACTTTTATCTCCGCGATAAAACTCTGCCGGCGCCCGTACGATGTCTAAAAATCGGCCGATGAGTGGCGATCATCGCCCGGCGCCCGTACGATGCCCGGGCTCGCCGGCCGATTTTTAACTAAATACTCATCGGCCGGGCGCCGTAGTAAAAATCGGAGCCTATGTGACCAAGGCATTATACAAAAGTTATTTAAGGGTTTTCTCAATAGGAAAAGACTTTTGAAACAGAGGGTGCGTATTTTGACCTCAACAAGAATGTAGGTCAAATGAGGTCAAAAGAAGGTTAAACTAAACAACATATACAAGGTCCACGGATTTCTATGCAATTCTGTTACTTTGATAATGATGATACAATGTAGTATATTTCTATATCAATTTTGTTGAAAAAATTCCAGTTTTATAAATTGAACTTGTAAACCTTCTTAGCACGTAATCAATTAATTCCAAAAACAATTTTAGGTAATGTTTGCCAGAAGGGGACAATCACATTCTTGTGGAGCTTTTCTAATAACAGAGCAATGGGTTGTCACAGCTGCGCATTGTCTAAACAAGTGAGTTACTGTACTCAGAAGAGGGGGTGTAAGAGGGGGTATATCTCGGAATTCATTGATGACCCTCTTTCCATGTAAAGATGAAGCACTCTCGATCTTTATCTGAATATGTACGCACGAGTGCCAAAGGAAAAGAACAAAAGATTGTTAACGAACCCATCACGAAAAAGAACCCATCTAAGCGTAAAAATTCATAATGAAAACAAACCCCAACTATCCCAAACCATAATTCATTGAGAAGAAACAATGAGAAAGGAGATAAGTTCATCTATGACTTCTGGTATTTCCCCCTCTTATATCTTTAAAATCTGTACAACGAATTAGTTTGTCCAGGCATGGTTTTCCTCCTCTTTTGGAAGCCCCTGGAATGCTACTTCTCATTTTTTATTACTTCGTTATGAATGTCAAGTTCAGATACTCATGCACGCCCTGCACGGGAACTATGCAAAAAATGCGTTTGTTTAATCTTTATTTCCCCCCAAATGGAGGGTTTCCTTGTGAATGTGTATTCGCAATGTTATGCTTCTAGATCTATGCTAATATTATGCTTTTATGCTCACTTAGTCCAACAGATAATGATCCCGACAATTATGAGCTATGGGTGAACAAACACTCCTGGAGCAACCCCAATGATGGTATTCAACTGTACCCAACATTTCTTATCCCTCACCCTGAGTACAATTCGCAAGTATGATTTTTATCATCTTATTTTTTTCAGTTTATTACAATTATGTTTGCACACATATTGTGAATTTAACGTCTGTATTTTAAAACGAAACATTAGTTTTTAACATTGGAATATATTTTTTTGTATAAATTGTTTGAAATACTCATTCATTGGTCAAAAAAAAAATCAATTTGGCTTTTTTATTTATTATTCCATACATGTATATGATCACATTATCTTTAAGAATATCCAGATGAGCTGTCAGATAAGCTACAGTGGCGTATTTTGTGAGTGTTCGCTAAGAGTGGGCAAAATGAACATGCTTTGAGAGGGGTTTGGGGGGGAGTCCCACTGACGGATCCAGAAGTTAGCAAGGGGCGCCCGAATTTGGAATTAAAAAATCATTTGGGCCCCTAAATCCCCAAATTTTGAAAAATTCAGGCCTATTTTTGAAAATTTGGCCTAAAAGTCCAGGTAATGACCAAAAAGGTCATTATAAAATTATATAAAAATGAATGAATTATGTTCAACAAATAACTTCGCCATCTTTCATTGACATTGGTAAAAACCTGATATATAAACACTTGACAGATCAAAAATATTTTTAATAATTTATTGTAAGCTTTGATGTGGCCCGTTTGAGCTATTTTTGATGTCTAATGAAAGATAAAGTACTTTTCAATCCATTGGAAATACTATGAAGTCCTAAAGTAAGTCTTTATTTTGCCAAAGAATGTTGAAAATAAGCATAGTGAGGCTTTAAGCTAGCTCACTTTTTTTCATTGCATTGGTATATTTTCAAATACACATATTTTTCACATACAAATCGACTTAATAGGCAATGCAAATAGTACAGGATGTTCTAATCTCTTATCTTTAAATCATTTCAATCTTTAATTATATCATTCTATCATTTTTCTGAAGTTATTGATAGGATTTTAATTTTACCTTGTCATTTTCGAAAAATGCTAATAACACTGTCTTGTGGTCGTGGATACCTTCACCTTTTGGTGATTAAGTGTACGAAAAGCCGCGACCAGCATGACACAAACTTGCGGTAGTGCGCCTTATGGATTTCAAACCCTGCTTAGGTCTCCGTCGCAGATTGAATAGCTTATCAAACGATTCTGGGCGATTGGGCTTTTTAAAGTGTCAGTATGGTGTTCTAAAGTAGATATTAAATGAATAACCAGAGAGACAAATCTGGATCATAAATCAATTGTTTTGGCTTGAAACACAATAAAATCTTGCATCTTGAAACGACAGCTCATGGATGCCATACATCAGGCGTACTGTCTGAGCCAAAAAACAGCTCCTATGATTCCAAATACTTGTTATTGCCACTCATGATCATTCTTTCATCCAATTAAGAAAATAGTATTTACATTCACAAAGCATCATATCGTATAAAAAATAACTTCATTTTTCATGTCCGTTGTAATGTGACTATCATTGATTCGTAAGACAATGTCATCTTTACATTCATTGAGGAAAATGCTATATTTCATGACAAAGTACTAATCTCTGAATGACAGGAAATGAAGCAAAGCAAATGACTCTAGCATATGGACTTGATGTATTACCATTGTTTCAATTCAATTCGGGTCAACTTTTTATAATCGACTTATCACCGGTTTACTTATCAACGTACGTCGTAATGACAATGTTTTGCATTTACTACAAAATAGCCTTTGTCTTAGAATACGATTATATTCGTAAAGCCGACGTGTCTTCTTATTTTACTTTTGTTCATTGTAAGCATTATGTTCATCTTAAAGACACTTACGTTTCATGTCAACAATTTAAAAGTACAGTTACGAATGGAGGCTAAATTTCAAAAAAAGTATCCTAAGTTCCAAACCGGTTACCTCTTTGAGTGAGAGGAAAACTGAAGTATCGGCATATTTAATCCATGCGATCATGGGCTTTCAATCTCTTGATGTGATCACCTGACCTTAGTTCACTAGCCTTTGATTCTGAATTACAGTCAATGGAGGCTGATATCGCCATGTTCAAGTTGCCAGAACCACTGACCTTGACGGAAGACATCCGTCCAGTGTGTATGCCAGATGTTAACAACCAGTATGTAGGAGTAGATGCAATAGTGGCTGGCTGGGGATCATTATGCGATGGTAGGTACTTGGTGTATACGTTCTGTATGTAGTCTCTGCGCATGCTCCCTTTGTCGACTTTACCAACCAGACCAAGGAGGATTGGCTCCCAGACCTTCAAATCGATATTCGACCTTGACCTTGATCGGCGACAACATTGAAAATGTCATTATTTTCTGATATTATAACTGACTTTAAATTCATAATCAGCGGTCCAAAAGATCTTATCTAATATTTTGACCACTTCTTGTTAGTTTTGAATTTTTTGTTTGGAAATAGTTAAAAGACCAAAAGGAAGGTGAAGAAATGGCGGCAGTTTGATATCAAATTTCGTAATCAGGACATGACTCCTTATATGGCAGAATATCGAGATGGAACCCTTGGAGCCAATTCTCCTTGCAACTAGACAGAAACAAATATCCCAAAGTTCACAGATGCCATTGTAGGTTTCATTCTACATCACGCTACTTTTCTATATTTCAGGCTGTGGTTATCCAGACACATACGAGCATGTGGACCTGCCCATCATCTCCAACGCTGATTGTCAACTTATGCTGATCGCGAATGGTAGAAATAGCGAGATTTTTGACGGCAATATATGCCACGAGACGCCATTTAGGGATACTGGCGGTGTGAGTCTCGATTTTTAAGTTATCCTCTCATATTGTCTCTTATATTTGGAATTTTAATTGTTTGAAATTTGATAAAATTAAAAGACATACGAGTGCATAAACAATGTATCTATGTATCTATTTTCCAAACCCTCGGAAACTGTAGTAAAAGTAAAAGTAGTAAGTTGGATATTGCAGGGTGATTCCGGTGGAGCATTTGTTCACAAAGGTGCCGATGGCATTTTCCGTGCGATTGGAATTGTATCATGGGGGTAAGTAGGAAGAGTAAAAATTAAGCAGATAAAGATAAGTAAAAATTGAAGAGAACTATCAATGTCAAATTACGCATCAGCTTCATGGGCAATGAGGTAACCCTTGTTTGACCTCGTCTTGTCATTAATTTTATAAATGTAAATCCAATCGTTAAATTTCTCAACTTATTTCCCATGTATAACGTTTCTGTTTTCCAGTTACACGCCATCTGGCGACCCTGCTTTACCAGGGGTTGGTGCAAGAGTGTCGACCTATGTCCCATGGATCAATTCAGTCATGCAAAACAATTAGATTGGACTGTAACTTTTAAATTGACGAAATAGAAAAAAAAATTAAGTTGTAATGTTTTTGTGCCATACTGAGTAAGCATTAAAATATAAACCGCAATAACATTATTGAATGTCTTCTGAAAATGGATGCCAGAAAAACACGATGGCCGTTAAAATCTAATCAGCTGTTGAAATTGGTTCCCAATAACAGTTGCACGACGGATCCGAAAAGCGGTATTAATTGAGTGGGATAACAAGATTTAACGAAAGGAATTTAGAACTAGGTTCTGGTACACTATTTGCAATTCCGATTATGAAATTTTTAAGGTTTTTATTTGTATATAGTAATAAGTACACTGTGCAATGTACTTATAATGGGGGCCCATGTATAGAATAATAATAAGCTAAATAACTGGTACCACCTCAAAAATATTTTCATCAAATTATCTGTAATTTCTTCTTGCGGTCTTATCAATTTCTGGAAAGGACAATCAAAACGTTTTTCCTAAGATAAATCATATATCCAATAAGTACATCATGTACACATGTGAAAACATTGAGCAATACATTGTTTTATCGTATGATCTGTAAAATGAAGCCTTCTGAATGGTCAGTTCTTGTGCTGTACCAATCTGTATTGCTATTGAGATTGTCCCCATTGATCATCTCCGTCGCAATACAGAAGGGGGCATTCTCAGTAGCAAAAGAGGATCAGACGATAAAAACGTTATAGAATGATTTGAAGTGCAATACAGGATATATTTACCCTTTGCATTCGTTTGACTTCACTTCTTAAAAGAGAGCTTCGTAGTTTAACTAGACTCTGCACGCAGGGTAGGATATATTCTGCTCTCGATATTCTGTATTGGCACTTGACTTTGTCTCGTTCCAATATGGAATCTCTCGAGCAGAATATATCCTGTATTGCACTTCAAATCATTCAATAACTTATAGAACAAAATCATTAGAGAGTTCAGTTGAAGGCTGTAAGTGTAAAATGGGTTTAATGCATTAACAATGGGCAAACTACTGAACAATATAAAACAAAACTCTTCCTCTTCGTCGGCCAAAATGGCTCCCTAAATCAGAGTTTGTCCTTGAGACAAAGGAACTTCAATTTTAGTATCAGAATGACATAATAAATTAACCTTTAGATTTCACTCTTGACTGACCATTTTCAGGACATTCTTCGATCTAATGTCTTGTGTAATTCAAAGGCTAGCGAACATGAAAGTTGTGCATTAAATCATCGGATACCATGATGGATTTCTAAAAAATGGTTTGTTTGGAATCGAATGCAAAGATAAGGCTTTACCAATTGACAGACGAGAAGTTAGGACGGAAATCTAAAATAGCCACTTAAGAATTTACGCAAACTACCTAAACATATAGGTTTTAGACTTTCATACGAAGAAGCATCACTGAAAAGTTCAAATTAATTATTGATCTATCAAACGGTTCGGCTGCGGACAAGACTTTGCGAATCAGAAAGTCCATAATGGCCAGACCAGTTTGTGGAACGACAAGTCAGAAATTTGCCCCTACCAATATTTTGATCAATTTTGCCCAAAATCAAATCAGCTGTACACATCCCAGAAAATTTGAAACCATTCCATCAAAAAGTTTTGTTGGATACGCAAACTTTGACGCATAGACAAGGCTTAATAGAAATTAATCTCAAACGATTTCCATGGAAACGTGAAGACACGATTAATCGGGTCTCTCGTCCCTCGCCTGTCATCCAACCGGGAAACAAACTACCCTATAGCACCATAGGACGCGATAAAAATAATATAATTTTATTTATTTATTTACTTCAGTATTTATTACTATAAAAGTATTTATATAAAAGCTACATGTTACACACAGAGACACCACAAGCCATATATCAGCATATAACAAGAGCAAATAACAATAAGGCTTACTAGAGCGTAAAACGTGGAGACTCCTAAAAGTGATATTGGTTAACATAAAAACTACATATTTACATCAGGTGCAAAAAGAAAAACATACTGTATTAGATACAGAGTTATATGATGTGCCAGAAAAGTAGAGAAAAACATTACACAAGTTAATATATAATATCATAATTTTCCGAAGATTAAAAATCACTAGAGATACTAATGAAACTGCAAAATGATGTGTATTGGCAAATTGAGACTCGAGATAAAAACTAATTATTATAACTATAGTACCACTTTTCTTATCAGATTCTCGATAAGTTATTGATAGACTACACCACCTCCAAAAGTTTTGAGACTCTGATTCCCGTTTGTGTATATACGTAGCGTGTTAAAGCCTACATATATTACCGAAGCATTTAATTTCTTCTCCCTTTCTTCTCACTTCCAACAGATCGGAAATTAATGACAAATTCGATGAGTTTAAATACTGCCGAACATAAACTGACTACAAAATATGATCAAAAATATTTAATTTGGGGTTGCCAGACTTTTGAAGGTGATGTGAACATGAACAATACACATGTACATTGTACAGGAGGCAATCATACAACAACACAATGTTTCGCTGATTGTACCATCCGCTTTGACCAACATAAATTTAGCAATATGCTGGGTCCATCCATCGGTTGTCTTCTTGCTGTTCTCACTGTGTACTGCTTAAAGGTACGAGGAGCAGTCGTAAAACCATCAGAACAGTGGGAAGGTACGTATTCAACGGGCACTGGGGGCTGTTTTGGTCACTTTATAGATTTTTAGGTAATACACTCTTTTAACATGTTTCTTTTTTCTTTCTCTCAGTGTAAACTTAAGTGAAATCATAATTGACACTCAACTTTTATCAACGCAAAATTCTTGTTTTGAGGAATTTATTGAGAAAGTGCATGACTATATACATGTAGGGGTCACTTCTCTGAACTACATGTATGAAATACCGACTGGAGTTTTTATTCCCCAAAGGCCAAGTGTCAAATTGCGTAACAGAGAATCGGTGTTAGAGGTTCATCATAATAAGTTTAGCTCATGTATAGAGATTGACGGGTTGTTTATGGGTAACTGTTCAACGAATAACTTCAGCTTAGTTGCAAAAGCTGTTTAACTTTTGTCATTTTCAGAGGGATGTGGAATTAGTAAGTACCCGGATGCAGGGAATGTCCCGGATGTGGGCGGATATGTAATGGGCGGAGTCCCATCAAGACGGGGAGAATTCCCATGGCAGGTAGTAATCGCCCAGAGAAAAATGTAGTTTTCACCACCACAAGTGGTGATATGGTCTCCAACCTTTTGTGACAGCGTCAATATGATATTTTCTTGGCCAATATCATGTTTCCCTTTGGAAATAAAACTCTTATATTCTATCCCTCCCATTAAATCGCTGTCCTTGTTGAAAGGAGAAGGATGTACTAAATCAAACGTCAAGCACTAAACGTTAAGAAGAGATAGCAAAAATATAAGATATCCTTTCCTTGTAGGTGATGATGGCGAAATCGGGTAGATTTCTTTGTGGAGGATTTCTCATAACCAACCAATGGGTTGTGTCGGCCATGCATTGCCTCTCTAAGTGAGTCACGATAAACAATATACTAGTAGTAAAACAGATAATTGCAAAATAACTGTGGACTAATTATAATATATGTATAAAAAATATATAAAACAAAGTCACTTTTACAGTATAATATATAGTGGTGTAGCGTGTTATCGGAGTCAAAACTCCATTCTTATATTTTAGTCCTGCAGATACGCATGAGGACTACGAGCTATGGGTTGGAAAACATACCTGGAACGATCAAAATGATGGAGTAATGCTAAAGCCTACTATTATAGTGAAACACCCAGATTATGACTCACAGGTAGGTTGACTCTCGAAGATTGTAAAGTATTTTGTATAATCAAAATAATGTCAGATAAATCATACTGTCATTCGTTAAATGTACAAATAGCCAACATAAATCGTCAAATATTCTTTAGATGATGAAATTATTTGATTTTCGCCCAAAAAAGCCCATGGACGTCATTTTGAAAATACTCTCAATAAATGACCAACCTTACAAATGATTATTTGGTTCAGTACCTAATTCGATATGGGTTTTCATAGTTACATCTTAGCGGAAACATGATTCAACAAGGTATTAACATGACAAAATGTCACCACCAAGTTGCTCATAATATTATGAGTTCAATCTTAGTCAGATTTGAACTTCCGGGAAACTGGTCAATTTAAAGCAAGCTGTAAAAAACATTTTTGACCTTTCAACCTTGAGAAGGTCAGTGAAGGTCAAGTCTTCATAAAAATTGCTCAATTTGAAGCAAGTTGATAAAAGACCATTTTGGCCTTTTCTGACCTTGAGAGGGTCATTGAAGGTCAAATCTAAAATATAAAGTCAGATTTGAACTTCTGAGAATTTATAGATGATCTTGACAAATAATTGATAAAGAAGCAAGTTGAAAAAAATCTTTTTGACCTTTTTGTTTGACCTTGAGAGGATTATTGAAGCTCAAATCTCAAATCTTAAGTCCTGAAGTCACCTTTGAACTTTTGGGAACCTGTAGATGATTTTGATAAAAATTGATCAATTTGAAGCAAGTTGAAAAATAGTACGTTTTTGCGCTTCCGGTTAGTAATGACTTGCTAGCTGTTGAAAGGCTCTCGATTAAAATGGTAATTGTTTGAAATACGAGAGGCAAGTGATACTTATTGATGATTGCAGACACGCATAAGACTCTTATAGACATTTAAAACACGATAAAACCTTGAAGCAAGATGTCACAAGCAACCATTACGGATTTTATTCAGTGTGGATCTGAAAGCAAAAAAAGTTTTGCAAATGGCGGACAAGATGGCGGACGAGCCAAAAACGATGGACCAGACGGCGATGAACGACAGAATAGCAAACGCAAGCTACGAGATGATAGTACGGGTGCCTTCAGTGAAACTGGTGAGGAGTTTATTACTTGTCATGACACGATTTATGCCAAGGATACCACAGATGTAGATCCTAAGCTCCTAAACTGCATGGATATACTCATGAATAGACTAGAATCAAAATTAGAAAATTCTATTGATAGAGCTGTCTCTAAAGCCATGACCACAGCTATGAAAGATACAAACAATCTCATCACTGATCTAAAAAAAGAAAATCAGGACTTAAAATCTGATATCAAGAGACTTAATGAGCGTGTAGATGATCTGACTAGAAGTACAAACCACAACGCTCAATATTCGAGGAAAAACACAATACGAATCCTAGGTGTCCCTGAAATGCAAAACCCAGATGAAGCAAGTAAGGAAAATTGCCCAGCTAGTGTTGTGGATAGCTTAAAGGAGATAATTCCCATTGAAGAAAACGATATTGAGGTCTCACACAGGCTAGGTCCATATTCCCCTGCTACAAGGGATGCGAAACCTCGTGCGATTATTGTCAAATTTAAATTTAGACCTGTCAAAGACTGGGTGATGCAAAACAAACGCCTCCTCAAAGGATCCCAGCTTGTCATATATGAAGATCTGAGCCCTCTGAACAGAGACCTACTCTATAAACTGAAGCAGCACGAAGAGATCGAGAGGGCATGGAGCTCTTATGGTAAGATCTATGCTATCCCCACTGGAAAAAAGAGGCACACATTCGAGGTGACTGATCGTGACGACCTGGATAGAATCATCAATATGATACCTCCTGACCCGAGTAATTCTGGCCCACGACCTACCGGACCACCCAGAGGTGGAAGAGCGAATACTTGGGCAAATAGGGGTGGACGTTCAGCAAACAGACCTACGACAGGGACAACTCTCCAACCACCACTGATACGGCCATCAAGATTTTAGGGTCGCGGTCTAAAGGCCCCAAAGGTGACTATATAGTGTAAATAGGTTCCCAAATATATTGCCTTTTCTACTAAGATCATCAAGCGATTATATTCTGAAATGAATAAACATTCGAGGGATGACTTCGAGGTGTAAACAATACTTGAACATTTGCCATAGTTATATTTCTGTACCTCTACGTATTCTATCACAAGCCATTTCCTGCTTACGAACGAGTTACGAGTGACAAATTATGAGATAAAATCAAATACTTTTTCAACATAAATGGACCAACGGTAAAATCAGTCTGTTATCTTTGAACTCAATACAATGTGGCCACTGGAATATTCTTAATCACCGAGAAAACACTAGTTTTAGAATGTATATCCCATGCAAATATCCGTACACTTGATCTGTACTTCAGTACATTTGTTTTGTTTACCACGGCGACTGCGCATGCGCAAGTCAAAGTGACCTACAGAACGATCAAGCCTGCTAAGTATTAGTACAGCTACTCGATTGTCTCGAAACTAGTAATGCACGATCGCATATTCCAGTCACCACATCATTAAGGTATTTACATATATAAGTTATAGGTTACATTGCATAATTGTTTCATGGAAAGCTTACTGGATTAGCTCAGTGCAGTGTCATACACAAATTCAATTTAATTTTAGCAATCTGCAGTGAGTGAGCAGATTTTTGGATCATATACTTAGGGTGGGAATAACCCTTTCGTATAGTATGTATAACAACGTGAATAAAAGCTTGACAGATTCAGAAGCTTGACATGACACATATGTAACTTGTCTATATTCTAAAAATTGCTCTCTAAATTACATGTATATTGCATTTAGAGCTACTGTAGCTGTAGTGTTGTTATTCTCGATGCTGTGACTTTTTTATTAGACACTTTAGCTGTAATGACAGTCCAATGCAGTGTAAGATTTTGTTTGCTCATGCAGTAAAGTTATTTCCTATGTTTTATTGGTATCGGTAAAGGACAAGCATAACTTTTTATAGCTCAGATTTTTGGTCGTCTGCAGGGTTATTGACTTTAGACATACATGTAACATAGGCTACAGTGAAACGTATGTGTGTAAATTGACTTTTATACTGCAATCACTAATTTGGCATAAGCCCAAAGGTCATGACCTCACATTGCGCCAATCAACAGCGCTATTTGGTGACTTGTATGTTATCCAAAACTGCTCACTTCAAATGGGTGATGCTGTAGATACTTTTGAGTTATGCTTTCATACTGAGCTTTACCTTCTTCTAAGGCCACTGTATCGTACTGTATTGGCTAGAGACTCGAGTAAACTGAGCTCATTCTGTGTTCATGGGCTCTACTGTTTACTGTTTTTTATGCCTCTGAACAAATGTTATGTTGGATAAATTGCCATTCAGAGCTAACAACTAATAGTTAAAGTCAAACAAAAATTTATATTTACTTTCCATTGCTTTTATCTAATAACCAGTTACACAATCAACTAAATAATCTGGTGTTTTTGTGGAGGAATACAGTTTTATTGGTGGAAAACCGTTTTATTTTAGAGTTTACTCTAAGCCTTGCTCTTTTTAACATATTGCATATTACATTTATTTCACAATAAGAATAAGAGGCAGAGCATATTTATAACCTTCTAGGCTGACCAGACATGATACATCAGTCTTTTTGGTAAATAGAACTTTTTTTTTTTTTAAACTTTCATGGGTATTAGTGTTTCTGCATGGAGGATATGTATTGGAATATACAATTGCCAAAAATCTTGTGCACTATATAACGGAGAAACCAGGGTCCCCAATAAATGCAGTCCAAATTATTTGAATTTATTTCTCAGAATTTTATGGTACTTTGGTCTTACATTCGTTATAACATGTACATTGTACCTCAACATGACAGACTCAATGAGACAAACTGCCTGTATATCTTATAAGATTCTTTTACTTGGATGCATTAGTATATTCTTGGTGGCTCTCCCTGCATTTACTTTCATGAGTACAATGATATATATTCATGGCAATCACAAACATTTTGGAACATTTTATATGATTAAGATGTTCGCAAGTATATTTTTAATGTTTATTCCATTCTGTGCTCTATTATGTTATATACCTAACACAGTCCAAGCTATTCTCTTACTGAGCAATGATGTTCACCCAAATCCAGGACCTACAAATAACTTTCAACTCACAAAAATTATTTTCTCAAATATTAACAGTATAGGTGCCAATGTAAATGCCAGATTTAAAGCACTAAAAGATAGAATTCACATGAATGGAATTGACATTATTGGACTTTGTGAAGTTGGAAACTTAACCCAAGAGGTAATTAATTCTGAGTATTCTATTGATGGTCATTCTCATGTATACTTAAACAAGAATCGAGGACTTCTGATATATGTTAAAGATGACATACCTTTTAAAGTAAGATATGACCTCATGAATGATCAGGGTGATTCCTTATGGATTGAGTTAACCATTAACTATAAATCTTACCTTTATGCAATATATTATAGATCACCTTCTCAGTCTCAAAATGATGCAAATGATTTTTGTAATCGGTTTACAGCTTCATGTAATCTGGCACTTGATAATAACCCTGAATCAATTTTTATCAATGGAGATTTCAATGCGAGATGTAAAGAATGGTGGGCCTTGGATAATGAAAACACTACAGGAAAATTTTTATTTGAATGTATCGAGAAACTTGGACTTGTGCAACTCATTGATGAACCGACTCGTATAACAAACATCAGCAGATCATGTATAGATTTACTCATCTCAAATAACCCTGACATCATTACAAATACTTATGTCTCTCCTCCAATTGGCAACACAGACCATTGTTCAATAAACACCGAGTGCTTTCTTGGTAATCAAAAAAATCGCCCGTATTCAAGGAAAATATGGAAATATGATGAGGCAGACATTAACTTAGTTAACAATGCAATCCGTGCGGCAAATTTTGATCATTTAATAGACACTAACAACAACTTTGATGACCTTATCAAAATATTTTCTGGAAGTCTACTTGCAATTTTCACAGACCTCATTCCAAACTCAGAAATTGTTGTAAAATCTACTAACAAGTCATGGTTCACAAGTGACATTAAAACATTAATTAATAAAAGAAATAAATTGCATTATAAGTATAGAAAAACTCATAATGACATGTACCTTCAAAAATATACAGATCAATGTAAACTGGTAAATGAGGCTATAAGTGAGGCAAAAGAGGCAATGGAATCAAGATTGTACCAAAAATTAACAACTCATAGATATGGAAGTAAGGGGTACTGGTCAATTATTAGTAGGCTCCTAGGCAAATCAAAAAATAGTAAAATACCCCTCCTCAACGATGCCAATGGTAATAATTACACTGATAGTTGCGACAAAGCAAATTTATTGTTATCACATTTTATTGACAAATACCATAATAATTATAATCATGGAAATGAACCATTTATTCCAAGAACCGATATAACATTTGACCTGCTCTCTACCAATGACAGAGAAGTCTATAACATTCTACTCGGCTTAAATATTAATAAAGCCACTGGCCCTGACATGTTGAGTAATAGAATGCTAAAAATGGCAGCACCATCACTTTCACCTATTTTATCAAAACTGCTTAACAAAATGTTTACTTTGAATCAATATCCTCAACTATGGAAGGTAGGGCTGTGCCGGAACCGGTTCGGACGGTTCGGAATCGGAACCGGAACTTGGTCTCACGGAATCGGAACTTTCGGAACCCCTTTTGGTTCACAAATGAAAATAATTATGTATGAGTGAGTTCGACGGCGATCATGACGATATCGTCGTCCAAGTTTGTCAGGTTAACACTTACCTTTCCTGTCAAGCAAGTTTGAATGTTTTTACGAAAGAAATAGACTCTAAAATCTGTAAAAAGAGAGAAAATTCGATCTTTTTTCTACTTGTTTTCACTTCCGGCTGCTCTGACCATAATGCGCATGCGTAATTGTCAAAGTTCGTAAAACAAAACTTGATTTCTGTTGATTTCTCCGCTATTTATTTTGTTTATGCGAGTAATACACATGCAAATTGGATGTAGTTTGAAGGAAAACATCACTGGAGGAACAATGGTCACGGATATTAACGATTCAAAGCAAGTACTAAGGTAAGGGTCCGATATTGTTCCGAAACCCTTCGGAACATGATATTAAAATTCCGAATTCCGGTATTTTAACAAAAGTCCGCGGTTCGGACCGATTCCGGTCGAATGGCACGGCCCTAATGGAAGGTCGGTCATATTGTAGCTATTCATAAAAACAAAGATAAAACAGATGTGAAAAATTATCGCCCAATAACACTCCTGTCTTGTATTTCTAAAGTCGCCGAGCGCATTATTTTTAAAAGACTCTTTGATCATCTCATTTCTAACAATTTATTTTACAATCTTCAAAGTGGTTTCCTGCCAGGACATAGCACACAGGCACAACTTCTAAGTATTATTGACCACATAACAAATGAAATTGAAAATGGGGCTAATGTAAGAGGGATATATCTTGATATTTCGGCTGCATTTGATTCAATGCCCCATGGGCTACTATTAGGAAAATTGAAAATGTTTGGTTTTGGTCCGAATATCCTGGAATTGATGAAATCATATTTACTACACAGACAAGTGAAGGTGGTATTAGACGGTCATGAGTCAAACTTATCTGAAAAGGGTTATATCAATTCCGGAGTTCCTCAAGGCTCGATCCTGGGGCCCCTCTTATTTTTGATCTATATCAATGATTTACCTGACAATTTGAATTCAAAATGTTTCATCTACGCAGATGATACCTCAATTTACCAGTCATTCACAGCTGAAACAGCAACTGATATGAACAATGCCCTACAGGAGGATCTCAACCATATTTTTCAATGGTCTGAAGTATGGAAATTAAATTTTAAAGCTTCTAAAAGCAAAGATTTGACCTTTTCCAATCCAAAGAAACGTGAAATTTTGACCATAGATCTTTCTCTCGGAAACGACATTATACCAAGAGTAAACAGCCACAAGCACTTAGGCTTAATCCTAGACAGAAATCTCACTTTTGACCTTCACATAACTGAACTTGGTGCAAGAATAGACAAACTTTTAAATCCACTGAAAGCGCTCTGTCAGAAAATAAATGGAAAACATCTCGAAACAATCTTTAAATCTTTTATCCTGCCACTTTTTGACTATGGTGATATTTTATATGGGTGTGCAAACACAACAAAATTACAGTTATTAGATCGACTTTACTATAAAGCCGCTTGCATTTGTTCAGGTACTCTACATGGGACTTCGACAATTAAAGTGTTGAATAATTTAAATTGGCCAACATTAACAAAGAGGCGTCAATATCACAGAAGCATTTTCATGTATAGGGCACATAACAATATGCAGCCCTCTTATGTTCTTAACATATTTGAGCCTCTCAAAAGAAACCATGCTTATGGTCTAAGAAATCAACTGAGCTACACAATTCCTAATAAATCCTCATTTTCTAATAGATCTTGCATATCAAAAACACTGACTGAATGGAATAAGCTTTCACCTGAAATAAGAAATTTACCTACCCTTAGTATATTCAAATCCAGACTTAAAATAGATCTATTCAATGACGATGTTACAAATTCATCAGATCTCTCCGTTTCAAGAAAACAAGAAATAATTTTCAATAGAGTGCGCTGTGATCTCATTTTTAAGGCTCACCTTTACGCTCACAATTTCACTAATATAAACTCCCCCATTTGCCAGTGTGGAATGGATGGTGAAACAACCAATCACGTAATTTTTCACTGTAATCTAAGATCAACATTTTGGACAGAATTTGAAAATGAATTAAAAAATATGAACATAGAATATTCTACTAAATATAGATCACAACGAGACAAACTCTCCCTTATCCTCAATGGCGATAAAAGGCTACCTAAAGCTGTAAACTTAAGTATCCTCAAATGTAGTGCCATCTTTTTTGAACGATGTAAAAATGTCTAGGTCACCCCCACCACTGTAACCCTCCACAAATACAACCCCTTTTTTAATAATTGATTGAATACTGTTAATTGATTTTCATTATATAACGTGGCTGATAATGCTGATGCCCAGCCACAAGCACATGTGCATTTGTTTACTGTATTCTTTGTATAAATATATAAATAAATAAAAAAAAAAAAAAAAAAAAAAACCTCTTTAACCCTCCCATTGAAGGTCAAATTTCAAATCTCAAGTCAGATTTGAACTTCTGGGAAATTGTAGATGGTTTTGAAATAAAGACCTTAACAATACGTCACAAGTTTTGGTGGTGACATAAAAATTATACTAACCTTATACTAACCTTCATTTTGGTTGAAAAATGCTTCAAAAAGTGTAATGATTATTATTACATGCAAAGGAGTGGTATCGATATGGTGAAATTTTTGAACACGCGTTTCTCTTAAACCAGTCATCAAAACATTCTGAAAATTTTACACAACGTCATATTTAATGGGCATCTTTTGAATGGTAACATTATAATTTGAAATATTATATATATTTCTCTATATTGTTTTAGAAAACACATCTTTTGTTCTTGGTATCATATGTTTGGAATGAAATGAAACATCTATCCGAACCTCATTGGAACAAAACGACATAAACACAACGTGTTTAGGTCTTTCGATATTGTAATTGTGCAAAGGAAAGTTTGGTTGATTTAAAAAAAAGTATCTTGTTAATGAAATAAAAGGTTTATCTTAATTTGTATCTATTTTGAGGGGTTTTGTTTTAGGTTTTTGCATATCTTTTATATCAACCAAAATTTCCTTTGTATAAGTATAATATTGAGAGGTCTAAGAAAATGTTGTATATGCTATTTGTTCCAACAAGGTTCGGAAAGACATTTCATTTCATTCTCAATAATTGGTAGAAAGGAACAAAAAACAATTGCACTAAAAAACAAAAAATGTTAACAAAAACAGTTATGGTATAACTAATTTTTGCATTAAATTGTTGCCAATCAGTCAACATTACATAAAGGACCGTGTTTTCTACAAACTGTTTTCAATAATTGGTTTAAGAAAAAAACATTGTTGAATTCAGTTCACCATATCGATACCTATCCTTTGTGAGCATACGTAAAGTTTAAAATTGATTTTACATCCTAGTATTTGAAGTCACATACGTGGATGGGTTGGCCGTGTAACGATTGTCTGATTTCATTTCGTAGACATATGAAGCCGATATTATGATGTTTAAATTGCCATATGCCCTAAACTATACCGATGACATTCGTCCAGTGTGCATGCCCGAAGTGGGAAATCTATACGTCGGGCAACAGTCTATTGTGGCTGGTTGGGGGACGTTCTGTTCCGGTGAGTACAACATTAACAGTTCATTGTTACAAGGGGGCAATTAAATGTACGTGTAGCCCTTATTTGGACATTAACGTTCTATCAACCATGACCCCTAGGTCTACTTCTTTAAGGATTTAGCCATATGACGCAATAAATTTCTGCATTCTCTTTGTTAGAGAAATGCATGAGTTTCTTGTATGCAGCTTGAAAAAAAAGAAAGAAAGTATAAGATTCAACCATAATTGAAAAAAGGTTTTAATATGGGGTTACATTGACTCGGGTTGGACAGTTAAAATGTGAGGATTTCTAGCTAATTTCTAGAACTAAACCAAACGTTGCTCTTGATATTAGTAATACGAGGAATAATAAACTCCAGTTAAAGTAAAAGAAGCAAGATACATACTAAAATGAGTGGGCAGAAATTGTTTCTTATTATTGTGATTACAGATTGCAGCTACCCAGATAACATCCACCATGTTAACTTACCTATTATCTCAAATAACGATTGTGTGTTTATGTTGCTTGAAAATGGAAGGTCCGATATAATCTTCGACAGTAACATATGCCATGAGACACCAATGAAGGATACTGGTTATGTAAGTTTAATTAATAACATGATGAAAACATACTGTCACCACTCAATTTCAAGTAACAACGCAATATTCCGTTATTTTCTTAGCCAAAAGGGCGATAGAAAGATTTTTAATACAGATGCATGACAGTCAATATATTTTAGCTTGGTTCTTCCATGTAAGCAGTCACTGACTAGATAAATTATAGTAAATTCCTACGGCTGTTGCCATCTTTAGATCGGTCTAAAACCTATGATTATTTTGAGATTTCGTTATATTTATTCAAATCGGGATCAATCGAGGTAAAAATGACCAGTTCATCTGCGCTGCAGGACTACTTCAAGAATTCTGGATTCGGCTCTAGTCGAGAAAATATGGGGGCCATAGTAAATTATCCATAACACCTGAATCAGATATTCCTACCATACGTGTAGACACAGCTGAAGCTCAAGTATGCCTGAAGTTAATAATTCCATACGGAACTACTAATACAAGCCAATATATTCTTTGTAGGGTGATTCCGGTGGAGCGTTCCTACACAAGGGCGCTAATGGTATTTTCCGCGCTATAGGTGTCGTATCCTGGGGGTAAGCGAATCATGTTACAATAAAAAATACAATGCTTTTAATGAAAATCAAACAGGTTAAAGTTAACAAAGCGATCATATGCATTCAAGCATTAACTTCAATTTTTATGAAACCATTCTCCAGCACATAGGCTCACTCATATCACCGAATGTTTTTATGAAAGAGACTCCCTTCAAAAGTACTTCTAGATATAAATGTAGTACTTGATCAAAATAGATTTTGGATATAAGAAACCATCTATATATTCAAATTAAAGGGGTCAAAGATCATATATATATATATACCCTCCATCCTATCCCCCCTCCATCCAATATTAATTTAATTTGATTATTTTTTGTGTAACGCATGGAAACCAACTTTAAAAAGTGAGCGATGTCATTAGTATTGTGACAATAACGTCCCTTATACCTATTTATTACAGGTCGTGTAGACCATTGTTGCCCGATTTATGGCAAAAACATTGACTTTTGCACGTTGGTGATGATGCACCTTTTTTAATAGATCTCATATCTTAGAAGGGTATCAGTTCAAAGGAAATACTAGATGGCCTAACATATTTTGCCATGCACTACGCCTATTCATTTGGCAATTCAGTTGTAAATTTTCTCTTGAAAAAATAAATGTTCCAAATTTGTTGAGTTTTCTTGCAGAAATCGCCTAATCCCCCTCCATCCATTTTGTACGATCACCGGGCGTATCATATGTGATTTAAACTGAAAATTAACTGTTACACCTTTAACAATTCAGCTTTTGAACCATTTTTGTATTGAGTGCTAAAATTATTTATTTATCTTGTTGTAGTCTTGTTACCTTTACAAAGGGAAATGTAATTTATATTTCAAGATACGACCCTGCTGGCGACCCTGCCTTACCGGGCATAGGACAGAGGGTGACATCATTCGTCCCATGGATAAACGCTGTTATGCTCAACAACTAGGAGCTGGTATATCCATGGCCTTGTACACGTACCTCGAATATATACCCGTTTGTCTTTAAATCTAAATCTAGTTAATCCTCAAAATGTGAAAATGATCTTTCGGTTATAAAGTATCAGAGAGGAATGTATCTCTCTAATTTCACTGCAATAATAAACGACTTGTTTTGTGTGGCTTTACCGTGCAACAATTAAAGAAATGAAAATAAAACGTCGGTGTCTTGACTGTTACTGAGCACACTTGGCTAAAGCCAGCTGAAGCAACGTTTCCTAAGACAAGTAGTGGTTTTCTCAAAGGACCACAAAAAGTATCGCTGCATTTCAGGTAAAACATGTTGGTGCACCTTCCCTGTCTGAAACTCCAAATTATTTCATTTCTTGGAGGTAATTCATTGGCCTGCCATAATGTACCCGTTTAAATTTTCAGAAAAAAGCCATAATCCAACATATGATTGTCTGGAATCTATATATTTTCCGTGGTCCTTTCCAGCCGCTGCGGCAGGATTTTGAAAAAAAAATTGCACTAAATTTTTTGCACTAATTCCTTTCTCACGTGACATATATTTCAACTCTGGGAAACATTTGTAAGTACCAGTTGCTGAATTTGATTAATACTGACACTTGGACAAAATAAAAACAAGGAAATGACATTTCAGATAAATATTTTTTATTATACGTATATTGTATCGGTAAAAATGCATTCTGATTGGCAAGAACGTAATAGGTGCAGACTACCTGTGAATTCACTGAATTGTGTTTATTATTTACCAGGCATTATAGCCTACTCTATTCTACTTCACACTTTAATCTTGCACATTGGTTGGTTGATATTTGACTTCTACTTAACAAAACAAATGGAAAAACAAAAGTAGAACGATGTTAATATTTCGTTTTATGATAATTAATGTCAATGTTGATTTTCCACTAATAATGATGAAATGCTCTTAGAATATATATAGGTTGGGCCAAAAAATGTTACTGATTTTAAAGTGTAATAACTCATTCATTATTTTTGATTTTGGAAAAAAATCATTATTGGCATGATTGGTCTCAAAGTGTCTGAGATGACTGAGAATTGATGCAAGATTTATTCCGTATTAATGGTTTTAGCCACCAAGAACACAGAAACGTACATGAAAACCACTTATGTGGACAAAAACTTGCGCATCAGCTCTTAGCCAATCCCAAATAATGCCAATAATGAATGAGTTACTACATTTAGTGAATCAATAACATTTTTGGCCAACCCTGTACAAAGTACTAACCTGCCATTTTTACAGACGCTGAATACCGTCCACAAGAAAGTTGGAGACCATAACAATTTGTCACCACGACCACTTCTTGCGGTGACATAAAAAGCATATAATCAATCAATTTGATTCTAATAACAAATACTTTCTAAGAAATTGATGAATAGATTATTCAATAAAAAAACTGAGTAACACATGTTATATGATAATATTCCAAAATATGCCAAAGTTTAGCAACCGCAAGACCATGTTGGATAACGTATTAAAGCAAATAATTTTATCACTAATTTATAATAGGTCTCAAAATAAAACATTTGCTAAATTTAAAGAGTCTAACAGATCGTCAAAAGGGGGATTTCCCGTTGCATACTTTTTGCGGGGATTGTACATGTATATGTCTATATGATAATCCTCAGAATATCTAATACTACTGTTGTATACATCCGTTCTTGTCATCCTCTCCAACTTCACGCTTCACGGATAAACTTAAACGACGTTTGATATTAGACGTCATTCCAGGAAACGCAATGTAGTTATTCTTTTTGCCAACATATGTTGGCTCTATAGTTTTAGCATTATTTATACGTCTGTTTCTAACCCTCTGAAAAGGCGAAGGGTTATAAGAATGTCTCGAAGGCTTATCACCATTCATTGCAGCGTCTATGAGTTGTTGTTCGTGCTCCTTCGCAAAAGCCTTATCTCGGTGTTCAATACATTGTTTACAAGTTCTTTTCCCTGTCAAATCACAGTTGTGACCTTCGGGATATAGTTCATCTTGGAAAGGGACGTCTTCGGAGCACCCACTTGGAATAGTTATTCTACTTCCGGAAACTGCCACAGAGGGCACTGGGGCATCTCTATGGCGGGCTTTGACTTCTTCTAAATACATTTTATACATGTACTTATTTTTCTGTCCGGGCTCATCTAAAAATGATTTGTAAGCACTGGGGAAAATTAAATCGTCACTTTCATATTTTGATTCTGGTCGCTGCCTTCTGTTATATTTCCGGATCACCCGTTTCTCGTTTTCAAGTTGGGTATCGTTTATTATAATCTCCATTCTCGGGGATGTCTTCAAAGGTGGTAATATGGGAGAGTCATCCGTAAGTTTACTCAGATTTTCAGTCACATTCTCTTCATATAACGTTCCTTTATTAATACAATTATCCTCAGCCGCTCGAGAATTATTCAACATAGGAACTTTTGGAACTTCCCAACTTTTCGCAAGTTTCGCACGTCGTTCTTTTTCGGCGTGTTCCTTCATAGCACATTTCATGCACCTTGGGGTGTGGTGTGTGTGTCTACCATTCTGTGACCGAGCGTTTGGTTTTAACCAATCCATTTTGGTCGTTCCTTTGTGTTAATAAATCCCAGTTGATCTATTCTTGGTTTTCTTATCATAAAATCATTATACATCCATGTGTGTGTTTGGAAACTAGGGATACGTACTAATAAACCCTTTAAGTGAATGAGTCTGGTACCGTTTGAATTGATTCTATTTACCCATGTTTACCGTTGAAATATTTGTGTTTGTCAAGTATTTATCGTTATTTTGTTCAAGTGTTTGAAAGAGGTCACAGAAGTTCATTGATTTACAATCGCTCACCTGTATACAACTTCTTGAACGCTATTTAGTCTTTTGAATGCGAGCCTTCTTTAATTGAATATGATTGATCGTCCCAGTACTCAATAAAATGTACGCAAATACGATCACCTGGATCATTCGATTGGTATAATGAGATGTTTTGGATATATAGGGTGTCTCAAAAAAATGTACCCAAAAGTATATCAACACCATAGACAAACCAATCAATATTTTCAGACATTTTTTGCATGATCTTGTAGATAAAAGCTGAAAGTTTTTCCCCTATGCTCAGTTTTTAATTCAGTTTTGCCTTTTTGATACTTTGAACAGTTACCTTTTACACCACATATTCAATGTAACCTCATATTTCGATGATAGTCTGCATCCTTACTACTACATTGTTCATCACATTTGATATTTCTGCTGGAATGTTTTGATTTTTGTTCGGATACTGATCTTAAGTTGTTCTAGGTCTCTTAACTTGGGTTTAGCATAAAAATGGTCCTTTAAATAGCCTCAGGGAAAAAACTATGGGCCGTCAAATATGGTGAATAGGGAGGCCCTCACAATGTCTTATAGCCCCCTTATACAAAGAGGTCAGACATTCAAGAAACTGCTTTTGTTGGGATTTTAGTGTAGCTTCTGTTATGTGTATCAATTTGAGACCACTGTGTTTTCATTTAGATATCGTTTGGTCTCCAGGCTAGCCTGCCTAACTCTGGAAGGTAACTCCTGAATCACTTGCCGATAATTGACCTGATTATCTGTGTTTGTTCTGCCATCGTCATCCTCAAACATCTTTCTCTGTGGCTATTTGAAGGAGTGTTTTAATGCTCATTCCAAGCAAAAAGACCTAGAACAACTTAAGGGCAACATCCAAAGAGAAATTCAAAACATTCAACCGGAATTATTATCAAATGTGATGAACAATGTAGCAGTAAGGATACAGGCTGTCATTGAAATATGAGGTTACATCGATTATGTGGTGTAAAAGGTAAAGGGTAAAAGCACCAAAAAGACAAGACTGAAATAAAAATGGTGTATTGGGGAGAAAACTTTCATGTTTTGGCTACATGACCATGCAAAAAATGTCTGAAAATATTGATTGGTTTATCTGTGCTTTTGATATACTTTTGGGTACATTTTTTTGAGACACCCTGTATACTTTATTAATGGATTTGACGTATTAATGTATTTTCTGGAACTTTGAGAAGAAAATGCATAAAAAATTTCGACAATCATTCTCGACAATTTTTTTTATTTTTAATTCTTCCAAAATATTTTTTCCTTAATAATCAGCTTCTGTGAAGCCTTACATTATAAGTAATGATAAACTTGCTTAAAGGCAGATTCAGATCTATAGGGGTCACAAAATTGCAAGCAACATGTACAATTGGCCTGCCGATCTATTCCTTATGATCTCAAATACAAATCTACCAAAAAGATCCGCGATATAGGCCTATTGTAAATTGGTGAAGTTTAAGTGCAAAAATGGGGGGAGGAGATAGACCTGGCAAGCAATGACATGAGCCAAAAATATCTAAAAATTGAAACAATTTTCTTTTAAAGTTTTTTTCAGCTTGGCCGCTAGATTTGATTCTCTCTTTAAGTAGATCTATTAGAACAAGAAAGGATTGGTATCGATATGGCGGACTGAATTCAACATTGTTTTTCTCTCAAACTAATTATTGAAAACATTCTGTAAAAAGCACTGGCCTTTATGTAATGGTCAATGATTGACAAAGTTTGCATAATTTTTTAAGAATTTTTTGATGACTGGTTTAAAGCCCCCATATAAAGTTTAAACCACTTTGGCATATATTGTAGTCTTACCCAATGTTATCAAGTGTCATATGTGAAACTTTTTATTTTAATTTCAAAAAGTGGTTTTTGAAGAACTTTTTGTTCGAAAAATTGTGAATTTCTTTAAAACTAACTTTTAGAGGTTACACGTATCTTTTAATAAAGAATAATTAATACCAATGAACAGCATTCATCTTCACATGTTATTTGCCGAAAAAATTAAGAAAATCGGTTCATAAATAAGCGAGAATTGAACTCATCAATCCATGAAAATGCATTTCAAAATTTTAGTTCTCATAGAAACCAATGGCACAATAATACCTAAAACTTAATATTTTCTTCCTTTTAACCTGGTTAGACAACCAACTTTGATTTATTTTTGAAGTTTAGCATATTTAGAAAATATTGACATAGAATTTTTTTTCAAAAAAAAATTTGCCACCTGACTGAGTCATCGATGACATCACTCAGGTTGCAAAATATCTTTGATATGCTAAAACATTGAAGTGGCACATTCGACATGGCATTTTATTATTAAAATAGTGTGTCCTTTGTGCAATCTTTGCATAGGTGTTAAAAAGATAATCTTTTTTGTAATGTATGGTGGAATATTTGAAAATGGCGGGAAATTTGAATATTTGAGAAATGAAAAGCTAACAACTTATTTTTCAATTTTTTTTTGAAATATCTCTTTTCGAACATTACACGGGGAGAAACATGTGTTCAATTCCGTTCGTCATATCGATACCAATTTTTTCAATTCTGGAAGAGATCTAGGAATGAAAACTTTCATCTGTCAAGTAAAAGGTTACAGGGTGTGACAAAATAATCGTGTTGGTCTCCATTTATAATTTACATTTGCGAGAAAGTTGAAAGAGAATCCTTCTCCGGCATCTTGATCTCGTTGTACATGTCATCACCAACGCCCATGGAATTCTCTTACGTCTTAACCACAGGTGTTTACAAACCATCAATACTGAGGCTGTACCCATTATCACTATGACTACAAGAAATAAAATGACGTCAAGTGAATAAAGCTGGAAGAACGTCATATCGTTAGCGACTTCGGATCGAAGATGTGGGGCACCATGCCAACGTATGACGTATTCGATCCAATATAAAAAACTTTGGTTTATCGGCAGTGGTTGGTCCTTCATTAAGTTCATAGCTGTTACAGCGTTTGTTTTATACATCCTATAGTTATGGAGAACTCGTCGCACAACATTCCCGAACTTTTCCGATTTGAGCTCGTTCACATTGACTTGAAGCCCCATGCGTTTGCGATTAACTAATTTCGAAGCATGTGAAAACTGATCTAAATCTAATGGCACTGCAATTACAGGTACCCCGTAATATATAGCTTGGTTGAAACTATTGACTCCACAGTGTGTTATGAACAGTTTTGTCTTACTATGTTTCAATAGCGCATTTTGAGGTATCCAGGGCACTCTCATTACGTTATCACTTGCGTTGGTGAGATTTGCTCCCTCGTATTTCCAAATAACTCGTAATTTTAAAGATGAAAATATTCGGGCCATCGCTTCGGCTTTATCTATACCAACATTGTTAAAGCGTGTGCCAAAACTAACTACAACTATGCCAAATGTGGCCCCTTCCACAAAATCGTTTATTTCTGCGCTAAGTACCTCGTTTTGAAAGATTCCAAGTGGCGACAACATTACGACATTCGGCATTGTCGGCCTCGGAAACTCAGCAGAAATATCCCCTTGGCAAATTACAAGGGACACCCTTTTAAACGAATCTCTCATCGAAAGAGTTGCATTCAATTTGAATTTTCGTTTCAGATTATCAAAGTCATCGAGAATGCCGTTAATGGCAACGTCCATTCTCATGTTTATTATATAATGCCACACTCTTTCAATGAATGTCATTTTGTCTGTGAAGCTGGTTTGGATGTTGGGTACGAAGGATGGCATATAAGGTCTCGCGAGATCTGTGTCTCTCACGGGACCCCATGTTGACACTACCACAGTCGGTATGTCCAAATAATCCCATACAAGTCTGCTACACCATGCGGATTCATCGGTCAGAAATAGGTCAAAATTCCTCGATTTGATTTGATTTAACACTTTGGTCCTTAGAAGGCTTGCACAGAAACGATATTGCACCTTTGCACCTATATCCATGAATTTCCAAGGTGACATATCTCCATGATCCGGAGATAAATTAACATGGTATCTTTTAGGAGTTGGAAAAGACATAATAACAACATCACGTGGGATATATTCGGTATCTGATAGCAGCTGGATATCATCAGGAAGTATAAAAGTTACATCATGTCCGTTTTCAAGTAACGTTCTGGCGAGATTCCCAAATACCATAAAATGAGAATTGAGTGTGTACGTGCAGAATGGATAAACGACTATGGAGGAGGGACACACTATTGGTATCCAACTGGTACTGACGAGTATTGAAACGAACGTTGAAATAATTGTCGGTAACTGTGTCATTCTAGTTGAGAATCTTGCCTCATTCAGTATGAATGTTCATCTGGAAAACATAACAGTAAATTAGACAATCACACTAACATGTACATTACCGCTTGGGCAAGGTTTCAAAAACAGTTATTTCGTAGAAGAGCGATGTAAGGAGATCTGAATTTCGGGAACCTCCAAAAGGCCTAAAATTATCTAATACAGCATGTAAACATGCAAGCCAACACACACAAATCCCCAGCATCCCAAATTTGATTCAATTACAAAGAAATAGTGTCCTTTACCCACCTCAACCACTCATTTAGCCTAGAAATCATTATCACAATCCAAGAACAACAACAACAATAGACCGTTTTTTAGACTGAAGTAATTTAGATATATCTTGAGGAGCAATTGAAAGAATAGAAAACCAATAATATAAACTAGCAACAGTTGTGGATGCGAGTGACCAACTCCTTGCATAATAAATAGGACAGGTCAGGGTCAACTGAGTTAAATATTTATTAGATCATTAATTTTGATTTTGGCAAGATATTACTGTAAGGCCAGGGTGCATGTTGGGAAATTTTCTGCATTCCTCAATTGAGTCACGTGTTATTTTTTCAAACAAGAATCACTCCTTCCCCACATTCCAGTTTTGCACAAAGAGTGCACATGTGTACCTAGAAAAGACTAGTGAGAAGATTTGTTTGCTAAATTGTTTAAAAAACGAGAAAATTCAGCGAAAAAAAATTCTGAAAATTTTCTGAATTTTTTCACTGAATTTTCTTGTTTTTTATACACTTTATCAAAACAGTCTTCTCACAATTCTTTTCGAGGCATATAGGTACACTCTTTGTGCAAATCTGGAAGATGTAGGCCATGTGGGGAAGGAGTGATTCTTGTTTGAAAAATAACATGTGACTCAATTGAGGAATGCAGAAAATTTCCCATCCTGCACCCTGGCCTTAATTGTACTATACTAGTACATTTGATTCACCTACTTTGAATATCAACTTCTTGAAGCAGCAAGTGGTATTGTGATTTTATCAGTTGTTATGCCCAGTTGGGTTGCGTCCAGACGCCATTGTTAGTAAAACAAATGTAATGCTCTGAATAGACTACTGGTTGAATCAGGAATCTTGAGTCAAAATGCTAATTCCAGATGAAAACTTTTTGAAAACCTGAAATAAGTATATCAATAAATAAATAATGAAAACATGTTACTCTGACAAAATGGCAGAACGTTTTGTTGTTGACATAAAATATACATACATTTAAAAATGACCTGACAAGATATGTAGATCTAGTCTTACAATAGGCTGGATGGTAATTGATTTAATACTACGAGACATGCAACGCATTATGTAAGTCTCAATTTGTACTTAAATAACTTCATAGTAGGCTACTTTATTTAAAATAGGCCAAGTTTATTTTGGCAAGTACTTGTCAATTTAAGGCGTTTTTAAAGGTACATGTGCAGTATGCATACCTGCCAACCTAAGACCAAAATTTTGCGGTAGATTTTTTTTAAATTGCTGTAGTTTTGCGGTAGATTTTTTCAAAATACGGTAGTTTTTGCGGTATTTTTCAACAAAATTGCAGTAGTTTTTGCGGTAGATTTTAGAAAAAAACGGTAGTTTTTGCGGTAGATTTAAAAAAAAACGGTAGTTTTTGCGGTAGATTAAAAAAAATACGGTAGTTTTTGCGGTAGATTTTAAAAAAATACTGTAGTTTCAGAGGTTTGGGGTAGATTTTTGAAAAAAGTGTAATTTTGCGGTAAAATTTGAAAAAAGCGGTAGTTTTGCGGAAGATTTAGAAAAAATGCGGTAGTTTTACGGTAGATTTTAAAATGCGGTAGTTTTTACGGTAGTTTTTTAAAAAACCGGTAGTTTTGCGAAAGATTCTGAAAAAATGCGGTAGTTTTACGGTAGATTTTGAAAAAATGCGGTAGTTTTTACGGTAGTTTTTTGAAAAACCGGTAGTTTTGCTGAAAATTTTGAAAAAATGCGGCAGTTTTATGGTAGATTTTGAAAATTGCGGTAGTTTTTACGGTAATTTTTTGAAAAACGGTACTTTTGCGGAAGATTTTGAAAAAATGCGGTAGTTTTACGGTAGATTTTGAAAATTGCAGTAGTTTTTACGGTAATTATTTGAAAAACTGGTACTTTTGCGGAAGATTTGCCAAAATGCGGTATTTTTCGGTAGATTTTGAAAAATGCGGTAGTTAAACCTTTATAGTTTATATAGTTTATTATAGGTCACAGGTTCATACATATACAATAAAATACAATACTAAAATACATTAATAAAAAAAACTCTAGCCGATGCCGGCTTATGAGACACTTATATTATACATAAATAGCATCAATATTACAATGTTATTGCAAACGTTCCAGATTAAATGCCCTCTTTTGAAACATTTTATATATAGAGGAAGCAATTTTCCTTTGACTAGATTTACATGTCATTATAGAGTGGAGTGTAATATTATCAACACTAAAATTATCGAATGAATCTCTTAACTATGAAAATAGGTCATTTCTGATATCTATATAATGTGTACAGTCTAACAGAAAATGTTTTTCATCTTCTACTTGGTCACTATCACATAAAAGACATTTTCTGTTGTGTAATGGAATGTTATTAAAGCGACCTGTCTCTATGGCTAACTTCAAAGTACCAGATCTAAATTCTGCCAGTATTTTTCTATGGTGTCTTGGCAAGTTTTCCTTTATAAACTGTTCAGTGCAGACACCGAATTTAAATTCCCTATATGTTCTTAATTTATTTCCATTTATAAGGTTTCCCTTGTCATTCCATATGTTATTTAAGAATGGGTCTTGACTTTGGAAGTGTAGTTGAACATTTTGGACTGTTTGTTTGATATTGATTGGTTGTTCCATTTCTAAAACAGGGCCCTGGTTTGCTTTTTGAATAATATTGAGCACTTTATTGTCCCAGCTTGATTTTCTCCTTTTTGACCAGCTATGTACCTTAAAGTTAATTCTATTATGGTCTGTATTTTTTAATCTGAGGAATAGCCTAACACATTGGAGTTTTTGTTTATTTATAGGTAGCTCCCAGCCCAGGTCTCCTCGGACTGCTTCATTGTTTGTCCTTGAGCCTACTCCTAAATAAAACTTCCCTGCTCTAGCCTGGATCTTGTTGAGACACTTATGCTCAGTAAGCCCTATGATAGATGTCCCATAGTTAATGATTGGTTGCACTAGTGTATCATAGAGCTTATCAAAAACATCAAAGTCCATATCTCCAAAGTGTTTTGCTTTTGCTATAATAACACCCAAGGCTCTGTTTGCTGATTTTGCTATTTCTTGTGCTGTGTGTTGGGATTCTACATGTTCATTAATCCACAATCCAAGATATTTGTAAGTGTTAGCATATGTAAGCTCTATATGTTACCACATGTAAAATTAAAATTACACCTAGGGGTGGATTTTGGCCTGTAGTGCACAATTTTTGATTTATCAGCATTAATTATCATTCTCCATACAGTGCGGTTTTCTATATTAATACAATGTTTACGTGGTCATATTGTTGTTAAATCAGAACTACTACCTGAGAATTATACGAAACTATTATTTTCAAGAAAAAATAGATATACTATTTTCAAAAATTAATAGAGACTAAACACGTTTTTATTTTTCATTTACCATGCCTACAATGGACTGACAGCAACTTTGGATTTTAATGTTTCAGCAAAATGTACATATACAACTCTTTTACAACTCTTTTACAATAAATCTAGATTGATTCAGAATACGAACACAATATTCATATCTCCACTTTTATTCACCTTCTAACCAGTTTTTTTAGATATCAGGATGTTTGGAAATACCATGAATGAAACATTTACTGAAATACAAAATATGGATTTTACACGTTTTTACTCACCATCTTAGATGATCTATCACTCTAACGAATTGAAATGACAGACATAATGTTCATATAACATTGGAATCATATGGTATTAAATATTGCTTTGTTCACTCGCAAGTCTCTAATGATATCAACGTGTTTGTCTGGCACAAATAGAAAATAAGTACAGATCAATTGTCTTTCAAAAATAATCTGTTATGAGCATTTGCTGAAACCTTTCCACTGAGACATCGTTCAGATTCGGATATCACAATACTTTTATAATAAACCAGAACTCAATGCTTTATTTTTTAATTATGTATTTGTTACTGATAAAATGTTCTGATGAAAAATACAACATTTTATCGTACTGTAAACAAATTGATTAAACTATGTATAATGTATATGTGGCGTTCATTACTGATCATAACAAATCAAACTACGCATATTTCATACGCTAAATATGCATACGCATTAATGATTTCCACTCATTTATTTAGATGAAGCGCAACTAAAATCATATTTTTGTTGCATTCGGAATAAAGATCTGTGTACAAAAGGGTTTGGTTAACTACAAAAATCATGGCAGAAAGAATTCTTTCTAGCTAGTGGTAGTTGGTGTTTGGACTGATTACACGCAAGCTTACTTATATAAATGCGCAATAACCTGATAACCACAGACCTGCCGATACCTATATATATTCGGGTTGTTGAAGGAATATTACAGGGACAGTACAGGGAGACTTCAATTTTTCAGCATTTCCCAACGAATAACGGGAAATTTTACGGTAGTTTGAACAAAAATACTGTTGATTTTAGCAGAAATACGGTAGATTTTCGAAAATTTACGGTAGATTTTCAAAAATTTACGGTAGATTTTACGGCCGTTCTCATGGAATAAACGAGTTTTTTAAAAATAAAATTTACGGTAGATTACGAAAAAAATACGGTAGATTTTTTTACGGGCGTTTTTACGGAAAAAAAATGGTATTTCTTTACGGTAGTTTGTCATTTTTTTACGGAAAAACGAAAAATTTACGGTAGATTCCCGTAAAAATACGGTAGGTTGGCAGGTATGAGTATGGCAAGTGATTTTAGACAGTTATATCTTTTACCATGAGTATTTTCGGGGTATAAATACAGTGGTTTTTATTAAAACAATTATGTTTTCTTTAAAGTGACGTCCCCATGATGGTAAAATATCAATCCCAATCTCTGAAAAATTATGAATTAGGACCCCACCTTGTCACTTTTTTAAAAGATGCAAGGCTTATTTTCTAAAAAGAGGATCTTCTTTTTCTCAATTTAAATGTCTCAAAAGTTTCTACTACACTATATTAATAACATCTGAAAAGGGGATGGGTATTGGAGTGCGATAAAGTTAAAAAAACACATTTCCCATGTTATTTTTCCATAGGGAAAACTCATGCTATCCATTGTTTTCAGCACAATTTTGGTCATCGAAAATTGATATCTTCAAAACTAGACTTTCAATACCATCCTACTTTTGAAGAAGTTTTAGACCCCTTGTTGAATAATCTTTTCATGCAATATAAAGAAAAAGAAGGTTCTCTTTTGAGCAAATAAGTTCAAAGTTTTGAAAAAATTGTTGACGTGGGGTCCATATTTATATTTTTTCGAATTGTTCGATTGATATTTTCATCATCATGGGGACTTCACTTTAAAGGAAACAAATTGTTTTAATAAAAAACACTGTATTTATGCCCAGATAGTACTCATGGTGAAAGATATGACCGTCTAAAATCACTTGCCACAATACACATAGACCTTTGTCGTCGTATAGCAAATGGGAAGTAAATGCCACAGAATATATTAATGAAATAATATACATGTATATATGTTGTGACCATAAAAGTGTCATTCTTGATTCCATCTCTTAACGTATAATTTCCCCTTGCTATGAAATGTCCATAAAATATAAATGAAGAAAATAATTTTCATCCTAGAACTACCAGTGTTTCGAAAGACTGGACTTGACATAAACAAACTACCTTCGAATCTTTAGATTACTACACACATAAAAAGGTTCATTCCTTCTTTTAAGGTAATAATAAATTACTAGTAAACTTACCTTAAGTCAATAACTTTGTTGTAGGTAGCATCTTCAAAATATAATTCTTAAAAATCAAATTTATTTATTTTTCAAATTGTCTCATCTTTCCAACTGGTAAGATATACCGTTCGTGCTTTATTTAAAATTATGCGAACCGGGACATCACTTAAGCTATTAAATACACAGTGTGGGTACTTAAGACGAAATGTCGTACCGGATGGCTGGTCAGGTGTATCACGATTCGCCTGTATGACTAGGCTACTTTGGCTCGTTCAAACACCGCCCTTCATCATTTTGAGACTCATTACACTTTTGTTCCACCAAAAACAAGCTCAGATATTGTATTAAATAACCTTTGACATAACGTCATCGGATGAGAAGAGTTAAAATGGCATGAAGGGGCAACACAACCAATTGATCGTTCCGCTTGAGTGGGACGAATAGTTCGCATTTTAAACTAGCAAGAATATTGTCCAGTTATTGTAATTACACCAGCATCACCAAGAGTATCACCAGTGGTTTGATTTTCTTGGTAAGTTGAGAGGATAGATTTCAAAAAATGGTTTCTTAGATCAACAAATCCAACCCATAATAACAGGCCCGTTACCATTAGTAACTAGCGTGGGAGGGATGGGGGTTCTCAAATTTGCACCATCCTCCTTGTTATTTTTCAGATTTTTCAGTTTCTAGCTCAATTTTAAAGGAAGTTACATCAATTTTTGTCAAATTGAAATCTTAAAGGATATTTTGTTGGCGATCGCACCCCCTTACTGAAGCTGGATACACCCATGTATATTTCATATCTGTAAACAGTAGATTAATGTCAGTTATTAACGTTAAGTAAATCTTATTTTTGGTTGCGAAGGATTAAAAAACAATGTTTAAGTTTGCGATATTTACAAAACAATTTTTTAAAAATGTTGCTTCAATAATGTTTCTGGTTTGATAAAGAGCTCTATCATCAAACACATGCTACTTTTTAAAGTCTATCATTTTTGCCAAAATCTGTCCCGTTCCTTCATGTTATTTCTTTTATGGAATGTTTTCAGTTATTCTGCACAATTTTCCGGTTGACCTTTTTGCACACTTTCGTTGCTTGTTTCTTGGCATCCTGTCTTTCCATTGTGCAGATAATTTGTTTATTTCAGAACCAAAAAATGGTTCGTTTTGTTTCGGTTTGGTCTTACTCCTATCGTCCCAATCATAGTAGCGAGAATATTTCACAGAAATGATGTCATTTAAAGAAACATCGAGCATGTTGTCACGTTCTTTATGGTTACGTTCATGGGCAGGTAAACTCTTCCATGGAAGATTTGTAGTTGCATTCTGACTATTCGGACCACCCTGCAGAGGCCTTGAAAGAGTTTTTCCCATTGAATATGGATGGCTTTTTGTTTTCATATCGTTGAATGACAAGGTGTTTGAGTTCACATCACGATCTTTTGGTGCATGTTCAAAAAGGGTCTCCATGGGAATTGCTCTTTTTATACCATGACGACGATGAAGATTCTGGATTGGTTCTTTATCATGTACTGATTGCCTTTTAGTTTGCATGGCAACATAGCGTCTGTATTCCATTTCTGGATCTTTTATTGTTCTGGCCAGTTTTCTTGGAACACGGTTCCATAAAACTTCCCTTGCTTTGATTATTGTTCCCATAGATGCTCTGTCAGACTGAATTACAATTTTTCTGTCAATTCTTGAAGGTTGAAGATCACCAAGGAGTCGCGTATGTCGAGTCATATTCATGACGTTTTCTTGAAACTATATGATACTACTATTATGGTATTTTTGATAGTGTCCTTTTGGCCGAATCATCGTGGAAAGTAGAGTAACGAGAAACTGTATCTGTGACGTCTTTGATGGTTAAGTCTCCGAAAATCGGAATCCCCGATCTCTATTAGTATAGGTATCAATATTTACATGTAAATCAATCGATATTGCCTTATCATACAGGGTGTTCCAAAAGTAACAGGACTGGTGCTGGCATTTTGTTAAATATGCACCAATCGTCTTCAAAATTTTACATGATGTACTTTCAGGTATCGTTACTAAGACTGCAAAGTTTCTACAAAATATATGAAATTAGGGTAGAGTTATGGTTGCTATAGTAACATGACATCACAATACCCGGGGCAACATTCCACACAAAAAGTTACAGAGACATTAAGCATTTTGTACATGCCATATCATTCTGTACCATCAAAGTTGAAATGCAACAACTGGTGGGAATTACATTTGTTTTACATCATTTGATATTCCTATGTACTAGAGTATCCTTTACGTTGAAAAATAGGCTCCTCTTTGGTCAGTACAAGAGTAGTACTCTGTATCCATGACCCAAACACATGAGTGAACCCATTTGAGGGCATGTCACGCAGGGTCGATTGGACAATTTGGAGAAGGTCATTCTCATCTTTAAAGGTCTTACAGCACTGATTAGCATTCCGTTCTCAATATAAGTAAAAATTATATATTGCATGATCAGAGGAGTATTGTGCATGGTTTTAGACCTCAAGACCTAGTTCCTCTACAGCTGCATTGTCTTCAATGCCGACCTGCGAGCAGGCGCGCTATCACGGTAGATGGCTGGCTTCAAATTGGGTCTTTTCAAAAACTCAACCGTGAATTGTTCAGACTGTTATACACTGTGATATTCCAGGAAATTGAATAAATGTTATTATCATTATGAAATTATACTTGAATCTGAGTTGTATTGCAACACCTTTACAACAAAGGAATTAATAAAATAAACAAGAAATGTTGTATTATAATAGGTGAATTAGATACTTTCTTCAGTAATACAAAAATGTTAGATATCACATTTTCGGGAAATGAGTTGCCCCGGGTATTGGAATGTCATGTTGCTATAGTAACCATAACTCTAACCGCATTTCATCATTTTTTCTGAAACTTTAGAACTTAAGTTGCAATACTTCAATGTACAATTTGATGAAATTTGAAGATACTCAGTGCAAAATTGACAAAATGCCAGCACCAGTCCTGTTACTTTTGGAACACCCTGTATGCTTATACTGTTGACTTGGTCAAATGTTATCATCACAAACATGTTCTATTGCAAACTTAAAATAATACAAATATGTTAAATATTAAATCTATTTGAGCCTGCGACGGAAATGTTATCAATTGACCGGTAGTAACGACATGGACATTTCCGTGTATTCAGGGTATAATCACAGAGAAACAAACCCAGTCATATGTCTAGTAAAGCTTTAAGTCCTATACCGAATATACACGTTTTTAAGTCCCCGTGTAAAGTTTGAAAATATGTTTTTATCATTCAATTACTATTTGCATGGGCTTTGAAAGCCCATGCTATTTGTCATGACTTTAAAAGTCATTTTAGAGGTTTTGAAAAAAGGTTGTCAGCTTTTCATTTCTCAAATATTCAAATTTCTCGCCATTTTTCAAAAACAGTTGAAATTTTTTAATCATCAAATATTCCTTCATACATTCAGAAAAGATGATCGTTTTAACAGCAATGTAAAGACTGAACAAAGGGCACACTATTTCAATAACAGAATGCCATATTAAATGTGTCACTTCAATGTTTTAGCGTATAAAAATATTTTGCGACCTAAGTGGCACCACTCAGGTGGCAAAACATTTTGAAAAACTGAAAAAAGTTTTCCATGTCAATCTTTTCTTAATATGCAAAACTTAAAAATAAACTAATGTTGATTGTCTGACCAGGAAAAAAAAGAATATATTTTAAATATTATTGTACCATTGGAACTAAAACTTTGAAATGCATTTTTCTCTGAACCATTTTCATGCATTCATGAGTTAATATCTCGCTTATTTATTTTTTCGGCAAAAAAGCATGTAGGCTAAGGATGAATGCTATGCATTGGTATGAATTATCCTTTATTCAACGATACATGTGACCTCTAAAAGTTCGTTTTGAATAAATTCGCGATTTTTCGAGCAAAAAGGTTTTCAAAAACCACTTTTTGAAATGAAAAAAAAGTTTCCCATATCACACTTTGATAACATTGGGTAAGACTACAATATTAGCCAAAGTGGTTTAAACTTTATACGGGGGCTTAAGAGAACTTTTACGTGAACGTGTAAAGTCATATATGGTCCTATGGCGACAGAGCAATAAGTTCTCCGTTTGGTAGTATTTGGTTGACCATTGACCGATTGAGTATACCCCCGGGGTCATAATATTATACGTTCACGTACAGGTTCTCTTAAACGTGTTAAATACGCGTAGCTTAACCTCCCTTTTAGCCTAGTATTTAAGTACACTCCTAGGGCGGACTTGGTTTTTCGAGTTATTTCGAGTTACGAATAAGTCGGAGTTACCATGAAAGACCTGTGTATTATTCCCCGTCTGTGACATAAACATAAAATTCCAAGGAAAATGACACTGACTTATCTTTTGTTCATTGTTATATCTATGAACTTTCCTTGTCCGTAATGCACAAATAAAACAAATATCTTATTCATTAAAATATTCAGAGCTGTGGTCTTGCTATACATGGTTTCGAAAGGTATTTCCCTCGTCCATGAAAACACTTTTATTTGATTTTAGTTTAATTTCAGTTGAAAAATTATTGAAAACCAGTAATCTTTTTGTAAAATTTTTTTTTTTGCTATCAACATATTTGCTTTCTCTAACATTTGCTGCCACTATAACAGAGTTAAGTTGGAAGAGTAAAAACAGCCATGGCCATTGTTAAAGAACTGAAGAAGCAGAGTTTTAATACCAGTAATTATTATTTACGTACATGTAAATTGCATAATCCATTTTTTTTTAAATACATAATTCGTATCAGCAGTTAGAAGACTATTTGATATGGAAGCATGCACATTCCGATTAAAATTGTAAAAGTTTTAAAATATTATCCCTATCATATATGTACAGTATAAGTAACTTATAACAATTTCTTCTTCAGATATTACAAATTGTAATTATAGCTCATTCAAGCACTTGTTTTAATTTTACTTTTCCAAGAGTGGAAAAGCACTCAAATATTTTCAATTTTCAAGAAAATCGACTTCTTCAAACTAGCGACTCCTTTAAATGGTACATCCTTTTAAGTCATTGCATGTCTATCATCTGAATAAATTGTCAAACATTTCAAGAATTCCATCCTCGAAAAGCAGAACAATAAAACTTATCTGCAAGTTTTAATTCATCTTTCACAATTCAGATATCTTGCTTTTGCCTAAACTTGTTTGCTACATATCAACTGGTTCACTTTTAACCCTACTCAGATCATACTCAAGTTGATCAAAAAAGTTTCTATGAATGTAACCTGAATGATTAGGTTGGGAGTCATTTCTTGTTTGATTATAGCTTACATGAGAGTTCAAATTTTGCTGGTCACTGAGTTGTTCATTGTTATCAAAGGATGAATCTTCATCACTGGATGATCCCCAGACAGTATTATATGTCTCTTTGTGTTGTCTTTCTACAGCAACATTATCATCTTGATGTTTGTCATGCCAAGTGTTATTGTGTCTATTTGTGTGATCGTCATTGTGTCCATTGGTGTTATCATGATTATGTTCACTGGTGTTATCTTGATTACGTTCACTGGTGTTATCATGATTGTGTTCATCAGCGTCATCATCATTGTGCCCATTAGTGTGATCATCACTGAACTTATTGGGTTGACTTTTGTGAGAATCTTTCTGTGTTATATTTCTAATTTTTTTCTTTTTCCCTTTGGCCATTGCATCTTTTATTTGATTGAGATCCAGGCGTTGAACATGTACTTTCAATTGTTTCGGAAATGCTTTGGAAAGGGGCTTAGGTATACTTTTGTAATTCATTGAATCTCCAATTTCACTGACATTGAAGCGTTTAACTTGTACTTTCAATTGCTTTTGAAATATTTGAGAAGTTCCTTTTGTATTTGAATTAATTGATTCAACAAATTCAGGTTCCTGTTTAGGGATTAGTCTCTGACTTGCATGATTGAGTTCTCTGTTATTGTATTGGTCATTATCCTCATAAGCTTCTTCATTGTGAAGACCATCATCAGAGATATCCTCGTCAGAGGACGATCCCCACACAGTATTATATGTCTCTTTGTGTTTTCCTTGTAGTACATTCTGGTGTATGCTACATGTACACAGTGATGATGTCTCATCTTTATTGTTACGATGATTGTGATGTGTTGATGCTGCCTTATCCATTCCAGTTTCATGTTGGTGATGCTTTGAAATTGATGTTCTTTTGTCTTTCTCAGTTCTAGTTTTGTCTTGCTTTCTTGTTTTGTTCTTCTCAGTTCTAGCTTTGTCATGTTTTGTTGATCTTTTATCCTTTTCAGTTTCACTTTTGTCATGCTGTGTTGTTCTTTTACCCTTTTTAGTTTCATTTTCATGATGTTTTGTCATTCTTTTATCCTTTACAGTTTCATTTTCGTGATGTTTTGTCATTCTTTTATCCTTTTCAGTTTCATTTTTGTCATGCTCTGTTGTTCTTTTACCCTTTTTAGTTTCATTTTTGTCATGCTCTGTTGTTCTTTTATCCTTTACAGTTTCATTTTTGTCATGCTCTGTGGTTCTTTTACCTTTTTTAGTTTCACTTTTGTCATGCTTTGTTGTTCGTTTATCCTTTAAACTTTCATTTTTGTCATGCTCTGTTGTTCTTTTACCCTTTTGAGTCTCATTTTTGTCATGCTTTGTTGTTCTTTTACCTTTTTTAGTCCCAGGTTTGTGGAGCCTTAGTGATCTTTTAGTCTTGGTAGTATCTTGATTGTAATGTTTGTGCTTCTGTGATATTGACATCTCCTTTTCATTCTTGTTCTTTCTGTGTCGTAATGTTGTTTTGTTTTGATATAACTCATTATCATCTTCATCACTTGTATTTTCATTATCATTATTACTCATCTCACTATCATATTCAAATTGAGAATCATTTTCTGATTCCTCGCTACTTGACTCTAATTTAGTCCTCTTTGGGTATTGGTTTTCTTGATGTTCCCCAAATATACAATCCTCAGGATCAATGAGGAATGTTTTATGAGAGTCTTCAAAACTGGTCTCTGGTTTATTTTTCATCTTAACTTCATGCATTTTAAGATGCATTTCGTATGAATCTTTTCTGTGTAAAATCTTTGGACAAAACTTACATTTATATTTAGGGTGTTTTCGTACTCTGATTCGTTTATCTGGTATTATTTTTTCTAGATCCTTTTTAAGCTTTGGGTTGTAGATTTGTCTTACCAATAGTTTTTCAAATGCTTGATTGTGTTCCTTAAGAAAATGTCGGCGTGAACTTGACCTGTATGGCCAACTTTTTTTACAGAGAAGGCACTGGTACATAATTCCAATGTGAGCTGCTATATAGTGCTCACCCATAGTTACATTGAGGCTGAACTTTTTATCACAATATGGGCACTGTAACAGATCCTTTTCTAGTTCCATTTTGTATTTATTTTCCAAGTGGGTCATATTGACATGAATGTACAGATCTGTGCCTTCATGAAACTCAACCTTGCAAACTTTGCAAAGAAAACCTTGAATTTGTTGGCTTTTAGGCAAATTATATTGGCCCTTTCCATAGCGCTTTGCACAAGCATTGCGTCTCATATGCTTCAACATGACATCTTTCCTCATGAAGATTCTCCCACAGTTTGGACAAGGACACTCTTTCTTGACCCTGACTTGTTTTTTGAAACCAAGATGTCTACATTTCATGTGTCTTCTGAGATAGTCCTTTGAAAGAAAAGTTTTGTCACAAATGTCACATTTGAATGCCATATTGTTGTCATGCATTTTATGCATTTCAGTATGACGAGACAAGTGATGGCGATACTTGTATGTTGCTTGACAAATCTTGCATACATATTGAGAGGTTTTTCGAATCCGTGTTTTCTTCTCATGAATTTCACGTATGTGACGAATTAGGTTTGCTTGTAAAGTGTATTTTTTTTCACAAATCTTACATCTAAAGACACCATTTTGTTTAATAATCAATTCATTATCCACTCCTTGTCTCCCCCTTTCTTTGGCCTGATTGTTTATGCCAGCTGTGGGTTTAATGATATCTTCATTATTGCTTATAGATTCCATTGCATCATCATTAGGTCTTTTCACATTTGTTCCTTCAGTTTCAGTGCATTTTTCTTGGTCTTCTGTAGTTTCTGAGCATGTTGAGTGTTCACTATTGTCATTGCTTAAAATCCCATCATGTGAATTGTCCAATTCAATTGGCTGTTCACTATTCATGGTTTTATGGATTTCATCAGTAGTCTCAACATTTTCAGGAATGGTGGTCTCATCATTACCACATTCCGCAGATTCAAAGGATTGGTTGGTAGAGATTTCTGTCGGACAACTATATGTACATTTTTCAGAAATTTCATTGGATTTGTCATTATTATTTAATGCTGCTATCGAAGGATTACCAATAGCAGATATTGTTAATATTTGAAGTTCATTATCACAATCATTTTGTTTGAGATAAGGTAATGTTTTGCCATCAATGGTGTCATGATTCTTTTGATAACTGTCAATCATATCATCCCTGTTTTCAGCATTAAGACTTCCAATAATTTTTTCAACGTCTTGTGCTTCAACATTCTTCATATCATCTGTTGGAGAGTCACCAGCTTCACTTTCACATTCACCATTGTCATTACAGTTATTCATGCTATTGTCACTGAGGCAAGTTGATATAATATTTGGAGTAACGTTAAATTCCTCAATGGCATTATGTATTCCATCTTTCTCTCTATCATTTCTATCACCCGGGCCTTCATCAGCATTACTGATATCACCATCATGGTAATCATTGTTATAGAGATTATTTATGGTAACAATCTCATTTTGGCTCATCTTGGCATGTAATTTTTGGAACTTCTGCTACATAATTGTTGAATTTGTTTCTCAACTGGTGACCTGAAAATAAATAGAATAAATCATCAGAAACATTGCAGGTTAACCTCTCGTCTAATACACCTCATGATTGTTAGTCAAATATCTGGGCTATAAGTCATAGTGTCATGTTGCCATACTTTGGTTGAAAATGAAAGACATAAATAAAAATTATCAACTAATTTACATTTTTCCACCAATTATGAATGTAATTTACAAACTAGTATTTGACTTATTTTCCAGAAAGATAAACAGAAGGATTTATCTTATCCCTACAAACTTTCCTCATTGACAAAATGACGAGTGATGAAAGCAGTAGAAAAAGGTAGATAAACACAGAGACATATTTGTGCCAAATACAATGACTCTTGTCTGGGAGCTCTTCACCCCCCCCCCCACTCCCCTAAAAAGACCACAACCATTTATTTAGCCCTTGTTTTTCTGAGAGTTACTTCCAATTCACACATACTGGGCCTTGATCAGAGCACAATTTTATCAATATCCCACCGCTGACACCACTTGTGTAGCTACCTTTACTAGAATGGGTGGTCGGGGTCCATGACTAGGATTAAAAATGTGATTGCCCAATTTGACATACATGTATTGGTATTCAGTATCATTGCCCAAAGTCAACTCTTTTTCCAAGCTAAAAAGGAAAACTGATTGCTATTGACAGTCAGGTACAAGATTTTTGAACCCTTTGTGGGTTATATATATCATGATGTACAGTACATAAGATTACAATAAATACTTCTAATTAAATCCAAAGGACCATGTTTTTAAGACAAACTATGTATTTTTGACACGGATTTTTGAATAATTTAAATAAAATCAAGCCAATGTATCAACCCATTAGTTTTTGTATTTCCACCATTGGCCATTGTTGCAAAATGATCAAAACATCAAACTTCAAAACAGTCTCCAATTGGCCTAAAGTAGAAATGGAGAATAAGTTGGTGTATTTACAAATAATATCATCTCACCAAACCCGTTTCACTGATGTGTAGAGCTAAATCCCCTTGTTCTAGTTCTTCCGGGAGTTCTTCCTCAAAAACTTTTCTCACCGGAAACGGAGCCGGAAGTAAAGCCAAATCGAGGCTAGTAGTTACAAAAATTGTTCAAATTTTCTTGTGCATTTTCTATATTTTAACAGGTTATACCTGGAATTGTAATTAATCATTAAATATTATGATGGAATAGTTTATTTTTAAGGCAAAGCGCATATTTTGAGGACAAACTTCGATCATATTCTATCGTGGTTACAATTATCACCCACGGCAAGCAAGCAGTGTTAGAATATTGGATTTCAGGCGAATGGGCCTTGATTGATATACTATATCGTACACATACATTTACACGTACAGCTGTTCAACATGGCAAAGAGACTTTACTTTGCTTCTAATCATTATGTTAGGCGGTTATGCAAGTTTGGGAAACGCTTCATGTCAACAACAAGTTGTATAGAACGTAAGTAAAATCTTACTCGAGTCTCTAGCTTACAGCTAGACGTAACTTAATTGATATCGTATGTACTGTGCTACACGCACCTACACGCACCTAGAATTCATTTTTAATAAATTTTATAAATATTTCTAAGAATATTGATCATATTTAGGATGAAGCGTTGCTTGTCTGGATTTAGATATTTCAAAATTTCATTTCGGAGTTTGACACATGGTGGAATTTTCTCGCTGTAGCTAAAAATGGCTTCCGGTTCTGGACGTGAATTCAATATTTGAAATTATTCTCGCTAAAGAAATCAAATATAACAATAGATTCAGACGGGGATGTGAGCTGATGTTCTTCAAATCCATACATAAAGGTATATTTCATATTATTATGCCATATTTACTGTGCGTGTGACACAATGATTTACAATATTTATAATACTAAGGCAGCTCAATCTTCCTCCTCAAAGCCGGAATATAGAGAAGGCTTTGGACCGAAGTAAGTAAAATCCATCTTGCTTGGTCAAGGAGGATTGGAAGCCAGAGTTCAAACGTAATATTCTTTATCTCCAAGTGATGCGATATTGTCGATCCTGCCTGTACATTAGGCGCCGTACATTACGATGGCTGCAGGCAAAATGAACGATATTTCTCAACAAAGCTGGCGTCATTATTGTCTGACATTTATCAGGCTATAAATTCAGCATTCAAAATATTTGATAAGACCAAAACGTGAAATTCAAATTTTGAAGTGACACCAGGACTGACGTTAGCTATGTTGGAATATCGATGTTGCATTCTGGCTGCCAAATCTTCTGGTGCTGGGTAAAAGTAAAATAAAGGCTAATTTTTTGTAAATACTCATTACTTGAAATTCTATAATCTTGTGATGTCTAGAAAGATTGGGGTCATTGGACATTGGTTCAAATTCCATTAGTCTGAATCCCAATTGTCTGAATCCCTATTGTCCAAATCCCAATGGGCAAAATCCCATTTGTCCAAATTGTCTGGGAGGCTACGTTGTATAAATGACATCATACATCTGTGTGCGAGTAGAATTTGATTGAAATGAACCGTGGACGTTGTGTTATTGTCATGGTTATCAAAGAATCTAATATCAAAATGAGGTAAGGGGGCTATATCAGGGTAATCGGGCAATATTGGTAGATATAGCCGGCTAACTAACTTTCCCATTCACTTCCATACAAATCCTTCGCTAGGTATGGAATGCAATCCTGGCTTTCCAGTATACAGCTTCATATTACTGGTATTACTAGAGTTTGTATGATACATTTCTCACAAATTTGAGTTCATAATTTTGATTAACTGAAGTAGGGGCATTCTCCGTAGGGTTCGTTATTTCTGGTTCAATTTTTAGGATTAGAATTCATGTGCTCAAAATATCAAATAATCTGGTCAGTTTAAACTTAGAATCATGCATGCTCACATGCGCCATGTTTTTTTAAGTCCTTTTTTCTTTGCTTCATTTGTCCATTCCTTGATATAAGAGTATTTCAGAATGAACTCTCTATTAATTTTAACACATTCACTTATTTATTATCAATCCTGTCTATGACGCCCAGTGATTGAAAGAATAGTCCGAATTCGACTATATTTGGCCTGCTATTATTGCTATCAGGAGGATTGACTCAATAGTTTGCTTGCGGGGTAGAGAATTTGATAGAACATCGTTATTTTATCAATTTTCAAAGCCCTTCCCAAGTTTCACACAAATCTTTGAAGGGTGCATAACAAATATGCAGATACCTTATCAGTACTGTCAACCCCTAAAGATTTTCTCGCGGGACAGGTTTTTTAGACCCAGTGCCCAAAATTCGCGGGATTTTGTGGGACATCTACTAAATTCGCGGGATTTTGCGGGACATTTAAGGGATTTGCGTGATTGCGCTAATAGGAGATTTTTTTTATCAAATTCGCGGGATTTCGCGGGACCATTCGAGGGACAAACACCCTAATTGCGGGACAGTTAACAGGTGTACCACCAAAAACTTCATAGAGGGACAGATTTTTTAGACAAAGTGCCCTAAATTTGCGGGATTTCGCAGGACATCCACCTAAATTTGCAGGATGTCCCGGGACATTCAAGGGATTTGCGTGATTGGGACTAATGTAAAAGCGTGTAGAAGTACTTAAATCAAACTTTCAGATACTGATTAATCAAATATAATGCACCGTTACACCTTGTAACTTAAATAAACGTCAACACAATTTCACAAAATACGCATAGGAATATTATTAAACTTTATTGTAATTTATCAAAAACAAAAACCATGCTTCAGGTGTGATTACCGTAATCTAACACGAAATTCAAAAATTCGGAACAATACTTTGTACTTCTGGCGTCGTGACCAACTATGAAACGCTTACCCCCATAATGTTATATATTAAAATGTACCTATTCATATACTGTAGGCATGGGCTTTCAATTGAAAGCCCATGATATAGGGGTTCGATTAATCTACATCAAATTATAGGGAATGAGGTTAATTTTCTAGATAGGGTTTGTATAAAAAACCGAGTACCGGGTAGTAAATCCTCCATGCTGGGTTCAAACTTGGTACCCGGTCGAAAAAAACCAAAAAACGAAATATACGAATACACAACATAATTAGATCATTAGAAAACGTGTACGATTTGTTTTGAATTTACAAAAATGTATGTAACTTCCTTCAAAATTGAGCTAGAAGCTTCAAATAAAAAGCATTTTAAGACTCTTTTCTTCCTCTATCATCTGGGTCATATTTCCATTGGTAATGAAGGGGGGGGGGTGCGATCGCACCCCCACCTGGCTACGCCAATGACATTGTAAGACGATTTGAAAAACAAGACAAATCAATCTTACTCTATTTTCAATAGTTCGTATGTTGGTACGTGGATTGTTTTGATTATGATTTAAATCTGTAAATAGCTATCGTTGCTTTAGCAGAGAGGTGACGTGTGTTAATTTGCATGATGCAACGTGTAAGATTTTGATTATTAATCATAATTTAAGTTATCCCAATTTATGACAAAATGTCCACTGAATTGTAAATTGTTATGTCTTACAATGTCATAGGCGTAGCCAGGAGAGGGTGCGATGGTGCGATCGCACCCCCCCCCCATAACCAATGAAAATATGGCCATAACGATAGAGGAAGAAAAGTGCCTTAAAATATGCTTTTTATTTGAAGCTTCTAGCTCAATTTTGAATCATGTTACATACATTTTTGCAAATTCAAAACAAATCTTACACGTTTTCTCATAATCTAATTATGTTATATATTCGTATTTTTCGTTTTTTGGGTACCCGGGTACCAAGTTTGAACCCAGCATGGAGGATTTACTACCCGGTACCCGGTTTTTTATACAAACTCTTCCTAGATATCAGCGTACATTTATTGTAACTCGCATTTGCTAACATTTGCTCAGTTCTGAGATGAAGGCCACACGGGTAGTAAAAAGGCCAACGTTGGAACTATTTGTGACCTACATCCCTATTTTCGTAATTAAAATGAAAGTTGAACCCTTCCCCTTTATTTTGATACCAAACAACAGCATGCTAGGTACTTAAAATTAGGTAAACTTTACTCCTCAAAAGTGCTAAAACTTAGCTTCTTATATAAGATAAGATAATCAAAATATAGGGGATTGCAACAATTTCGGAAATTCGCGGAGGTCAAAGCCACATTTTGCGGGACAATGCGGGACACGCGAATTAGCCTAATTTTGATCAAATTCGCGGGATAATCCCACCATTCGCGGGACACTTGACAGCTCTGCCTTATGTATGCAAATAAACATGCTCCATATTTATAGATGTCATTCTGTGCAATTATTGCAATTATTGAAAACTATATGACAAAACATGTCTATCTAGTCTTATCATTAGACATTCATAAACAACATTCAATATTTCAGCTTCTTCAGGCCTTACAGAGGAACAAAGACACATTCAAGAAATGGCAACTAGTTTTGCTAAAAATGAACTAGCCCCAAATATGTCAACCTGGGATCAGGAGGTATGTACTAGATTAAAGGGAGGATGCATTGCATAAACAGTAAAACCTGTCTAATCTGAACACCACTGGGACCAGCCAAAAGTGTTCAGATTTGCAGGTGTTCTCATTTCAAGGCTTTATAAACATGTAAGCGAATTGGAGATAAAAAAGGTGTTCATATATTCAGGTTTCACTGTATTACATTTACATACTTACAAAGGTGCTGTTTTTGGGTCTTTTTATATTTTCATATTTATATTATTGTTTTGCAATTTGTTTCCTCAAATGCTCCACCCTTTGTGTTTAGTTATTATTTCAAAGGCCTTTTACATCGTTTCAGGAATATTTTCCAAAAGAGACAATGATGACTGCTGGCAGTCTGGGTTTTGGTGCAATATATTGCAAAGATGACTATGGTGGTACTGGTCTATCACGTCTGGATGCATCTGTAATTTTTGAAGCCTTGTCACAAGGATGTGTTAGTACAACTGCTTACATAAGTATACACAAGTAAGTATTATCTGTATTTGTATGCTTAACTTGTATTGTAAGATAACCAGGCATTGTAAAACTCTAACTTTGATTTGATTTAAATTGGTGCTTGTTTTAAAAGGCAAATTCTGTGCCAGATCACCAAATCAAATCTTCCTCCATACAGAATTTATAATATTATTCTATGTTATGTTGTCAATGTACACTAAGCTAAAAAGCTGTAAATGTTTTGTGTTTGTCAGTATCATGCTTTTCTCAGCTAACACACAACCTTAACTTAATTGAATTGAATCTGACTTAAAAAGTATCTTATCCCCCCCACTGTTGATTTAAAAACATATCTGAGATATACTTGTGAATTAAATGGATAAATTAATTTACTAGTGCTCTTTCAAAGTAATTCATTCATACCCACCTTCAATTTCAGCATGTGTGCATGGATGATAGACACATTTGCCAATGACACATTACGTGAACATTGGATACCTAAGCTGGCTACCATGGAAACGTTAGCATCATATTGTCTAACTGAGCCAGGTAGGAAGGAAATCCATATTATGTGAAACTTTTTATTCCTATCGACTTCTATTGATTTTTTTATTAAGTTCACATGGTAAAGAAGAAAAGAATTATGTTTTATAAATAAGCCCCATATTTTGACAGAAGGATGTCCAGCGCAGTGCACATTAAAAATGTTATATGTAAAAAATACTACTGAATAAAAAATTGAGACTGCCTATTTGTGCATACAATAAATACGAATATAATGTGGATTATTCAAGAAGTCAGCAAATTTATTTTGAAATCAATCAATTTAAGTATTATTAAGTATCATTTTTAAATATTTCATTTATTTTCCAGAAAGTGGAAGTGATGCTGCTTCTCTCTCTACATATGCTAAGAGACAAGGAGATATGTATATTCTTAATGGAACTAAGGTATGCTGTTTCATATATCTATAGCAATGCATCTTAATTCATGTATCCTGAGAATTTTACTTTCATGTAATTGTTCAAATATGAAAATAATTACATAGCCTGTGATACAAAGTGTTAAGATCAGTAGTGTTACACAAACACTGTACAACTTTGGCCAGGATATTATACAGATATATGAACTAGCTATATTGGAGGATGTCTATCTGTCTTTCTCCTACAATAATTTTGGTGTAATATCAATTGATAATGCTGTCTAATTGACTCAAAAATGTCAAGGAAATATTTTATTAAATGTCAGGGATTTTCAAAGCCTAAAATGATAGAGAATTTTGAAATGACAAATGTGTTGGAAAAAATGTCATCAAACTTTGTATGATGAGCTGAAAAAAGTTATCAAGTCAAAATTGACATAGATACAGTTATGGAAACAGTTATTCTTGTGCCTGAAAATTTCAATCTGAAAATGTTGTAGTCTAGGGAAACCTCTTTTAAATATATAAATTAAAAACCTCTGCAAAATATAATCAAAATTACCAGTAAAGTTCAGGGAATTTTATTCCGAAATATTGTTAGAAATCTGCATGATACTTAAATTTGTATTATAGTCATTCATAAGTGGAGGAGGGGAAACTGATGTATATGTTCTGATGTGTCGAACAGGAGAGAAGGGGCCTAAGGGAATTACTTGCCTTCTCATTGACAAAGACTCACCAGGTCTTAGCTTTGGGCAGAAGGAAAGAAAGGTACATTTGATTTCCATAGGTTGAGAATAATGAAACATGTTTTTGATTCTGGTTTAAAATGGTATATTTATTTTAATGCCAAAGTATCTTTGTCTGGGGAACAGGAGTTAACTAATTTTCCAACCTATGCTACACTTTGTTTAAAGGGGCAACAAGGACTGTAGAGCGAAAAATTTCATTTTTTCTGAGCTATGAGGTCAATATTTTGCGTAACATCTTCTTTGACATACCTATTTTCTTGAAATGTATGGATAAACTATCAATTTCAGCATTAAAAATGTAAATTCAGTTTATAGCTTCTATAAAGGAAGTCCCACTTATAGATTTTTAAGATTCACCACGCTTCAAGAGGAATATCAGCTGAAACAATGTTCATCCAGGGGGTTTCTTTGTAGATTATAAAAATACATGTTAGTCTTTTTGAAATATCCAAACTTAAATATACTGGTCAATGATCTTTGAATGGCCCTCCTGCACTAATTGTTGCACCTTTACCTTGGAAAACATCAACATTTTGATCAAGTCCCTCATGCCCACCATTCTGACCATACATACATGTTCCAGATGGGATGGAACTCGCAGCCTACCAGGCAAGTCATAATGGAAGATTGTGAAGTGCCAGTGTCCAATAGAATAGGGGAAGAGGGCCAAGGGTTTGCCATAGCAATGAATGGACTCAATGGAGGTAGAATTAATATAGGTATGTGTACGATCAATCTTCATAGTTCTGGATTTTAGAATATATGTATAACTTTTTTCTATGCTAAAATAATAAATTGTATTGTATTACAATACTTTATATGCATGATAACTATTTCTATTTGATTTAATATATATTATATATTTAAGCTTGGCCTATAATGCCACTAGGCGATTGGCAAGCCATTCGATGTAAATTTGAATATCATGAAATAAATAGTTTAGCATATAAAAAAAAGAAAATTGATTTAAATGTACTTTAATGCTTAATGTATTCCAAGGGCTGTACTGAAACATTTCAAAGATTAAGTAACTAAATTATGTACCTTTTGTTTTAGCTTCCTGTTCACTGGGAGGTGCACATGCCTGTATAGAGCTAGCCAGAGATCAACTATTATCTAGGAAGCAGTTTGGTCAAGAACTGGCTAATTTTCAGGTAATTAAGAGTCATGCATGAAGTGTTCCCCCTCCCCACTATATATTTCCTTCCTTTTAAGGTTATAGGAAGGTGGAACTTGACGCAAGACTGGACAATCAAATATATCAATTTTGTTAATATTATGAATATTGAATTACATAACTGACTTTTAGTGAATTAACAGAGGTGGAGACACAACATAATATACCTTTGTTTTGTATAATTCTGCATTAAATCCCTTTCTACCAATATGACTTCAGTTTTTACAATATCGTCTCGCAGAAATGGCAACAAGACTTGTTGCATCACGTCTAATGGTACGTAACGCAGCTAGAGCACTCCAGGACAAGTCCCCTGATGCGGTTGCACTGTGCTCCATGGCAAAGTTATATGCAACGGAGGAGTGTTCCCAGATATGTAATCAGGCCCTTCAGATGTTTGGGGGTTATGGCTACCTAAAGGACTACCCTGTACAGCAGTATCTCAGAGACCTTAGGGTCCATGAGATCTTAGAAGGTACTATGCCCCCCCCCCCTCTTCCCAGTATATATTGCTCTTACATTAGAACCTTTGTATATTATAGGAAGATGGTACTTGACGCAAGATTACTGTAGACAATTATAGTACATGTAGATTGAATTAACTGTAAACAAATTGAGAATCGTCACAATATCATCATAAAATATTTAAACACAGCTTTCTTTATAGAAATCCACAGAGCAAAATCAAAAGGCGGTGGTCCATAATTCACTTAAAGACGAAAAAACGTATTCGATAGCATTTGTGTATTTACAATTGCATTTTCAACTTTCTTTCCACATACTCTCTGTATAAGGTGATATGCAGGCAACAATTGAAGATATTAGACGGTACTATATCCAATAACTAAATGCCTTAATGGGTTGTCATAGCCTAATACACAAAATGATAACTTATTTGTTTTTTCAGGAACAAATGAAATTATGCGGATGCTTATATCCAGGGACTTACTAAAACACTGAAACAGAGGAGGTTCAATCCCAGGTACCCCACAATGAACTGCTCACGTGACCCATTCATAGAATCTCAGAATAAAGCAGTTTCATCCTCAGCTTAATACAACGGGAGGATTAGAATGTCTATGCAAATCCAATAACATTATTGTTGTTAGATAAATGCATTATCTATTGTTAAAGTAAAACTGGAACAAATCGTGGAAACACAAATGAAGGAAACACCAAAAGTGTTTTTTATATCGGATATAGAGCTTAAGGTGGGGCTAGTGGATATCTTTTGCTTTTTGGGAGCATGAGGTCAGCATTGCCAATATTACTCATATTACTCTGCCTACCTTTAGCCTATGCTAATAAACTCACAGACCTTGAAGATATCGTTTGAGCTGATAAATCAACGAGAATTACTGGGTAAATTGCTCCATTCAAGGAGAAAGGTGATCAAAGTGTCTACTGCTGTGTAAGATTTCTCGTGTAAGATGTCAACGATTTATGGACATGCAATATGTGATTGGCGTCTTCCCATTACTGTACATTATACTACCTCCTACTAATCTTGGACGCTTGTGATTTAAAAGGCAGCTAAATATATCATGAACTAACTTATTTCCATGTAACACTAGCATGTAATGGTCACAAAATTAGACCAGAAAATCAATGCTATGTGAAGTAAAAGTAAATAAAAAAACAACAATTAAAATGCATGTATGTTTAATTTGGCTCAAGTCCGTTTTTAAGTGTACCATCTTTGATAGAAATTAAGAATAATGACAGCCAAGTCAGAGCCGTAATCTTCCCACATATCCCTCAGAAATCTTGGTGATTCTATTTGGATAGCGTCAATGGTACCCTGGTCTCGTGATCCATGCCTCCTGGTTATATAACCGCCTGTGAAGTAGTTGCCTCCGTCGGGTCCAGGGTAATCTGGCGCTGGAACCGCGATGTAGCCGGCCGCCTCGCAACGACCTCCCAAACTTTCGGCGCCTCGAAGAAGATCGTCAAATGGTACGTTCACCTGTGTGCTTAGGTGATATATTGACGACCTTGCTGGGTCAATATCGTTGAGGTCAAGGTCAAGTCCACTAAACAGATAACCTATTTCAAGCCAAGGTTCTGGATGACCATGTCCATGTATATCAACGAGCAACCCTGTGCCTACTGTGGCCTGTGCTCGCTCAATGAACTCATGAAATTCACGCCACGCCGTCTCTGCTTCAGGGACACCGAACGCTGCTTGCTCAATCTCTCTGTTGGCGTCTAGTTTGCCTCTGTGAAGGTGATTTAGAATAACATGTGGACGCTGCCCTGTGATATTCTGCATTGCATCAGCAATAGTCCCGGTCAGTTCTAATGTATGAGCGTCCGGAATGACAACAGCTCGACAATTTAACTCATCTTTAGGGCTGCAAAAATGCGAATACACACATACGTCAGCTATGAAGCAGCCATGGTCGCGTTCTGGAATGCTCTCTGGACGCAGGTGGCCGCCATGCGATGACGTCAAGATGATTTTAGTGCCCGTAGTTCCCACCTGGTACTCGATGTAATCATTAGTTCCCCATTCTGAGTCTTGGCAGATGACAATATGCACGGTCGACAAAAGCAACGCGAAGGATACAGACACTACTGTCTTATTCATCGTAATTTGCTAATTTAATTTTAAAGTAAAAGCTTGATTGATCAAGGTTGATAATACATGTACCATTGATTGTGTAGTTAAAATGTCAAACTCAGGTGTTATTTCACAACCTTGACAGCGTTCTCCTTATAAGTATTACTATTAAGCCATGGGGAAGTTGGGTAGGGAGAGTCGGTCGCCATCTCAGTGCCTAATTCTGATTCAAAAATACACCAAAATTAAAAACTCAGAATACCTAGACCAAGTTACTTGAACCATTATTAGACTTTGATGCCAACCTTTTTCATGTTTTTTGCAAAAATAAATTAGAGCTTTAAGCATGGTGCATGCAAATCTTTCTGTTTTTAAGTATTTTGATATTATACACTCCCCTCCATAAGTTTGGCAACCTTTTTTCTACCATTGAACTACGTGTTAAAGCCTCTTTACCTTTGAATTTTTATTTACTTAACCTGCAATGAAAATACTTATACTATTGATTGAAACGTAATTTGACTTTAATTTCAATACCTCCAAATTTTCACAATTTTTTCCTCAATTACAATAGATCGAAAATTGATGATAAATTTGATGAATTTTTGAAAATCGACATTCCCATGTTAACCAATGGGAAATGGTAGGTTTGCCGCAAGTCATATGACAGAATATCCATCTATCCGAGTCCTTGCAAAAAATACGAGTTAGGCAGGCAATTGAATTTGCTAACTTTATTTAACAAAAAATTGATATGTTTCTTCAGGTTCAACAAAGTTATAGGGCTTTAAAGTCAAAATTGTTTTTCAAAAAACCTCTCCCATTGAAATAACACAGGAGGCGAAAAAATATTTTCAAAAATGACTTTGAAGCGCTGTAACTTTAATATTCATCAAATAAACTAGACACTTAGTGTTCAAAAAAGTTAGACAATTCAATTTTCTATATAAAAATATTTTTTGCTGAATCTTTTACAGAAAAGATATCCTGATTTCTGATTTGCCCCGAACCCTCCATTTCCCATTGGATTACACGGGAATGACGATTTTCAAAAATTCATCAAATTTATCATCAATTTTCGACCTATTGTAATTGAGGAAAAAATTGAGAAAATTTGGAGGTATTGGAAATAAAGTCAAGTTACGTTTCCATCAATAGTTTAAGTTATTTCATCGCCGGTTAAGTAAATAAAAATTCAAACGTAAAGAGGCTTTAACACGTAGTTCAATGGGGGAAAAAGGTTGCCAAACTTATGGAGGGGAGTGTATGTATTAGGTGAACAATTTTGGGAAATTTTCAGGAAACAATAGTACCCCACACAAGTTTTTGATAATAACTTTGACCCGTGATTTGAACACTCTATCCTTAACTATATGTTATTAAATTTAGCACACATGAACTAGAGGAAATTTCCAACATTGGAAATTTTTTATTAAGCCATATGATTAATAATGGTTAAATGGCAGTAAGTTCAAAATGCTACACAGTTACCAGTGTTTTACCAAATTGCTACATTGTTTGAATGACTATGACGTTACAGCTGTACAGTACATTTACTTGTATAGAGTTAAGTTCATTAGAGTCTTCTGAGTACAGATATGAAAGGATTTGCAAGTGGTGAGGCTAACCCAAGTAAAACATATACTATTCATAAGTACCATAAATACAGGACTGCTTTGAGATGAAATTCAATAAGATGAATATTGATAAGATAATGAGATAAACTTGTAATTTTTTTTGTTATTGAAGTAAAATAAAAACAAAAAATTTCCAATGTTGGAAATTTCCTCTAGTTTATGTGTGCTAAATTTAATAACAAATAGTCAAGGATAGAGTGTTCAAATCACGGGTCAAAGTTATTATCAAAAACTTGTGTGGGGTACTATGTATGAAAAAATATTTCAAAAGCACAACGTTTATTTGAGAGTTTCATTGTGTTGCTACATAAGACTAGGTCAGCTTCCAGGGGCATGCGAGGTCAAGGTCAATGACACATTTAAAGGTTAAGATCTGAAACTTCGGAAAGGTCTTTTAAGGTTCAAGGCCATTTTGAAAGGAACACGATGGTGGTATCATGGGCTTATGGAATCACACAATTTGACAATACAATACTCTTCGATGTTCATTTAAAATGACATGTATGATAACTACTAGTATTTAAAATGTGGAACGGTATACGTAATTCAACCCAGTTTTTAGTGTTACTTTTAAAGGAGTTTTCCCTGGGATTTCCAAGATAGGCCTCGACTATTCAATTTATTGTTTGTGACCGCAATGATGTTAAAATCGAATTCATGGATGAGCGGGAATTGTAATAAGCATATGGTCGTTGGCAAATTGGTGATTAGCATTTACTGATGATGGAATTGACGTTATGGAGCTTGTAGATATGTACCTCTTGTTATTCTTTCAACATGGTGCCTCCCAACATAAAAATTATGAGAATCCTGTTCCACTCTGATCGATTTTCTTGTAAGAGAAATTATATAATTAGGGCGGTTAAGCTACACCTTTTTTAGCTCACATGGTGAGCTTTTGCAATCACTCACTTGTCCGTCTGTCTGTCTGTCCGTCTGTCTGTCTGTCCGTCAACAATAGTGGCACGTTTTAAAACCTCTGTCGATAGGATTCCTGTTTTTTAGTTATTTCTGTTCAACATCAATACAGAAAACCCCCCTATGACTCCTGGTTCAAAAGCTCGCCTATTTTCAAAATGGCCGTCACTTTTGTCTCGCGAAATTCACTTTTAGCCCATTTCCTAGCTAACCTCTGTCGATAGGATTCCCATTTTAAGTTATTTCTGTTCAACATCAATACAGAAAACCCCCCATATGACTCCTGGTTCAAAAGCTCGCCTATTTTCAAAATGGCCGTCACTTTTGTCTCGCGAAATTCACTTTTGGCTCATTTCCTAGCTTTACAAATAATTTCAGGTGTCCTACATTGTAAAAATCCATGTCAATGTAAAGATTAGATATATGAAATAATTTTGTTATAAAAATCAGCGAAAAATTGTATCCATTTTTTTATTTTCAGCCATTTTAGTTAACATTGATTTGTCTATCTGACTATCGAAATCCACTTTCTGTCAATAACAGTGGCACGTTTTAAAACCTCTGTCGATAGGATTCCCGTTTTAAGTTATTTCTGTTCAACATCAATTCAGAAAACTCCCCTATGACTCCTGGTTCAAAAGCTCGCCTATTTTCAAAATGGCCGCCATTTTTGTCTCGCGAAATTCACTTTTGACCCATTTCCTAGCTTTACAAATAATTTCAAGTGTCCTACATTGTAGAAATCCATTGCAAAGTAAAGAGTAGATGTATGAAATAATTTTGTTACAAATTATTGGCAAAAAATTATATCCATTTATTTATTTTCAGCCATTTTAGTTAACATTGATTTGTCCATCTGTCTCGCAAAATTCACTTTTGGACCATTTACCTTAAACCCTCTGTCGATAGGATTCCCATTTTAAGTTATTTTTGTTCAACATCAATACAAAAAACTCTCCTATGACTCTTGGTTCAAAAGCTCGGCTATTTTCAAAATGGCCGTCACTTTTTTCTCGCGAAATTCACTTTTGACCCATTTCCTAGCTTTACAAATAATTTCAGGTGTCCTACATTGTAAAAATCCATGTCAATGTAAAGGGTAGATATATGAACTAATTTTATATCCATTTATTTATTTTTAGCCATTTTAGTTAACATTGATTTGTCAATCTGTCTCGCAAAATCCACTTTTGGACCATTTACCTTAAACCCTCTGTCGATAGGATTCCCATTTTAAGTTAATTTTGTTCAACATCAATACAAAAAACTCTCCTATGACTCTTGGTTCAAAAGCTCGCCTATTTTCAAAATGGTTGCCATTCTTGTTTCGCGAAATTCACTTTTTGCCCATTTCCTAGCTTTACAAATAATTTCAGCTGTCCTGCATTGTAAAAAGCCATGTCACTGTAAAAGGTAGTTGTATGAAATAATTTTGTTACAAAAAATTGGCAAAATATTATATTCGTTTTTTTTATTTTCAGCCATTTTAGTTAACATTGATTTGTCCATCTGTCTCGCGAAATCCTCTTTTGGACCATTTGCTTAAAACATCTGTCGATAGGATTCCAGTTTCAAGTTATTTTTGTTCAACATCAATACAAAAAACTCCCCTATGACTCCTTGTTCAAAAGCTTGCCTGATTTCAAAATGGTCGCCATTTTTGTCTCGCGAAATTCAATTTTGGCCCATTTCCTAGCTTTACAAATAATTTCAGGTGTCTTGCATTGCAAAAAGCCATGTCACTGTAAAGAGTAGTTGTATGAAATAATTTTGTTACAAATTATTGGCAAAAAATTATATCCGTTTTTTTTCAGCCATTTTAATTGACTGAGAGACAGATGGCTTGAAATGATTTTGTAACAAAAAATCAGCAAAAAATGTGACCATGTGAGCCCAGTACCCACGGTACTAATTTTTTAGAGAAATTGTACATCAACATGTAATACTGCACCCCCGGGAAATACTGTCCCCTCTCAATAGTTTTTTTTCTAGGGATCTTACTACTACTATTATCCTCATACCTAAAGTAATAATCATTTGGTTAATTAAATACTACACAAATGGAAAACTAATCCTTAGAGCAGGACCATAATTAGGTCTATCACGTTCACGTATAAGCTCTCTTACCCCCCCCCGCTAGTTGCACACATTATTAGAGCATGCTTTTAGTTTATCTGACTACTTCAAGCTTGCTATATAACAACAAATTTTACAATTACTTGCCTTGGAGACATTTGCATAAAACGTGACAACTCCAATTAAATCTCTATAGGTGTTCATGGGATTAGTTTCAAGTCTACCTGACCATTACAATGTAGTTGATTAGTTTGTTTTCAAGTAATTGGTGTTAAATATGTTACCATGGTAACATGTATTGCATACAGTCTTACACTACATTTCTATCAGTCTATAGGCGTTCCCTGAATGCGTGAACTTGGCCATAATATCTTGGGTACAGCGTATGTGTATATTACAATCAGTTCTACTAGTTATTACTATTCGTTGTCATGGCAATGGCAACATATGTTGTCAATATTAATCTGTTAAAACATCTCTATTTGTGCCCCACTTAAATGTACCGAGGAAAATGAAGATAACTTCTTGAGATGTTAAAAATAACAAAAGCGTAACAATTTTAATAGAAGCAGTCACAAAACGATGACTGTAACAATTATGTCACGACTTCTTGGTGGTGACGCAACAGTTTTATATACAACATACATGATATATTTTCACTTCGATTAAAGAAGTAATTTTATTTCATTTTGCCATGCTAGAGAACATCCATAACAAGAAGATGTCCGATAAAACAATTTCCTTCATACATAATTAAAGGATAGTGCTGTTGAACTGATAACATTATCAGAATCAATTAGGTTGTTTTGTGAGCTAAGCTTGTGCAACATCCAGATTTAGATCTTTGAAGATATAAGAATATGAGCCCTTACACCGTTATATGTTACAAAATATTAAAATATTATATTACTTTGGAATGACGTGCATTCTAGAATATTTGATCCCAAAACAATAATAGCAAATATTTAGATATAAGCATCATTGGCATCATCGTTTTGGCCCAAAATCAGCCTGATAGCTAGTTTGATAATGCGAGTCATTTCGTTTCTTCATTGCAGGGCGTGGAGGGGTCGCCTTACTGGGTACTGGTTGCATGTATTTCACCTCCTCAACGTAAATGTCCGGTAATTCCCCCAAATGTGTGTTCACCATGACAATTGAGTTCGTTCCTTTTAATTTTTTCTCATACGCCACAAGCTGTTTCCAGAATCCTGGGTTAGGACGGACAAATTGTCTTTGTTGTTTAACATGACTATGCGCCTGTTTTAGTGTCATATTTCTATGTTTCATCAGATATGCTAATATCAAAGATGTAGAGCGACTTATTCCAGCGTTACAATGTACTAGTACTTTTCTACCTTGACTAGTCACTTGTTTTATCTTATCTGCACAACTATCGAAATAGGTCGACAGCCTTGCACCTGGTACATCGTCTATATGAATCTTATACGTCTCTATAGTAGAAACACGGAGAGGTGGAACATTTGTTGTAGCATTGACGACAAATGTTATGCCTAGTTGCTTCAGTTTGTCTGGCTTTACTGGCATGGCGCTGCTCAGATAGAGCGTGTCGGTGATTTGAGCGATCTGACTAAACATTTTGTCGAGGACGTCGAGTGGTATATTGTGCATTGCGACAGTCTAGCCTGGAAAAATAAAAAAATATCATATTACTGATTGTAGAAAACCCATTTATGTAACTTCTTATGTTGAGGTAACATCAACCGGCGTACAGTGCGCTATAGTACAGCAGCAATGCAATCAGATAATAAAAAGTTCAGTATAATTTTTGAAAATTGTCAGAATTTGCATTTTAGTGTTCTTTGTAAGCTCTACATTCAAGATTTATGACTTTATTTATAAAAAAACCTCGACATGAATGGTTTTTAGGCAAAACTTTTTGGAAGGGGAAATGGACGCCCGCATTCTACTTCCGATTAATACTCTATGATTTCCGGAACTTAGATTATGTTGATGTTTGATTTGATTTTCATATTCGTCAGCTATTATCAGATATAGCATAACAGGGACGTTCCCTAGGAATTTTCCAAGGGAGGGGTGCGTCTTACTCTACATCTACAATTGCACTTCAAAAAAGCATAGCTTCTCCATCTCTTCCGCGAGCATACAATACATAGTTATCCTTTTCTTCGAGACTCCTTCTCATGGGTCAAAAAGGGGTGCACCCCCCCAGAAGCCCGTGTGTGGATATTATTATTTGTAGTCGTTATAAACGATTTTGCATGCTTTTAATAGATATCTTTTCTCATGTTTGCTGTCACTTGTATGACAGGTGACAGGCTGAACTGTAAGGGTCCAGTGGGAGATATATAATCAAATCATCTCGTCCAATCTTCATCAATTGAAGGGACGCACCAAGTGTGAGCCAAGTTGTTGATTATTTCTGTAGGACTTGAATCAACACGTAATGTAATTTATAACACAAAATAAGGCTGCTGCATTCAAGAATTTTGTAAAAAATCAGTGCAATTCCTAGCAAACCACGCGATCATTTAGATATATCTCACACTACACCTGATATGTTGATTTAAACCGCAAACCATTTCGGATCTTGACATAAGTTGATGTTAGAAATGTTAAATCCCTTTGAGTCATTATGATCACTTTCGAGCTATCAAAATCGGAATGGCTTCGCTAATATACACTTTGTCTATACGTGCAATACAGACGTGCAATAGAGTCATGTCACTTCCGCTTAGAGGCATTGTAATATGAATATCATATTGAATTTGGTATGTTACAAGGCAACCTGCTTTCTCTAATGAAATGCATCAGACATAAGATATTAATGAAGAACATACACTGCTCTGACAACGGTAAGATAACAACAATAGAAAGATGCCATTCAGTGACATCATTGTATTAGTATTATCATCATTTCATTGTAAGCACAAATCAGTTCGATTACAATCAATAAAGTATTGTACGTTGTGTTAATCTTATCTGAAATATGTGACATATAAAAGAATAACATATGTGTTGGAGACGAATCAGAATAATGTAATATTTTCATGAGCGGTCATTCCTATAATTCTGAATGGGCATGCTGTATCACGATTTTCAACAAGACGTTGTAATTGTAACCCCCTGTAATGCTGTAACACATACTGTAAGATGATACATGATACAAGAGTAGCCCTTTAAGTCACTTACCGGTAGCTTTTATATGAAATTAGAATCCTTTTTGTTAAATTGTGTCCATTTGCAATATACATACGTCCAGGTGTATTTTACTGTAGATTAACAGCCCTCTTCCGTTGCTACCTAGTTACAGCGAACACATAAATATACACTCGACCTCACTTACCATTGATCTAACATAACACAACTATCGTCGATAAACTGATAAAAGACTTAGACTAATGCCTGAATACAATCATTTGTAGCCAGACATAATACAGTACACAATACGTTGATCAGCTGTGTTAAGTTTGATTGAATACAGAAATATGTATACATAAACACACGGATTTAAGTTATACTGTACTGTACCTACATTTTGGATCCTTACATTATTGCCTTAATTCTGATTCCAGACTCTGAAGCGTTCGTTAAGTCCGTACCTGTTCACTGATATGAACTAATGATAGTTCATTTATTTCTGTAGATGTTAGAGTAGATGCTCGTGTCACAAAATAGAATTAGATATGTTAACCCCTAGACGCCTAGTGCCGCACAACTGCAAAACCGGAGGACGGGAGGGATGAACTAGTTCTCCATCGTACTATGCAGAATCGCTCAATTGCTCGATTTAGGGCCCTGTAGCTAAAAACCGAAACTAAAATAAATTGAATTCAATGGCCCCTCTGCGATTTTTAGTAGGTCAATATAGGTTAAATCGACGTCAACATGACCTAGAGGATGTAATTCTTTGACATTTTGTGATAAATTGTCAATTTTCTTTCACAATAATTTTTTATGCCAAAAAATGCTTCACTGCCTTAGAGAATAATCTATTATCTTTCAAATAAAACTGAAATCATGCATGGTAAAGTTTTTCAAGAACTGGAGTTAATTACACACTTTCAAAGATAGCAGGTATCGCGAAATCCCACGAATTGAATAATCTGCGATTTCAAGTTCAACTTGTTTTTGTACAACAAATGCCAATCAGTGATTGGGTATTATAAATGTATGACTTGGTTTCATTTCAATATTATTTCGGTCCATGATGCTGCCTAGCAACCCCCTAGCAACTAACATCGAAATAGTGAAATTGAAAAATTGGGGGTAGGGGAGAATAAAAAAATTATAACTAAAATTTGGAAGACGGTATCATCAAAATTCTAATACCACTATAATACCTTTGAATTTTTGCATATTCCTAAATGTCTAAATCAGGCTTATTTTCTAAAAAGAGGGTCTTGTTTTTCTCAATTTAAACATATCAAAAGTTTCTCTTACACTATATTAATAACGTCTGAAAATGGGATGGGTATTGAAATGCGATAAAGTTCAAAAATCACATATCCCATGTTATTTTTCCATAGGGAAAACTCATGCCATCCATTATTTTCAGCATAAGTTTGGTCATCGAAAATTGATATCTTCAAAACTAGACGTTCAATACCATTCTACTTTTGAAGAAGTTTTAGACCCCTTGTTGAATAATCTTTTCATCAAATAGAAATCAGAAAAAGAAGATCCTCTTTTGAGTAAATAGGTTCAACATTTTGAGAAAATTGTTGACATGGGTCCCTATTCATGATTTTTCGAATTGATCGATTGATACTTTTATCATCACGGGGACCTCAATTGAAAGAAAACATATTGTTTTAATAAAAAACGCTGTATTTATGTCCAGAAAGTATTCATGGTGAAAGATATGACCATCTAAAATCACTTGCCATACTGCACATAGTCATTCGCGAAGAGAAAGCGTTTCGCAACTTCTTGGAGATTTACTTTTAAAAATTCATAACACGGTAAATAGTCAATTATTTTCATGAAACAAAGCATATTGGAAAGAGAATTCAATATGCTAAATTTATCATCTTTCGAACAAAGCAATAATCATATTTTTGTATTTTCTAGAGCATTAGAAACAAAGTAACAATGAATATGATATAAATTTCAATTTTATTGGCATCAAGTTCCAACTATCATATCTTTGCCCCTCTTCCCCCAATCACCTTGGTTTTTACGTCAAAAAGTGTCTTATAACTATGGCTCAAGCAAAAAAATAACGGAGACACAAAAGAAATTGCAAAAAGTACTCTTTAAAAAATCGAGAGGGGGAGAGCCCCCATCCCCCTCCCCCTGCAGACATTAGGGTTAATTGTGAACTAACGTGTGAAGATGCTTCGAAAATTCCCTGACTTCAATGAAAACATCCAAAACCTCACGATTAAATAAATACATTCTTGAGCAGAACTTCTTTATTTATAGCATATGCCTGCCTTCGAAGCGGACAAGGCAAGGGTTAATTGCACCAAGCCCACCGAGAACAATCACGAAATGCAGCAATTCAATGAGCTCAGATGCCACAACTCAAATGATGACACTTCATCGCCTCTTTCACAGTTGTTTTTGCTGATGTATTAAAGAATGCAGCAATGATTACCAATCCCCATCCATTTAGCGGCCATTATTTAGAAGTGATGAAACTATAAGATACATGCATCCAATGTAATTTTACAATGACAAAATATGGCTCTATGACGCAATTATTTGATGAATATTTTAAAAATATAGCGGGATAAATAGTGTAAAGTAATCGCCGTTTGCGGAACAAATCGTGAAACTTTCCTCAAATGATCACTAATTGCTACTCTTTAAATAAAGCAACTGTGCCAAAAAATCGCTCCATAGGAACTACCCTAATTTTACAATTCTTACCCCCCCCCATGGTCACGGAGGGGGGGGGGGGGCTAAAAAAAATTTGACACAATTTTTTTTTCTAAATTATGCTCATACTTCAAATTTAATATTACCTTATCATGTTAAGAAGTTAATGTTGAAGAAAAAATATGAAATACCATTGATTTTCGATTGCTATGTTAAAGGGTGGTGATCGGCGACGCCCACTTTTCTTGTATTGAATATTTTGCACCATATCACAGTAGCAGGAGTAAATCAAATAAGTGATATATGATTTTAAAATTACATCTATATCTAATGCTTCACATGACTATTATTTTTCACCATTTTCACTGTTAAAGGCTTGTTTTGAGTCACACCCATCTTTTAGATATACAGAAAAAATGGTCGATACGGCTTGACTTGTGGTTTCTTTTGGCTTCTGAGTGCAGTTAGACTCCATATATCAACTATCTATATCTGTTTCACAGTTCCTTTAGTTTCACTTTGCACACATTTTCAAATCATAGTTTTATTAATCTTATCAATAGAAGGATTTATACTAGTGTCTATCAGTATCATAGTCACTTTTTGGTATGTTGCAGTATCCTTATGAAGAACAATTGCCATCACACACAAATAATGCTATACAAACAAGATTTCCTTTCAGGCTCTTGCATCGTGTTGATATGCATTGCTTTTTGCAGCTACATTTTTGAGAGCCTGGCAAGCGTCTGATGCTTGGGGTAAGGTTGTCCACCTTGGTATCCATTTGGTGTCTTCAAATATCCAGCCCCACTCAGCTGGGGAAGGAACTTGAGGATTCGCTGTAAGTGGTTGCCCCCTAATAAATACCGCTTGGTATATGACTCTCTTCATATGCTGTAAAAAGGCATCTGATGTTGGATGAATGTGTGATATTATTGAAGTCCTCTTTGTGAACATCTCCTTCCTCGCAGCATTGATTGATGTTACATTGCTTGTTTTAAATTGGAGACCAGAATAATGAACTGCTCTAAAATAGGCATCAAGCAGGGTATTGGGTCGTATTGAGATTTCTGTTAATACTGTAGTCAATTCAGGGTAGGTACTCCATTGGTTCTAGGCTGATGTCTTAGACTTTCCATTAAAGCCTGATGTGGTGTCACACCCAGTCATAGCATGGAATATTGGGAAACAGATGGCTTTCTGAGGAGTCATTTCATGGGCAATTCAGTGGGCTGGAAGGTATCTATAGGACTTTCCCTTGCCAAAGGTGAGCCAGATTTGAATGTTAAGTTGTACTAACTGCCAGAACAACAATGTCTGAATCAACTGTTCTAATCGTCATTTTTGTGAAGCCTTTTTTCACTGCATCATATATGTGCAGAAAGATTCGGGAATCTGCCTCTTCATGGGATGATGGTGAAATCTCAGAAACATGCTGCTTAAGATGCCTCTGCAATATTCCCAATTGTTGTTATCAGGATTTTATTCTCTGGTACTGGAATGGCTGAGACATTTGATGCAAGGAACGTAAAGAGATCACTTTTCTTGTCATCCGAGTGTAGAAATTCTGGCCAATTCCCTGGCAATTTGTTTTCTGGATAAACTATTTGACGCTTTACAGATCCGTGCTTTTTTCTTGTTGAAGATTTGACACTATTTGGTATATATTGATCCCATACAATACCAAGTCTTTGTACTCTATTAAGTTGATCTGCAGTATACTTATTAAATATGTCATTTGAGTATTGTAGGAAGGTTCTTGCTTCTTGAGTTTTCAGCAGGTGGACTATTACGGCACCATCAAGAAACAGGGCTTCAACATCTGGTGTATTGATCTCTCTATTTGGAACAAGGTCTTCCACTGGTTTTAAGATATTTGCTTTGAGTCCAGTCTTGATTGTGCCATCTTGTGAAAGAGATGGATGGAATCCCTGGTTCTAATGTCGGAAAAGTTCATCTAAGTTGCCGTCTCTATTCTGGCACGCTATGTATAGTTGTGAAAATAGCTTGCTAGCTTTGAACTTGACTTAGATTTGTTTGAAGATCTTGAAATTGTTTCTCTTGATAGGGTCTGGTGATGGCTTTTGATCTTTCAATAATTCTCTCCTTTATATATACATGTACTTCACATTGACTTTTCCCCCTTTTCTCAATTGTGTTCAATGTGTCAACTGCACTGCTTGACATTACATCTCTAGTATCAAGTGTCCAAAGTTCCTTTGATGTTGCAATAAAGGGGTTTCCTAAATCATTGATAACCTAAGTAATGGAATTGACATATTTGTTGAAACTGGTTTGATAACTAACACTGTGCTCATGGTTTGCAAGGACCATCATTATTCTTCATCTCATCCTCAAACTCAGTTAACATTCTTGCGATCTCTGGACCATCGATCATCCACAGGCGACCCTGTTTCTTCACTCTGCTGTGTATCTATCAAAGATTCAAAATCAAGAGGCAAAATTGTACTGATTGGTAATCTACCTGAAATCTACCCAAGTAACAAGACCCCCTCCCAATACACATAACACTAATTCTTAATTCAAAACTGCCCTTATTAGACCAACAATATCATATTTTAAAACATAACAGTTAAAGATGCATTACGCCATAGGTTTCTCCCCCAGACAATCAAAGATGTCCTATTGTTATTGTTCATATAATATCTCACATACCATGGATTATCTTGAGAATAACTTTTGGGTATATTATTGCCAAAATATCGGAAATAATCAACAGAACAACCAAACTCCAGAATTAAACACAATCGATTCCTCAGCTAGCGAGAGGAATCCCCATTGAGTCACACAAGCACTCACAAGTGCCTTGAACCAGGCAGCCAATCAGGTTTATGATGAACAAATTCAACGACCAATCAGATAACAGGATGACTTTCCCGGTATATTCACACTTCAGATTGAATTAAATTTTTCGAAAATAATTAGATCGGTCAGCACAATCGCGAAATTAACACTGAAAGAGGGGGATTTGGGACTTCTTCTTTGGTAAGTAGATGGGTATATATGTGGTGAAACTCAATATGCAAAAAGTCCAGAGGGGTCTTGATTTTGCTATCCTATGGCATAGAGCCTCTTTAATCAAAATAAGCAGAATAACTTCTTGATTATTTTTATTAATCATGTAGGTCAAAATCAAACTTACAAAAACTGATCTAGATCCTATCAGAAACGTTGATGCTCATTGTCACTCAAGCATGACCTTGTCAAAAACAAGAAGTGATTTTGGTAGTTGTTTCAGAAAGATGCACCTTTTCCTAGATTATTCTGTATTTGCATTCAAGTCGCTCATCAGATGTCACATCGTTTGTCAAACTTTATTTTCAATTAAAATTACGTTGTGTATTATGTAGAGCCACTATGGAAATGAGATAAAAGGAATTAATTAAAGATAAGTAAATATTCATTTTGCTAAAAATTGACTGCAATCTCACTCATTATCATGTGTATCATGGTAAAAGGTCCCAACATTGAAATTATGATACTATTTAATGATAATCCTAAAATGTTATGGATGGTCATTAAGCCTACCCCTATAAATTTTAGGGGTAGGGGTAAAAATTGCGAAAAGTAGATAAAAAATGGACGAAATTTTCGGCACAGTTGCTTTTTACTCCAAGGAAGGTTGTTTGGTCATATATGAAAAGTTCCACGATTTGTTCCGTTTTCGGCGCTTTCACCCTTTTTTATGTCACTATTTATCTCGCTAATATTAAGTTCTTACTTTTCAAAATATTTGATTAGTTATCAATTCGAACTTTGTATGGATTCAATGAATTATACCCAGTAATGACTTTAAAGTTTAATTAAAGTAATTAGCAAAATATCAGACAAACATGCAAAACAAAGTCAAATGAGATAAAATGAAAAAAAAGATAGTTTTCTATCTTTTAGTAAAAACCCAATAACCGATTCCATGCAATCGGTACACATCATGATTTGAATGGAGTATTGCTATTATATTGAAAACGGCGCGTAGCCTACTTTAAGATGTATAACAATTCAGAGATTTCCCTTTCCTTAACTATTCAATGTCACGATATGATGACTTACATAGGATTTACATATGTTTTAATCATAACTAAGTGTTACTTTTAGTGACGTTGAGTTTAAGGGATTTTTGTTTGCGTTAAGTCAGAAACAAAAGTTGAGACCAGATAGATATCAATACAAAGTAGGACACTATTCTCTGGGGGATTATACACAGTGCTTTGAACAAGACTTACTCTGTAAGCTTTCTCCCGGGCTTTCTCTTACAATCTTCCTAATCCGTGATGTGCTGAACGTTGAATTCATCTAAGCCTGTGCTATTTATCATGTAATATAGAAATCATTTAGAAGATTGCAAATTATGAGGCACAAATATCATTCCCATTCACTAAATCGCATTTTCGTTATGGAAAATTAGTTCATTATTCCGTTGACATACGTACTTACAATGTCTGGTATGTGCCATGCCACTCTGGTTATGACAAAGGTGACCTCCTGAAAATGCGATCCTTTGTTACAGAATCAGATTTACATTAATCCCAATAGATTTACCATGAATAAAATATATGATTAATTCATAAAATAATGAATTAATTCAATCAGCGATGTGTCAACATAATTCTCTAGTTATATTGCTTAACTCCTGGAAGGCTGGTGGCGAGACGACTCACAAATTATTTAGGCCGTATTGGAGAAATTTTTTGAGGTCTTCATTTTATATTAGCCTATTTTAAAGATCGTGGATATTTGCAATTTTAGTTTAAGTTTTCTGCTCTCTTTGGACAAACTTTTACCTTTAACAAAAAAAGTCTTAATTTGAGTTGAGTTTTCATCTGCTTCAAAGATATTTATTTCTGAAAATATGACGTCAAATGCGATGGATATCTTTCAAGTCTGTTGCAATCCATTTCATCATTTCTGTACAGGATTCTACTACTGATACCAAGTAAAAATAGCACTAATGACATCTATACACAGCAACAAAAATAAAATGATAAAAAAACCAAAGTAGTTCACATCATAGAGCCAATTCAAGGAGGATTGGCTCCCAGAGTGCAACATCGATATTCTGTCCCATATATGAGCATGTCGTGATACAAAATTTGAATTCAAACAGCCACCATTTTGTTCACTTCAGCATTTGAATCGTGAATTTTGGTCTTGTTTCCGAACGAAAAATTCCAAAACTCAGGAGAAATGATCGAGATATTGGTTCGAATCTTTTGGACTGTTTATTTTGAATTTATAGTTGGTTATAATTTCAGAAAATAACGACATTTCGACGATTTCATTGTTGGAAAATATCGAGTTTCGATCCTGGGAGCCAATCCTCCTTGGAGCCAATTGTTAATAACATGTCGTTTTATGATACAATCCACCTTGTCAACATCTGCGAATTCCCCAACAGATAACGGCCATATTTCCACAGTATTTGCATTATATAGTTCAAACTCATATGAGATCAACTGTCTCCAAAAGCCTGTATTAGGAGCGATAACTTCACGGGCAGATTTTACAACATTGAACGCTTCTCGCAGGGTCATGTTTCGTTTCTTCATCAGATATGCGATACATAAACTTGCAGAACGGCTCACACCCGCAACGCAGTGGATCATACATCTCCCTCCGGTTCTTGCGACTTCATCGATTTTTTCGGAAGTCGACTCAAAGTACTGCTTCAAGTTAGCACTTGATGTATCTCGTATTTCAATCCTTACATTCTCTACACTTTCAAAATGTTTGCTTTCAAATTCTTCAGTGACATTAATAACACAGGTAATGTTGAAATAATCGATGTTGTCTTGATGTACTGATGCATATCCACACAGATAAAGACTGTCAGTTATAACTCCAACAGTGCGAACTCTATTCATATCTGATGGTTGTGAAGTAAATATGCGAATCCAGGTCAAATTCTATACTTTTTACGAAATGTTGTTGACATGCGCAGGAATTCTGAAATTGAACGTGTTGATTGGGCAACTGAGGAAGAATATATAATCATACGGTCTCACAACCACGTCGGTACTGATATCATGATTTTATCATTATTACGATATATTTGATCGTCGACACGCATTTTAAGTTAATGAAACTTCTCAAATTAACGATGGGAGATCAAGTTTAGATGTTTGGACTCGACTGAGTTCTGATTTTAGGTTTATTGTAAATGACACAGCAAGATCTTACCTCAATTGTTAAACTTGAACGCCATTTGCTCTGACCATGGCGCCCATGGGATCAATGGTTAGCAGGTGAGGGTAAGTATCATCAAACTGTAATAAACAAACAAAAACATAAAAAAAACATTTCCTGCAAAATAATGCAGTCTTATTCTATAATAAAAACTAAAGGTAATGGTGTAATGAGCGGTTTACTCGTTTTACAACAATCCAAATTCACTAACTAATTCAAATAAAGATGGCACTAAGATATTTTAGCCCATTAATCAGGACGAGGAAAATCACAAGCACGAGGGTCTTGTATGATACTTTGAATAAGGATGGTAGCAACTTTGTAAATGGGATAAAAATCAATAAGGATGGAGAACAATCTCTATTACTAGTATTACTACAGTATGTAATACGATAAGTCTTACAATAATTAACTAGAAAACAGCAACTCCATGGAGTAGCAAGTCCCACCGAACATGTTTGATAAATAGGGCCCATCTTGAAAATTTCTTCTTGAACAAAACTCCCTTGTCCCTAGGCATCAGCTTATAAAATTTGAACCAAATCTGAAGGCTAGTATTTGAATTATTAAAGATTACATTTTTTCGAAAAATGGCGGCCATTTTAAATTGAGCGGTCATACTGAAAATTCCTTCTCAGGAAGAGGTCCTACACCAATAAGGCATCAGCCTATACAATATGAATCAAATTCGTCAACCGGTGAGTTACCGCCCGGACATATTGAAGAACGGATGGACGAATGTATGATGCGTTACTGCCGCTAGAACGGACAGACGGCTTCTCTATATCCCTCTCAAGCTTCGTTCGGTTGGATAATAAAGTGTTTTTCTAAAGAAGCCTATATCACACCACTGCCACCATATGAAATAATAATATAAGATATCGGCGATAATTATTGTCATCAACGCTCTATCATCTTTATCACAATTGATAATCACATCATATCTCATCTCAAAATTCGAAAAACTCAGTTAATAAAATAAGCATCTTGTTTTTTCAAACTAGAATTACATCTCTTCCTGTTTTCGAACTAATATTACCGACAAAATTAGCTTAGCCCACAGCTAATGTCATACAATGTTACAAAACATGGTTATGAAATCTAAATAAAAAATAGACAAGCGAAATAGAAGTTTATAGAGATGTACAAACTGATACTTCTCTTAATGTATTTAGTTTGACACCCTTTGCATTCGTTCGACATCACTTCCTTAAAGAGAGTTTCGTTCGTTTATAACGCAAGTTTTATAGATTGACTTTTTATACTTTTTACTTTCACATTTATTTCGAAATAGTGATGCAACGGCATTCGCCGGTATTTACAAATATCATTTTGCTTTAAAAACATTATGGCGAAAACTACGAGGGGCTGCCATAAAAACTTAGTTTCGTTTTTGAATAAACGCTACATATTTTCTGAATTCCTAGAAAAAAATAACACACTCTATGATATTTAGCAATCTCTTATACCTGTAATACTATTTCAGTACATGATTCTGAAGTGGTCATTTTGGATATTAAACTAAGTCATCGAAGTCAATATGACTTTTTATTTATCAACAGGTATCACAAACCTAAATATTCCTTTATTAGAAATAGTCATAACATTTGTACTAATAATAGTCATTTTGAAAAACCTCCAAACACTTCGTAAATAATGTTTAAAAAGTTATGTCAGCATAAAAATATTGAAGCAGTTTTCTTATGAATGAAAGCCGCTTATAACAAATACAAATTCACTGCTTCTTACAAATAGTATCCTTGTTTGGACCACAATTGTTTAAGACTAATGTAGTCCTTGAGTTTGGTGGGCAAATGTACTGCTTTCAATTTTGGTAGGATGCTTCCACCTGCCGAAGCACCTCTAAATGTAGCACCGATACTGGACCTGCAACACTGCTGCAAGCTCGTGGGGTTTTGAATCATACTTTCCAACCACTCAAAGAATCCAAGCGATTGAGTCATAGCAAGATTCTTCTGTTGGTGAAATTTCTCTGGAGAAAAGCTGACACCGGATGCCAGAATCATCGCTGTGAGTTTACGACTTCGGCGATCACAGAGATATCTCAGAACGCTGTCGATTTCCCCGGGGGCAATCGTAGCACCATTGTTTAACAACTGAATGGCCGTGTATTTGAGATTGTCAGGTGTATTTAGGGCATGTAACAAAGGAGATATCATATGACTACCACCAGGTTTGTTAAGATCGACACCCTTGTTAACCAACTCTTCAAATAGTTTACAATTGTTATCACTGCAAGCAACGAATAAAGCACCTTGTATTTCTTTAGCGGGCATTTTCTTAATCAAAAGATGTATGACTTCAATGATTGCATCAACACCTTTATAAAACATATTAATGGCCAACGCCAACGCAGTGTCTCCTTTTTCATTCTTTGCGCAGCAGTCGACTCCCTCGGATATTAGAATCTTGGGGATATCAAAATTAATATCAAGGGCTTTCGAGTGAGAGCGCGTATTAATATCAAAATGCACGTCGTCAAAGCACGCGTGAAGCACGGTACTCCCCGTGAAATCTTTTATATTCAGTGAGCAAAAACTCCCATTCATCTCTACATTGTCGGTTTTGAGCATTTTGTGGGGTACCCCGACATCGAGAGCTAGTTTCCTGAGTTTCCAGTCTACTCTTCGTTCTTTCACAAGTAGCGCCATTTGGTTAACAGTTTTAGAGCGTGAACCAATGTTAAACGAAAATCGGTCGGATATTTCATCTCTGTAGTTCAAATTCATTTTCGAGAACAGCAGCAATTGAACGATTTTGAGCAAGTTTTTAGTACACGCAATATGAAGCGCTGTTTTCCCATCATGTTGTTGAATATTTCGATCAACTCCTGCCATTAACAGCGTATCAACAATCTCGGGTGAGCTAACATCGCATGCGTGATGTAGGGCTGTTGCCCCTTCGGCGCTTTGTATGTTTAGATCACTACCACATAGAATCAGCATTTTCACCACTTCTAGGTTCCTATCCATGGTAGCTTTCATGAGACACGTCAGGCCAGCTACGCTTTGTGTGTTCACGTCTGCCCCATACTTTATGAGCTTGTATAGCATTCGGTTGTTACCATACATGACTGAATAGAACAAAATCGTCCTACCATCAATGTGCATGTTAATGTCAATACAAGGTGATCTTAAAATGGACTTCAGTTTGTCCAAGTCATTTGTGATCACACTTATCCGCAACTGCTCTAGTTTACTAGGTATCAATGCGTCCATTGACACTGTTTCATCAACGCTTTCGTTCATGTTTATTTATTCGCGCAAATCAATGTTCAAATAATCAACTGATTTCATAAATTAATAGTAACTCTGCTACTTCCACAATATTATCACGTCTATATTCAGACACGAATCAAGCATATATGACTCATATGGCTGCATGTACATGTACATGCATCCCTCGATTTCCCTTTTCCTTCCCGTCAAGCCTTTTTATCACGTGATAAATCACTTCAAATCGAGTGTCAAATCAGTCTAGCTAAAATTCTTTAATTTTGAACGCTTTGAAAAATTACATCACCCTTGTCCCCATTGCCGGAAATAACATTGACGTAGCATTGCTTCCAGTCTTGGGAGTGCCTACTCTAGTTACAGTGTCGTTATATATCTATATTAATTTCTATTATTCCTGTTACTCAACGCTCCTATAGTGTATGTTTCATTTGATAGTTCGTTTGACATGTTCATTTCTGTTATTGCATTTTGCAGATTGGCGTGAAAAATATCACGTTACATACGTTTCTTAACGAGAGGCAGAGCAGATAATAGACGTCGTGCTGTCAGCATACTGTGTTGCTTGAAACAGCGCCACGACCAGGCAGAACTGAAAATGAAATAAGTATTTTTTCGAATTTGGAATTTTACTAACTGTCGGTAACAGGATACATTAGGATTTCAAACTTTTCCTTTTCCATCAATTAAACCCCTTTTCCAGTAATGTTGCTCATATCGCGTGTAAAAACCATAGCCCTACAAACGTTCTCGTAATTCGGTCAAGCCAAGTAACTTAGTCAACATTCGATATTCGTATGTTCATCAGTATTAACTAAGAATGGTGCCACAATTGAAGTAAACCTCTGTTTAATTATTTTCAATAAACCTATCAGCAAACGTGTAAATGATAAATTTGATAATCTGTTACATATTGGTGAAGCAGTCTTTGGGATATGGCCTATATTTCTGAATTTCCTCTATGTCCCTGTATAGCCCTACTTAAAAAGATGTATGTTATTTTTCATTATGAATCAACCATAAATGTATTTTTTCTTGTTTACATACAGAATGAACTTTTTGTTTCCAAATATTGAAAGATGGTACTGCATTTATTTTCTCATGATATGGAGGAAACAAATGCGTGTCAATTTACACTGTAATATCCCACATACTTATATTTCAAGGGTAGTTTTGAAGAATTATCAAGAAAATCCATGTTTTCTAATGAATTCATCCTTGTCAAAGAACGTAAATGAGGATATGCGGTTTAAAAAACTAACAACATGTTTTAAGTTCTTACAATTCTTGTTTAAAACAAACATTTCGAAAGTTGTGATTTCGAATGTAATATCCAACTCAATGAAATTTGTTGATATTTGTGAATTTTTTCTTTCGGTATGCACATTGCTGGATCACAGAATCTTGCCTTGTTCGAGATGCACAGAAAGGGTATTGTTAATACTTGACGTCGTTCGGATATTCGGATGTGATTGACGTTTTCGTTAATCTCCAACCACTGTAACTTCCAACTTAATTTTTGAAAGCCAAAAATGATAGTCACGAATCGATATTTAAGTCACACGTGGATGCACACATCATGTGTCTACATTAACTGTCGAATACATGCCGACTTACATTTATTTAAATATACACAGTTAACTCAAATCATCAATTCTCGAAACGGTTTATCATATAACCTGACCTGAGTTTAATGTTTCATTTTAAATTATAATTATGGTATCGGATTTGAGTATGATTTTAGCTGAGGCTTAAACCAAGCAATAAAATTGCCTTAAACCTTTTGTGAAAATTCGAACGATTTTTCAAGAATCCTCCTTCAAAGTGTTACCACAGTGCTCCCCGGGAGTGGAAATTTCGTCTAGTGTAATCAAAATAATAGCGGGTGGTTTGAATTTTTGTTTGAGTTTATAGCTCAGCATCTATAAATTTAAAAACGTGTCGCCTCATTGAGAGGTACATGCAGATTTTGGCGATCTATCTTTATAAAAGGCTAAATTTTGTGCAAAAACAGGAGTTGACACGCTTACATTTGGAATTGAAATTTCCTACATAATATTATTGTCTTATCAATTTATAAATGCAAAATGTTCAATTTTGTTTTTCAATTATAAAAAATGGCACCTGTAGAGAACAACGTTTACAAAATTATTTAAAACGGAGATATTAACCAATGTAACATTCGTTGGCATGTGTCAGGGAGTAAATAAGAAGAATATGCATTTGATTCTATATCTTGTTCCAAAAGGAGTTTGTTAAGGAGCGGTATATCTTAACGTACTTTTATCATCCCGAACTCAAATATTTCGAATCCTTATTTCGACAACGCTTTGTTGAGAATGGATTCAAGATGTACTCAAAATTAATATGTTAAAAGATGTATTATCATCTTAATAACCACCTCACAAATTATTTTGGAAATCAAAGATGTACGATTTTTGAGATTTTTATTTTCGAATGTTGACTTAGTTACTTGGCTTGACTGAATTATAAAATTATTATATTGTTTATGCAATTCAGATAATTGTAACCTGAGTTGATGGAAATCAGAAAGTCCGAAACCGTCGAATCACGTCTGGCATTCTGCAAGATACAGTATCCTGATAATGTCCAGTGAAAACACATATTGTTCTTTGAAATAAAAATTAGGTCAAGATTTCTTCGAACGTTACCTACTAAGGTCGATCCGGGGCAATTAGCGAAGAGATAATTGTACCCATAATACATCATTCTAAGTACCTGTAGTAGAAGCCGCGAATACCACAATCACGGTGTTATAGCATGACGGTTTCGTCAAAGCGATTTGCAAAATTTTGCGGTAACGATAACAAAAAATGGCGGATGGGAAAGGCAGCATGTCCTCTTTCTAGCCTGTAGGCAATATTCACAGATAAGATTTCCTTATAAACTAGTTCCATTCGGTGACGTATATATGGATGGTTATAAAGACTGGGTCAAAACGGCCAGGTGGTCTACAAGAAACAGAATGTAAGCTGTAAACCTACCGACTGAGATATCCAAGTTTATAATTTTTGGTCCATTCTCGTGTTTTCTCAGTACATGTGCCTCAGAACCACTCAAAATATTAACTGTAAGTAAACTGTGTATAAACAAGGCATAAAATGACAAATCCAGAACAGGAACGTGGTGTATATCGTAAATAATAAGGTTTCAAACGCAATGTCGCTAGACGACTACGTATGACTGCTATCGAATTCTATGAACGGTAACGTATTGTATTAATTGTACATAAGATATTTAGCGGACGGTTACGTGCATGTACATCTGGCAAGTCAAGGTTGCTAGATCTGATAGCCTCTTTCCATGTTATTGTTATAATGGGTAAGAAATGGAATATTGAATTTCCTATATTTGTTTTCAGGACTTGCAAGAGACGCTCTTGTTTCAGCCTCTATAAGGCAAGAAAAAAACTGTCGCATGCTTTGTTTATGAAACTGATGAAAGTGTAAAAGGTAGCAATGAATTCGAAGAGGCAAAAGAAGATTTAAGATCAAGTACTGATGAAGATGACAAAATTAACAACAATGAATCGGGGTTTCATATTTGAATCAGGTTCGCGTAACCTTCCATCAATTTTTTACGTTACCGCAAATTCAAAATACATTATTATGACTTGAGTAGAACATATTAAGTGGTTGCCAATGCTCAATGGGCTTTGTATGATCGTATGTAGGTTACATCTATATACCACAAGGTTTTTAGGCAAAGTAGACCATGCCCTAGCAACAAAAATAAACAAATTACTAAACTTTTGTGTAGTTTTAAATTTCAAACTCGACAGTTTCTCTCTTATTTCATAATAATCAATTTGCAGACTACGTTCAAAATATACATTACTGAATGCATTACCGAATGCGACGCTTACATAAATCGTTCATCCTTTCATTGATACACAGTATTAGAAAATAATGCACCAACCTTAGTTTTCTCTTCCATCACGGCCATTTTATTGGATAAATCAGTGAACGTAGATTACGTGGCGTAACCGTCATGCTATAACACCCTGACAATACCCTTTAGAAATTCACAGCATATAGATTTTGAAACAAAACTGGCACAGCGATCAGGGTATAACACTCAAAAGGGTCTCCCATCTCCCTCATTTTATCACTCATGTGGCTCCCCCTGCGCCTACACATTGTCTCATCTCTTTTCATGTCTCGGTTTACCGTCTAACTATTTCCAAAACCTCAATGATTAATGTTTATTTTATTGTATGACTTGTTTACTACTTCACTTGTTCAATACATCTTCTGTGAGATTACTGTTTGCTCACCCGATATATTCCTACTTCATTTGGCTAAATACAGTGAAACCAGTTAAGTGGAACATCTCTAGAAGTGGAGCACCTCAGTAAGTGGAACACTTTTCAAAGTCCCAAGACCAACTGACTTTGATGTAAATTAACCTCTATAGGTGGAACACCTCAAAAGTACAACACATTTTAGAGGAACTAAAGATGTTTCACGTAGACCGGTTTTACACTGTACGACCAATCAGACGTCACCGAGCCACTCTTCTTAATAATATACATCCCCTCCTGTATGTTTTGACACCATTCCTCGATTTTTAGATCTTTAGTTTTTTCAAGTGAATACACCATCTAGTTAGTAGAGCTTAGTGACCTACTGAGCAGTAAGTTGCAAACAAAGCTGCAAAGGGTACATCATCTAGCCAATCACACTGGCCAGTGATTAGGAGGGGCAGGAGGCACCAGAATTCCAGTTCTCAGTGATCACTTGTACTTGTTCACTTATCCAGTTCCAGGATCCCGTTCCAGGATAGTCTTAGTACCAAGACTACAGGGTATCTCTACTTGTACTTACCTTCTTCTAAGGCCTATCATGGCTAGAGAATTTGCTAGAGAGAATCTCTACGTCCTGAGAACCTGAGATTGTTTTGCACTAGATAAGTTTCGTGTCTATGATGTACTGTATAATAGATTTATAGTATAAGGTCGCCTATATTTAGGCTATAGCCTATAGGATCAAATGACAAAAATGTAAAAGTTTGATACTTCACCACGCAATAAAAACAATACTTCCATTTCTTGTCTACTTACATCAACAACGATATTTCACCGACGAACTTTTCTCTGTTGTATGTACTTTATATGTACTATGTCCCTTTTATTGTACTATATCTCAAATACTTTATGCGTGTATATTCTAGAAAAAAAATTCGAAAATTTTGTAAACTTCCGGTTGCAGTATTTATGCGAACGCAATGAATATATGGAACTAATAAACGTTCACTCTCTTACCTTTACTCAATTATCATATCACCTTCATGTAATGCCCAGTGGAATGATTTGGATACTATTAAGACATGTCAAGAAATTTCAATCGGAAACTATTCTGAAATATAGTGCATGTACACGTTACCTAGGGTGACGTCATTTAGGCCTACCAATTGGCTATTCTACTCAGAACTAGTCAGAAGTTCCACGACAGCAGGCTTGACGGCATGGAAACTGAGTTGGGTCATGGGATCCACTATTCACGTGATAATGTTTTCTCAAATTCTTAGTCATACTCTTCAGAATTCAGACATTCTTTTGTATAACAACTAAACTAGACGAGTGCGGCAGCGGGAGACGTTTAAAATGTTTACCCCCCCCCCTCCCCCTATAGTAGGCTAGGATCTAAAAATATTCGGGGTCAACGATTGATGGATGCAAATGACTTTATCTCTGTTGCAATTGACCTTTTTTCCATATAAATGGAAAATAGATGGCATCATGGGTATTGGTAGGGCTAGAATACATGTAAGCTTATATGTATTGCCAGAGTCACTTAATTTCTTGATTTAAGCTAGTAGAAGTAATTCCATTTGGATCAACTTAAAACACCATTGGAATCTGGGAATATAACAATTTGATCTTATTGACGTGTGGATTGTGATTTCACATTAGATTTGTGATCCTTGTAAGAGTAAATGAAGTTTTAAAGCTTTTTTAGCATTGTGTCAATGGGGATTTAGCTCGACCTGTTTTAGACAACTAGAAAATCATTATAATTTGATTAAAGGTAAATAATGGTGCAAATCAAAGCTGTTTTAATAGAAATTACACACAGAATTCAAGTATGCCATCAAATAGAAGAAAATGTTAGTCTTTAATGATTAAAGATGCAGATCTCTTAAAATCTTATTAAAACGAGGACCATTGTAGAAACGTCTTAATTAATGTTCATCACTGTCATGCCTCGCTACGTACTGTACGCCATGGCGTATTCTCCAAAAACAAGTCTCGGCTTGGAGAACATTCTACTTGGCTAATAATTTTTTCATGAAAAATATAACACCCAAATTAAATTATGAATCTACAATATAAAATGTAAAACTAGTCAAAATTGTCCGAAGCAGGTTCCCTTTTCGAATTCGTTCTAAAAGAGGGCTTCGTCGTTAATATAACTAGACTGTGCGCAGCAGTGGGGCAAGCAGGCGTAACGTGCAGTAGATCGATTCAATAAAAGACAAGTCTCGATTTGGAGAAAGAAGTTCATCAGTGTTCTGCGCTAATAATTTTTTTATGAAAAATATAGAAATAACACCCAAATTAAATTGTGAATATTCAAAAGAGGACATTTACATCTACAATATGTAAAAATATCAAAATTGTCCGAAACAGGCGTAAGGTGTAGTGGACTGATGAACTTCGTTCTCAAAACCGAGACTAGTCTTTTAGAGAAGACTAAATTAGTGATCCTTTTTGGCCTTTTGGGGCCCTTTCGGGCCAAATTATCAAAAAAAATCTGACTTAATCAAATGATGTGCCCCCATCCCCCGATCCCGACCTTGTTAGCTTCTGGATCGCCAGCCGTGAATGACGAATGCAAATGAGTTATCTTTCCACGAAGCACCTATTTTGTCATGGCCCCGATCATTTATTCATGTTATTAAATATCTGGATAAAAATGGCCAATTTAATAGTCCCTAAACCTCAAGGCTCGTTTCAGTGCTTCGATCGCATACAACTCACAAAATACCCACGATTCGCCACTAGAAAAGTATGATTAAGCCCCGGATTAAGCATGCATAATGAAGAGTGGTATTATCTTAACTTTCCAATGGATTATGTTTTGGCCAAAGGGAGATTTCAACCATGGCTTTAAAATCGCTCAGTGCTCTCACATCATTCAAAACTTCCGATCGGCAATGTTACATGTTTTCGTTAATAAGCGTCTACTATGTTGATTTAAAATCAATCTAGTTACATGGTTTAAAGGTGTATACCACTTTATCTAAGAATTCTCCATTTGAAATGCCCCCTAGAATTTACAATGACAGGCCAGGTAAGAGCCATTAAAATGCCCAATGTACCTTTGAAAAATACATGTAAGATACAACATATTCATGCATCTTGTTAATTACAGCATATCGCGCGTATGCCTCGTATCTAACCACAGATCTAAAGACCAAGGCAATTGGCCCTGGCAAGGGCCCTGACCAAAGGACTTTCAAAATCAGTTTCACCGTGAGCACTTCAAGCGCTTTTTGGCCAAACTGTCTAAGGGGAACCCCCTGCAGATTTTCAAGTTAATCCCCCCTTGGCAAATCCTGGTAACGGACCTGCAAGGCCCGCTGCAATGCCCGCCAGGGAGTTTAACTTGGCTTGGAATAGTATTCCAAGGTTTAAGTAAACGCCCCGGGTGGGCGACATTGCAAGCCGCGTTCGCCACTGGGCATTTTTCTAGGCCAACACTGTTATAGTGACTGCCAAGTGACTTGGCGGGATTACCCGCCTTTACACTCGGAGACTTTGACCATAGGAGTACAGTGGCAAATCTCAGATGAGACCCAGATGTGCATTATGCAACCTAGAAGCCCTAGAGTAGGGTAAATCCCCGGGGGCAAACCGACTGTATGCCGTATGTACAGATGTAGCGTGTAGCATAGCATGGGCTTTCTTTGAAAGATTGGGGAACTTGGCTTTTACAGCACAATATACTCCCCCCCCCCTTTATCCTTCTCTCTATATGTATATTGCCAGGTAAAGAGAGTGGAGGTGGGGGGGGGGTGGATACAGTCTTTGAGCAGGACTACTGCCTCAAGTACATGTACGTTTGAACCTTGAAAGGGCGTAGATATATCGTTCGCATAATTAATGCAACCCGGAAGTAGATAAAAATTAGGTCATCGATAAAAACAAATGTCAACGTTCCATCAAATGATTCAACAGCAGGCGCATGTCTCGACTTACCGTTGTTATTTATGCGTAAACACAAAGAGCAAGACTTAGTTGTCGAGTCGCATCGGGTCTTATAATTTGCAGGTAGGCCGAAATCTAGATGATAGTCTAGATCTATTTTTTTTTCTAGGCCTATTTTTTCCTGTTTTTAATTTTATACTCATAGAGTCCATTTCACTGTTTAACTTAGTTGCATTCATGCACCCTCTGGGTCTCTGAGGATCGTGTTGGCCCCAGGGGTGCATAATGTGCAATGTAAATTTATCAATTTAAACCTGCACATCGCTCCAAAACGCAATATGTTGACATATATTGTTTTTACATTTTCAAGCTCTAATATAAAGTTTATGTAAATAAAAATTGTTTTTTTCTGCGTAATATCAAAGAACAATCATTTAGTTAAAAAAATAAAAAGGCGAACGCTGGATTCGAACCCGGACCTCCCGCGTGCTAAGCGAGGATTCTACCGCTACACCACCGTATTATTATGAATGGTGGGAGTAATTAAACGCTACTTATTTTGAATGCTATGATTCGGAAGTGACGTCACGTTCTTCATTTAGAAACCTTTCCAAAATCATATCGCCGGCTCCGATCGAAGCAAATTCAATGAAAAATCTTTGAAATGACACATTTATCGTAAGTATTTCTACACAAGATTTGCCCCATTTGTTCATCATTCTATAATCTTTCATTAAGCTCAAAATGATAAAGTTCACCCCCGAAACAACCCAAGATTGCGTTTCGGAGCGTAGTCCAGCTTTAAGAAATGCTGAAAAGTCCGGATCTGATGTTTTTGACTTTTCTCCCAAGATCTTACCTCAATCTTGAAAATTCTTTCACCACTGGATAGCGGGACCAAAAATCTTCAAAATGAACCCATATATGCCTCGCTTTATTACAGTAATTATGTGTAATTGTTGCAGATAAAACAAAATTGCATTTCTGACCGGCCTTCTTGACATTTTCGCTGACCTAATTTCAAGTGCGCATGCGTTGCATAAATCAGTGTGATGATCACGTGACGTGACGTAATTTGATGATCATGTGTTGTATGTGTTTTCCATAACCAGTTGGTAAAACTGCTATAGTGGATTCTTGATTCAATATGTTTGTTATCACGTCTTGTAACTGTTCTGGCTTCAAATCAAATCCAAACTTTGGTTTTATGTTATGCAAATAGAGATCATTGATTTCTTCCATCGAATACATGATGGTCGAATGAATGATATAAACTCTGTATAGTTAAATAGATGGCAGCAATATTCAATGGCTACTCTCGTCAAATCTTGTGAGAATAGAAGCCGCCATAAAGATTTTGTGAACAGTAGCGTCAAACGGCGATTTTGCTATAAAATTAGCACAATTCAACCTTCTACAACCACAAAGCTATGGTAATTTTTTGTATAAATCATCAATGTATCCATTTAATTTATGTTTCTCTGTAAATGACCAGAAATTCTAAGCAGAAGATTAAAATAAAGTGAACCGTCAAAAATAATCAAGAAAAACTTAGATTGGCATGAATTTACAAGGATAAACACCGCCTCTAATGCAAGTCCTTACGACAATCCAACGCATTAGAGGCGGTGTTCACTGTCTATGTTTAACTGCGTCAGTAAAAGCTAAAAAATAAGAAATCAAAATATCATTTTGCAATAATATATCGAAAAATATATTCTTATTGTACATGAATGACATTTGTATATCTTGGATTGCTTCTAATTTGGCTTATAAAGTGTGTGGCCTCTTATACTTGTATTTGGATGCTTCTCTGCCATGTTATTTTCAATAAGATTAACATGGCTGAAATTCTTCAAATTACAAGACGGCACAGGCTTATTGCACAAAAAACTAAAAAATATGAAATATACAAATGTCATTCATGTACATTATGAAAATACTTTTCCATATATTATTGCATAATGGTCTCCCAATTTCTTATTTTTGCCGTTCTACTGACGCAATGAAGCAGTGAAATGGACTCTAGACTATACTGCACTTTTACTTGGGTACAGTACATGAATTAGCCTAAAGCTCATGATGTTTTGTCAACTCATGTTCTTATATTAAGGTGCACAGTAGAGTATAGGATAACAGGCCCGTAGCCAGGATTTGCCAAAGGGGCCGGTTCACTTCCAGAGAGGGGTCACTTGTGACAATTTTGGTCCAAAATGGCAAAAATCACTTAAAAAGTGCTCAGAATGGTGAAAAACTGCAAGATTTTGAAAGATATTTTGGCCTGGGGGGGGTTGCTCGGAAGTGCCATTCAAAATGGCCGATTGGGTAAAATTAATTTGCACATTTGTTACTTCAACTAGCTTTATTTCCTCTTGACAATATGCTGTGTTTCTTTTTATTGCATTTAATTGTACCTTACTAATTCATTGAAATTTTGTAATGCTTATTTTATTGAAGAAATGGTTCTCCTAATTGATAATTTTGTGCAAAAAATTTCACTGCAATTTCCACAGGAGAGTAGTACATCATAACAGACTGACTTCTAGTCAGTCTGTTGGATACATACTACCCCTCCCCCACCCCCCCCCCCAAAATGGCCGCCTTTTCAATTTTCCAAATTTCTTCTCCAAGTTTCTCAATAACACTGGATTTCCATTGACCACTTACTAAGTTTACTGAGAGAAGACAATGTAATGATACTTTCCTGAAAAAAGCAAGGAAATACACACATGCCTTCATACTTTATTTTGTTCCAGAAAATAACATGGGCAGGTAAAGCATTTTTTCAAAAATGTTGTTTGGAAAGAATAACCTTAACATATGAACGGTTACCTGTATTTTACAGGTGGGCAGGCAACCCAGGTGGGCGCTTTTATTTTTTTCATAGGGGTGGTAGGATCAAAAACACATTCCAAAATTAATTTATGGACTATCTTTGAGATTATGTTGTCATAACAAAAAAAGCTAACATACTTGGGCCTTAGGCCTACCCGAATTAAAAGTATCCAAATTGTCCTTGAAAATAAGAAATCAAGTTTACTGAAGCAGGGTTTAAATTCTTGTCAATCGTTTGTGATGTCACAGGCGTGCTACCTAACCAACAACAAAACAAACAAGTATATGGTATCGTTCAGTGCCTTACACTACTGATGGTATCAAGCCGTGGTATCAGGCCTAGGCAACTTTTTTCTCCAAGCAGATCTTGACAAAGAGTTTGCTGCATTATCTTGTTGGACCTATCTTGTTGTTGTCGTCTTCCGGTTAGGTCAAGAACACTGGATTTTTAACTTCCAAGATTTTAATTACACTAAATTTAGGAACTTTCCAAACAGTTTCAGCTTTTTAAATCTTATGTAATATATTGCAATATTGTTCAGTTTACTTATGCCATGCTCAGTTTGTCCCGATTTTCTCTAAATTTAATGTTCTCAGTGGTCAAGCAGGTGACCTCACTTGACCCTGACGTCACTGATCACTGTTGACCAATCAGCGCGCAGTAGACCAGACCCATACATCGCTATCGCTCTCGTTTTATTTGAACAGATTCCAATTTGCTGCTACAATATTGCGTATACCACCAAGTACCAACCACCATACTGTATTTGGGATTGACACACGTATGTCACACAACACCAAGCACCTGCAGAGGGTGTCAGATGTGTTGTTTTACACCGTTACACCGCACACCGTAAAGATTTGTTGAACCATTCTCGGCTTCGAAAAATAATAGATCTTCTTATTTTCAAAGACAATTTGGTTACTTTTAATTCGGGTAGGGAACTTTTTCCAATTGTGGTTAGCAATATAGTTACATGACGACAGAATCTCAAAGATAATCATGCAATAAAATAATTTTGGAATGTGTTTTTGATCCTACCACCTCTATGAAAAAAATAAAAGCGCCCGCCTGGGTCGCCTGCCTGCCTGTAAAATACAGGTAACCAATTGGAACATAGAAAGAGAGTACACACACATATTGGCTTACATGTATTCCCCGTGGCTCTTGTACACATCCCCTTCATACAGTATAAATATAATAGTTTATTGTTTCTTTCAGAAAAGTTACATGTACAATGGGTGTTTTTACTGGATGTCAAATCGTGCTTGATGTCTCAACAGCAGTTCGCTATAAAGAGAAACAGTCACTGAAAAAGTTGGTGACTGATAATGATGGAATAATATCATTCATTCTTACAAACAAGGTAATTAATGAGTGTCTTTCTCTTGACCTTTGGTCAATTAAGAAATCAAATCAACATCATTGAGTATTCAACAACATAAAGTACATGATATGTCAATTGAAAAATGGCACGAGGCTGACTCAGATCAACTACGGCTCCAGATTGCTTAGAGCTACTACATTAATTAAGAACATAATAGTTGCCTTCAGTACGACTACATGTAGCTTTTCTTTTGTACCAATAAAAAACTAAAATGATCTTAATCACCTTCAATGGTTGCTAAACACTGAATACCAAAACAATTGCTCTTATCAATATTTTAGAGTTCTTGTGTCGTGGCAGACTCTAATGATCAGGCTCTCAACTCTTACAAATGTCGCACAGCTTTAGATCGTGGTATTCCAATTGTTTCTACTGCATTCCTCAAACAGTCTGTGGAGCAAGAAAAGTTACAAGATTTTGACTTGTACCTCCTTGCAGGGAAAACTAAGGCAGAAGAGCTGAGTACTGGAAAGATCGTTGGTGAGTAAAGTCAATAAATACAATAAAACCTGTATATGCTAACACCTCACAAATCTTCACACTCCTCTATCTGAACATCTATTTTCGGTCCCATTAATTTACAATAGATTTGATGTTAAAAACCCAAAATGTGAACACCTGCTAATTCTAACACTTTTGGTCAGTCCCAGTTTGAATTAAACTGGTTTTACTTTAGTTAAAATGTTTTCTTATAAAGCACATTCACCCTTATTTATTTCACAAACTTTACATACCATCAAAGGTAAAAAGGCCTTTTTGTTGAAAATCAACCTGACTTAAATCTATTGATTTCAGCAAACAAAAATCAAAGCAATGTGAAAAAGAAGCGGAAAACAGAATACTTTGATATCAAGAAAATCAAAGTATGGCCATCTGATGATAAAGACCAACCATTCTTTGATGAAACTGATTATACTATTGTTAAACATGTATTTTTAAGGGTAAGTCTTGATTTAGAGATTGTAAATCATGTAGAGAAGAATGATTGGGATGGGTATGTTGTAGAAAACAAGAGACACCATTTTTCATCTGTTTTATTTCATCATGTTATAGTTATACCATTGTAATTAGTAATGAGAGTGACAAATCACTAAAATTGTCAACATTATATATTTACTCTGGATTTAAAAAAGAACTAACAAAGAGTATGTGCAAAGATGTGTTTTTCTAGCAAAAGAGACTACATGAGAATAACAATTGATTTATTACCATAATATAATATATATATAATATTTGATCAAATTGATTTAATTGATATTATAATGATTCATCTCTTGACACTTTTATTTCAGAAATATGACAAAAAGAATTCAACTGAGAAGTTTTGCATCATTGAACTTCATAGCTATTCAAGAGGACAGAATGCTGTAGATTCACAGTACAGGGTGTCATTACAATCTGGCTCATTCCATCTAGGCACAAACATTGAGGTACATGTTTTGATTTTGTATTATTACATCTACTCTCTTACCAGTGATTTATCTTTCTTTGTGGTGATCAATATATTCTTATAATAATAGCCAACATTTTTGTGACTGGTATTTGATGTTGATATTCAGCATCTGTAACAATTGCTACACTTTTGGAATTACATTCACCGGGTGATATTTTTTGATGTTAATGGGTGGTTTTAAAGATCTTATTTCTTCTAGGCCATCTTTAAGATGAGTAAAAAACTAAAAATTAAAATGCTTATGCTGTTCTTGCATTTACTTGTGCAACATTTGTCAGTTTCTTTCTTTAAACAGAAATAAATTTTATATTGAATCAAATTCAAGATATACCATGAATATAACTAAAAAGCATATACTGTATAAGTGGTAATTTTGCCTAATCATTTAATTTTCCTATTTCCTAATTTTTTCCAGGTTCGGAAAATTAAATGTCGGAAATATTGTCTTTATAATGTTATCCAATGGGAGGTTTCTTGTCATTAGGAAAATTAAAATTAGGAAAATGATGAAATTTGACCATTCGGAAAATTAACCACTCGGATTAAATACCACTTATACAGTATTGTCCAGTGTTCAATTGTCACAATGAGCTCCTCCCCATTACTATGCACGTCTCTAATTTGGCACATCCCCTTTTAGCTTCCAACAGATGTAAATACAGAATACAGGTATTGCAGTACACCTGAGATTGCAATTCACACCTATGCACACCTGTACAATAAATTCACTAAGCTACCAGAAGGGATGACCAGGATGTACAACTCGACTGTACCAGCTCATTGGAAACATCTTGGATCGACTAGACTGCAACGGGTAAGGCTAGCATACTATGTATATAACAATTGGGACATATGTATACTCACAGCTGGATGACTCTAACTGCAGTTCATCTTAGTTTAGCTGAAATCGGAGGTTTATCGAAAATGAAAGAATTTCGGCAACCATTTTGAATGAAGCTAACTGCAGTTAGAGTCATCCAGCTGTGGAACAGTGATATCATCACATCTTCAATATGGTTCTTGTGGCAATAGCAAGAACATGTAAGAATTGTCTAAAGACTGCTGCAAAAACATCATAATTAAAAGTGTTTTAATATGTGTAAATTAGAAAATGCCAAAATTGTGATGTTTCTAACAGTTGCCCTCATTACATACTACGATGTTGATTTTTCTAGTTGAGGTCTGAATTGGGTGTATGGAACAGTGAACTCCCCAGTGATGTATCGGAGCTCGTTGACCATATATGGAAGGAGGCATCTGGTGTACTAGATGAAGTGCTGGGCATCCCTGTTGAATCAATTAAAGTTGACCAAGTAAGTACTGTTATATCAATGTTCTACTGCCTTGTTCAGTACATTCCATGTTTAGCCTTCCACTTTTGATGTAAATCTCTTAACATAAGGTAGGCCTTACCCTTAATCTGAAGAATGACTACTCAATATGTTATTAATATTACACAATTAAGCGGATTCAAGAGACAATTCAGGTTACACACGCCAAGCAAAAGAAAATAAGAGAGGGGTGATAATTAAATCAGCCATTACGGACCACGTCCTTCAGAATAATTTTTGTAATGGACTGGAACAATACTACAGTTTTGGACAATGACAATAAGAGACTTGAAAGATGGATTAAAGAATCTATTTATATAAAGAATAACGATAATATAATAATACATGTATGAACAGGGATCAAGGGAAGTATAAATTGGCGGGAATTTGGAATGAATTTTTGGTGAATTAATATGACGTAATATTATTTTTATTTAATTGTTTTGTAGCGCTTTCAGTTCAGTTTTTATAACAGTTGAAAAAGGATCCAGACAGGATCCCAAACGTTCTGTTTAGTAAAATAAAGGTTGTGAAAAGAAGAAAAAAATAGTTTTGGAATTCTATTGACGTTTAGGTAGAGAAAGCAGAGGGTTTGTTGCTACAGCTGAAACTGGGCATTGTAAAGGAAAGTGAAAGTGCTGACATTAGCAGTCTTTCAAATGAGTTCTACGACTGTATACCACATCAACCTGATCACAAGATAGAGATCAACTCCAAGAGACTGATTGCCAAAAAGCAAGACCTTTGCCAGGTGAGCATGCATTCAGAAGCAATTGAGTATTTATATATAGTCAATCCATGTGGTTATAATATGTATATGTTGGAACATTGATTGAGAATTTGTGTTTGATTATTAATGAAAACAACAACATGTATTTTGTCCTAAATTATCTCTTGGAAAATGCTTAACTACATCAATTCAGTTACAACCGAAATTTTAGTTCATTGTTCTTCAATATAACATAACTATGATATACATATATAATTGTACCTAATATACTGATTGTATATTAGGTACATATTCATATTATGTACTTTTTCAGTTGATCAGGGATATGATAGCAATGAGTGAGGCCACAAACTGGAAGAAAACTGACAGTATTAGTGCGAAGTACAGGGCTCTGAGATGTAACATTGAATCAACAGATGCAACAGAGGCAAAAGATATCACTGATCTGTTTTACTTGAGATTTGAGTAAGCTAGGTTGAATATCTCTGTTTCTTACACAATTTTATTTAAATTTAAACATTTAGTTGAGAGAATATTAAAGGGATATCCCTGCCAGACTATTTCTCTCCTGATATGGTAGCTTTAAACATATACTTTCAATATTGAGCAAAATTGACTATACTGTATCTGACTATTATATTCAAATGTTTCAAATATTCCTCTCAAATGTTTAGCTATCTACATATCTTTTTGCAGGGAGTTTGATTGTAAAGCTAAAGTGAAGAATGTATTCAAAATAAGGAGGGCACCAGAGGAGGACAACTTTACCCACAATATCTCAAACAAAAAGCTGCTGTTCCATGCCTCAATCCCCCACAATTTTGTTGGAATTTTATCAAGGTACAGATTGAATAAATTCTACCTTTGAATTTTCTTTATATTTAAAATATACTTCAGTTCATGTGAACCAAGTACAGATAAATAAATAAAATAAACTAGTCAATAAAGTACATACAAATATGTATACAAATAGAGTAGTATTTATACTTATATATGAAATAGGATGTACAAAAGAAAACAATACAAATTTCCTACAAATCATATGACCTCCCAATGTGGCTCTTCTGATTGTTCATATTAACACATGTATTACTTCAACCATGAAAAACAGTTTCTGAAACACATGTATATAGACACGTTTGTATAGTAGAGCTATGTTTCGGGTAGTACATCATATATAAAACTGACATTTTACATTGCATTTGCCATAAAACATATCTATTGTACAGTATTGTACCTGTCTATATCCCAACACCACTGGGAGGGACTGGCCAAAAGTGTTCAGATTTGCAGGTGTTCTTATTTTGATTGTTTTTAACATGAATGTCTATGATAGGTTAAAAGAGATCAAAAATCATTACCATTGAATTGTTGAATGGGGTGTTCAGCTAAGGGGATGATCAGCTAAGGGGATGCTCAGATAGACAGCTCTTACTGTCAATGTATGTAAATGTGTTTATCTTACGGATTATTGCACTAGGTCCTATGAATTCAATAAAAGTTTAAATGATGAAAAATATTGTTTATTTCAGGGGTCTTCTGCTACCAAATGTAATAGTAGATGATTACGGGGGAACCAGAACTGACGCTGGGATGCTTGGGAGTGGTATTTACTTTGCCCTGTCTTCAAGGTAATCTGTTAACTCATCCTTGGCTCAAGAATAATTCATTGCATTAAATGCATGAGCTGCTATGAAGGCAGTGAAGGACTGATCTGAAAAGATGCTGTTAACTATAGCTTCAACCTTATCATACTGACATGATAATATTGAGTGACAGTCTTCACTGAAAACACTCTACAACTGGGCATAATTAACAATCATATTATTCTAACACCTTTTAGACCTGAAAGAAAGATCAAACAAAGCTGAATTACATATTCTACCTGGTCCAACACCCCCCCCCCCCACTCTCTTTATATTTATATGCATTATGTACACTGAGAGAGAAATGATTCTTAAATACTTTACCCTATATTCTTTGTATATGATTTGCAGCACAAGTGCCAAATATTCCTCACCTAGTGCTAATAAGGGAACAAGATTCCTATTGGTCAATGAAGTTGCTCTTGGTAAATGCAAAGAGTATGTGACCTTTCACACTGAGCTCAAAGCTCCACCTAGTGGCTATGACAGCACACATGGTGTCAAAGGGAAGGATGAATATCCAACTGATTTTAAGGTATTCAATTGCATTCATAACTTTTACTTATCTCGAAATGAAATGAATTTTCAACACGTGAATATAACATGGTTTACAATACAAAATGAGTCTGTATGACTTTTCAGTCATTTGTACCTTATTTTTCAGGATGATGAGTATGTGATCTACAACCCTCAACAGCAGCGCATAAAATACCTGATTGAGTTCAGCCTTCCTGAAGATACTGTGAAAGAGCAACCACTTGCTGCTGTAACATGGGGGACTGATGTACCAACTGATGTAGACATGGATGATGAAAATGATGATTCTGAGCCAAATAAGGATATAGGTTGGTGTCTGGGTGATATTAACTTTTCATTATATAAATGAATCGCATTTGAGCCTATCTTTCTATTATTTAACAGCAGTATCACTATCAATCAATATCTATAAAGGCAGCCTAATGCTTTACATGTATAGGTACATGACATGTCAAATTAGTTGGACTTGGTGAATTTCAAGATCCCAAAAAGAACAGATCTGTAACTATTGCATAGACCTGAGTAAGATGGAATGAGTAATACCATTAATAAACCTTAACTGAACTTTCCATTGCACATTTACATAACACGGTGACTCTGAGATGGAATCAAAAGATTACAATAGTATGTGTTACTTAAATTATTATTCAGGTCTGGATGACATCAAGAATATATCAGACCCCATGGACAATGTTCAGGCAGGTTTACAATCAGATGGTGAAGCACCAGTTCCTTTACAATCTGTGCATATCAGAGCTGAACTTGTAGATCTTGCTGCAAAGGTAAGGTTAGAATCATTCTTGTCATGGGACATGAGAATGTCCTCATCATCCTCTTCAAAAATGCCTTCAACATGTATCAATAGAATGGCGTTGTTATTTCCAGATACATGATCAATGGCCATATGGACAAAAGAACAACTCACTAGAGTTAATAAATGAACTGCCATTTTTTTTTTTTTTTTATTTCCTTTATTTCATAATACATCATACAAACAGATACAGGGCCTACGCCAAAGCATTATTGGCCCTGTTATTATTGCCATCTGTATGAATCTTGGTTCCCATTAAAACATGTAATGTTAGCATTAAGTACAGTAGTTGGGTTAAGAGACGAACTAAATTCTCACATGTTCATGTAATTGCATTTTTGATTTTTCTCCTATAGGTTGTTGTACTGCAGGAGTACAGGAATGAAAGCAATGTTCCCATAGAAGCCAAATATGTGTTCCCTCTAAATGACATGTGTGCAGTGGTGGGCTTTGAAGCATTCATTAATGGCAAACACATCATTGGAGAGGTAAGAATAAATTGTGCACCCTCCGGAGTGAGTCTTTGGCCATGATCTTAAATGTTAGGTACATTGTAACTACATATTGATGTTTAAAGACTTACTTTAGAGGGTAAATCAAAGCCAACTGTGTTGAATTTCTTGTAAAATCAAACATTACAGGTGTATGTATGAGTACCATGACAACAATTATTTCAATGTGTATTAAAGAATCTCATTTATAACACCAGTACAATGCATAAGGCTATCTCCTTCAGTGAAAAGTATGACCAAGTTCAACATCTTCAGATTGAACCCACCTACATGTAGCCCAAATGCCTAAACAATGTGTATGATAATTTCCAGGTGAAGGAGAAAGAGGTTGCCCACAAGGAGTACAAGAAAGCCATCAGTGAGGGACATGGGGCTTACCTGATGGACCAAGATGTTGAGACACCTGTGAGTTAATTATTGTTCTCTATAGGATCAGCTGTTGAATTTTGAAACATATGTATGGTTAATATTTAGCTGTCTGATAAAGATGTACATGTAGGGCAACTTTGACATCAGCAGTTGGATTTTGATAGGATAAGCTAAGCTACGCTACTAGTATATTGGGTCTAGAATTTGGGCATATATTTAGGAACAACTTGCAATAACATATTCAACCAAATTTTCAATATGCTGTACACATACATGTCATCTTTCAATTTTGGGATAAATGTATGTTTTATAAATCACACTGAGTTCATTCATTCTTCTAGTCCTTTTTCCAGTTACAGTGTTACATGTCTATCCCTTTCATTTAAGGATGTATTCACAGTAAGTGTAGGCAACCTACCAGCTCAGGCCAGTGTTCTTATTAAGATCACATATGTTGCTGAACTACAAGTTGAGGGAGACAACATATGTTTCACCCTACCTGGCAGTGTAGCACCTTGGAAGAAGGAGACTGCCCTAGATGAGAAAACACAGGTATTTTTTATTTTAGTGAATTAAATATATATACCATATTCCATAACTACAAATATACGCCAGGGTTCTCACCAGGAAATTTTTAGACCCCGGATTTTATTGTGACTACTTTTTTCACAGTATTGCGACTACTTCTCCTGGTTGTGAGATCAGAGATATCTTATTAGTATACTTTTCAACATACTTCTTAAGATTATCTTGCTATATCAATCCCAATATTTATTTCTAAAAGGTTTCTGACTTCCTATTCCTTGTTTGTATCCAGTTTTATGTATTTTCTCAAGAATTTTACCGCAAATAATGTGACAAAAATGTAAAATTAGACTCTGGAAAAAACACTTTAGACGATCCGGAAAAGCTATTAGACTCTGGAGCAAGAGGGTTTTAAGACATTAGACTCCGGAGAATCTCTGGAGTCTAAAAGCCTAGTAAGAACCCTGTACACATTAAAGCACTTGATTAACATTTGAAATCCGATGGTTTAAGAGTGTCCCAAGTTTTCCCCTTCATAGCAGGTGGTTCATGGCAAATCATAAGATGTGGAGCATCAATTGTAAATCTAGGTGTGACATCTACCATTTCCCGTAACCAACGGAGATGGCAGTCACATTTCCAGGGATTGGCCCAAAGATATGCTGTCGACAACTTTGGTAATATCCCCGTCCCATTTAGTGTCTGCATGTTTAGCTCGGCTACACTGTTGATCGTCATCCAAAGTGCATCTAGGTTTTTCAGTGGAGCGAATGCATTAGCACTTATATTACTGATCTTGTTTTCATCTATGTAAAGGGTCTTTACGTTCACTAGGCCTTTGAAGGTGTCATCTGTTAGGGTCGTTAGAGCACAGCTTGTTGCATCAAAAATAGTTAGGCTCTCAAGGTCACGAAATGCACCATCAGCGATTCCTGTTACCGAATTGTTCCAAAATGCAAGAGTCTGAAGTTGATGCATCCCTGCTAGGCAATCAACTGGGACATAAGTCAGTTGATTGAACGCGACATCTAGGTTCTGTAGGGTCTTTGGTAACATTGGGATCATCTTGGAAAGCTTGCATCCTCGCATACTCAAGTCACCTAGTTTTGTGAGATGTAGAAATATTCCATCGGGGAGACCTGGTGTTGGTATTGGGTTCCAGTCAGCACGGAATAACTGTAAATTACTTTGATCCTTTAAAAGGTTTCTAGGTAAGCTTTCAAGTTTATTAAAGGAGATATCCAGATGTTGAAGTTGCTTCAAACCTTTGAAGGCATCTTCGGCAAGTGTTGTACTATTTAACGTTTGGAGCAAATACAGATATGTCAATGTTTTTGGGAGTCCTTTTGGGACCTGGTCTAAATAATTATAGCCCAAATCCAGATTTGATAATTTTGGTAGTCCTGCAAAGGATCCTGGGTAAAGACCTCCACTGGTGATTTGATTGCTGCTTATATCCAATTGTTGTAGTTCAGGAAATGCTGAAAACATATTGTTGGGGATTTCACTGAAGCTGTTCATATTGATGATAAGTGTGGTAGTATTACGTGGTATTCCTGCTGGTAATTTACTAATACCCATCCTGCTACAGTTCACAAAAGTTTTATCGCAGTAGCAGTCTCGAGGAAGGTTTGGGCATCCTTGACCTCCCAGGCTCAATCCAACACAAATAACCAGTAAAGTCCCTAGTATGTAGGTACATTTGTCAATTAAAGCAATCATTTTTGTTTCACTGTAATTCTTTATGTTCTTATGATCTGCAAAATCTGACTTAATTTTGCGTCGTTACTTTTCAGTACAAATTCACGGTCACTTTTGAGACACATCTGCCCCTGTGTCTGTAATTGTTGATTATTAGTGGCTCTGTCTACTGATACTGTAAGCAAGCAGACTATGATCCGAATTGTTATCTTTTATACAATAATTCACCCTATTATTGATAAGATGTATTGTTTATTTTTATTGGTATTGTTTATATTATCAATTTTTATCAGGAGAGGTCAGATCAAGGTCAATGTGCATTATGTATAGCACTTTTATAAATACATCCACATGTGTAGAACCTACGTGTAGCTATATGGGTGACCTAGGCCTTTTTACTGGAATCAACCATATGGAAAGATAAGATACCCAATTGCTTTGAAAAGTTATGTTTTGTTATGTTTTGGCTGGGGTAGGAAAAAGGCAAATGTGTCTTCTTCATAACTCTAAACCTTATGTTCTGTTGACATACATATCTATAAAAGAGTCCTTTGTTAAACTACTTGTGCATGTTCTCCTATAAGAATGAAAGATATTTTCAAAAATTATTTCCATCTTGTTTTCAGTCTGATGTACATACAGTGAAAGTAGATAAGGACGAGTCAGACTATGTCACTGTACAGGTGTCTGTACGTATGCCCTTCAACATACATACACTACACTGCCCAACACACAAGGTCAAAATGAAGGTAGGTGTTGTATATTTAGAACTTTTTGAACTCCTTTTAGTGTTTCTAAGAGCATACACTACACTGCCCAACACACAATGTCAAAATGAAAGTAGGTTTCAACCTCAAGAAGTGAAACACTTCCTTTTTGAACTCCTTTTAGTGTTCCACTTATTATATTTTACTGTATTTCTGTGCTCCTATTAAGGTACAGGTAATTAATTGATGTAAATAAAAATTTCAGCAAACTGCTGACAAAGCTGTAGTTGAACTCCAGAAGAATCAACAACTTGGAGAGGGGTTCACCCTCCTTATTGGGTTAGCAGAAATTCATGTACCAAGAATGTGGGTGGAGGAACACCCAGATAAAGACAGTCAGGTGAGTGCATGGAGGGTGACAAGAGAATCACTGGTGCCAGAAACAAAGGGCAATAATAGAAAAACAAGATTAATGCTCATTTGCCATGCTTGTTTACAGAGAATGACATTTATACTCTTTCAAAATTAAGCAGAAATCTGCCCTCAAAAATCATGCTATAAGTGCATCGAGGTAGCTTATTAAAAAAGTCATGAAAAACCTTTTGCTCAATAAGTATCCATGTTTTTCTAGGCATGTATGCTGACATTTTACCCTGAGTTTGAGGCTGTGTCTGATGAAAGCTATGAAATAATATTCATGTTGGATGTATCTAACTCAATGAAGGGAGCAGCCCTTCTTGATGCTAGGAAAATACTATTGCTCACTCTCCAGCATCTGCCACAGGGATCATCCTTCAATGTTGTTTTATTTGGAACAGGTAATGGGACATTTGTTTCATATGTTACACACTGAATCCTCCAGTATTGTCTCTATCATTTCAGATGGTAAGAGGCATTTTGTTATATAAATCCTGAAGAGCATTTATTGCTCAACAATAAACTGAACTTTCATTTCTTTGTGATATTTTCAGCAACTTATGATTATTTCTCAAAGATTACACAGGCACTGAACACACTTTAAATTATAAGGGTGTTTTCTTTTTCAAATTATAATGATTAACAGTTAACTACATGTTTTGTACATTTTAGGTTTTGAAGAACTTTTCCCATGCAGCGTGCAAAATACAAAAGCCAATATGAAGCTAGCCCAAGAATTTATCAAGGTCAGTTGCTTTATGTTTCTCTTTTTGTATATTTTATAGTGTTTCTTTGTGTGGTTGTCACTCCCTCTGAACAAAAATAGAATTTGGATTGTTGAAAGTATATATTCTTTTGTGACCCAATGTGACAATATCTACAATGAAAACATTTTAGCAAAGTTTAATATGAAACATGTTAGTTTTTTATACATTAGCCTTCCAGATGGCATTGGCCATTCAACATGATCTGTAATAATACTATAAAAATTCAATAATCTTATGAGACAAGGAAAACATGGGATTTGAAATGACCTTGACCTTTATAAACGATCTTGATCTTACATTATTACCCCTTTATTGACCTTTGACCCCAAGTTTATCTCGGATTAAATGCAATTTAATAGGACTATATTATAGAATGCCAAAGCAGACCAAGGGAACACAGAAGCCTCTAGACCCCTACAGACATACTTGCTGCTGGCCCCAACAGAGAACATACGAAACATCATGCTCTTATCAGATGGCCATATTAACAACAGTGATTCTACATTACATGCTCTAAAGTGTAATTGCAAACATACCAGGCTGTTTTCTATGGGAGTAAGGTAGGTGGCACTATTGTCTCTTAAATTTTAAAGGTCTAGTGTATGTTTGCTGAAATATTTTGTCATGAGATGGTGTATTTCTAGTTCTCGATGTACTGATCAGAAATAAGTAAATGATAGAATTGTACTTACACATATATGTATACACATGCTTTTAAACACATGAAAAATTATAATGTGCATCAATGCAGGAAATAAATTTTGACTGTGTTGTTTCACCATGAAAACGTTTTATCCCATTTCTGTTTCCAGTGGGACTGCTAACAAGCACATGTTGAGAGCACTGGCCAGTGCAGGTGCTGGAGCATTTGAGTTCTTTGACAGTAAAAGAAAATCTAAGTCGGAAAATAAGGTATTACAATAGCCTAGATGCCAACATGTAGCTACTAATTCCACCACAAGGAAGCAAACTTGTATCAGATGACATGACAGGCATACAAAACTTCCCATAAGCTTGAATAATTTATAGATTCAGTTGATGGATTTTGATTTGAAACTTACAAGTTTAAAGTCAAGTTGTCTGTATTTCATACAATTTATTCGATACCAAATTTTAAACTCTTCATAGTATTTAAAATGATTAATTAATGTGATTTTTCTGCCCATTAACTAACCAATGCTCAGGGTGATCCAAAAATGTTACTCTCTAATTCTGGAATATCCGGAAGAGTGAAAACTCCTTTCTAATTTAGAAATTTTGAAATTATTCTAAAACTATAGGATGATGTTTTTGGGGTCACCCTGTATAAATGCATTATCATTATAGATCAAGAGTCAACTGTCCAAGGCAGGGCAGCCAGGGTTAACATCTGTCTCCATAGACTGGGAACAGCATGATGATAATGGTCGCTATGCTAAACCTCTACAAGCCCCTAGTCAGATCTCTTCATTGTTTAGTGGATCAAGACAAGTTGTCTATGGCTTTGTGCCTAACTGTCTCATGGTATGTTTTACCTTTAATATTATACAGTTCTTTGAAGTCATTTTCTCACTCATAACTTTTTTTCCTGAGCCACTTTATTAAATTATTTGCATGATTAGGATTAGACTATGCATTTTGGGTACAGTCTGTATTGTTGTAATCTTAGGTGCAAGCAAAAATCTGCAGCCGAATCAGTGTTCATTGTTACAAGTACTCGTACATGTATGTTTTCTTTTGTTAGGCAACTTTACATGCAGAGATTGATGGCCATGAGGTCTCAACAATGGTGTCTACTTCTGACTTGAGTGTCACCCATGGTACACTCTTGCATCAACTTACAGCTAGGGGATCACATCCCATATATACATGTTTGTTTTCATTTGTTAGGCAACTTTACATGCAGAGATTGATGGCCATGAGGTCTCAACAATGGTGTCTACTTCTGACTTGAGTGTCACCCATGGTACACTCTTGCATCAACTTACAGCTAGAGGATCACATCCCATATATACATGTATGTTTTCATTTGTTAGGCTACTTTACATGCAGAGATTGATGGCCATGAGGTCTCAACAATGGTGTCTACTTCTAACTTGAGTGTCACCCAAGGCTTACTCTTGCATCAACTTACAGCTAGGGGATCACATCCCATATATACATGTATGTTTTCATTTGTTAGGCTACTTTACATGCAGAGATTGATGGCCATGAGGTCTCAACAATGGTGTCTACTTCTGACTTGAGTGTCACCCATGGTACACTCTTGCATCAACTTACAGCTAGGGGATCACATCCCATATATACATGTTTGTTTTCATTTGTTAGGCAACTTTACATGCAGAGATTGATGGCCATGAGGTCTCAACAATGGTGTCTACTTCTGACTTGAGTGTCACCCATGGTACACTCTTGCATCAACTTACAGCTAGAGGATCACATCCCATATATACATGTTTGTTTTCATTTGTTAGGCTACTTTACATGCAGAGATTGATGGCCATGAGGTCTCAACAATGGTGTCTACTTCTGACTTGAGTGTCACCCATGGTACACTCTTGCATCAACTTACAGCTAGGGGATCACATCCCATATATACATGTTTGTTTTCATTTGTTAGGCAACTTTACATGCAGAGATTGATGGCCATGAGGTCTCCACAATGGTGTCTACTTCTGACTTGAGTGTCACCCATGGTACACTCTTGCATCAACTTACAGCTAGGGGATCACATCCCATATATACATGTTTGTTTTCATTTGTTAGGCAACTTTACATGCAGAGATTGATGGCCATGAGGTCTCAACAATGGTGTCTACTTCTGACTTGAGTGTCACCCATGGTACACTCTTGCATCAACTTACAGCTAGAGGTGTCATAAGAGACTGGGAAGAGGGCACTTTAGCTTTACAGAGAACGGAACATGAGGTAGGTCTATACATAAATAAGTTAATCTTGATAATGTACATGTAGTGCAACAATTTACAGAAAAATTGCTTTTGATTTATGGCTCTTTAATTTGTCCCTATATATTTATTTCACTCAGAATAAACTCTATATACATAAAGCAAAACATCCAAAGAAACCAAGTGATTAAATGTTCTGCTCATTTACATCTTGTTCACTTTTGAATTTTTCCTCTGGGATTTTCTTGTTTAAGACAACCCCTATGGGAGCATTTGAAGACATGGTGTGTTTAATAGAGAGAATTTGCTATATTCTATTTAATACTTAAATTCGATATTCTCTAAGTTGCATTCTGCTTCTGATTCTTATATAGGCAGAGAAGATGAAGAGAAAAAAGCAAATCATCAACCTAAGTGTAGAATACTCGATCGTGACGCAGTTCACAAGTTTTGTCGCTGTTGAAAAGAGGGACAAGGTAATCATATTCATTTTACTCATTTCTGTGGAGAAATTTGAGCTCAGGACAGATTCATCTTAATTTACGTGTAGAATAATGAATCCCTTCTGTGTCTAGCTGTAATACCTTGAAATTGTTATACAATAAGTATAGATGTCAGTCACATTGATCATTTTGGCTTTGATTGGCTCTATATGGAATTATAAGTTGGTTGTTTAGGGAAGGCTGCTCATTTAGTTATTGAGTTAAAAATGAAACTCTGACTGGATCAGCAGCTTACCCTCTAGACAGCTTTAAACACCATAGAATCTACGATTTACCACCCCAACTGCTTTAAAGACCATGGATTCTGCAGTTTATCCTACAGTCGGCTTTAAACACCACATAATCTGCAGTTTCTCCTACAGTCAGCTTTAAACACCACATAATCTGCAGTTTATCCTACAGTCAGCTTTAAACAACACATAATCTGCAGTTAATCCTACAACCAGCTTTAAACACCACATAATCTGCAGTTTATCCCACAGTCAGCTTTAAACACCACATAATCTGCAGTTTAGCATTGAGTCAGCTTCAAACACTCTAGTATCAACTGAAGTCAGCTTTAAACACCACATAATCTTCAGTTTATCCTACAGTCAGCTTTAAACACCACATAATCTGCAGTTTATAGTACAGTCAGCTTTAAACACCACATATTCTACAGTTTATCCTACAGTCAGCTTTAAACACCACATAATCTGCAGTTTATCCTACAGTCAGCTTTAAACACCACATAATCTGCAGTTTATCCTACAGTCAGCTTTAAACACCACATTATCTGCAGCTACCCTTCAGCCAGCTTTGAACACCACATTATCTGCAGTTTATCCCACAGTCAGCTTTAAACACCACATAATCTGCAGTTTATCCTACAATCACCTTTAACACTTCAGATTCTGCAGTTTACCTCCAATCAGCTTTTACACCACATAATTTGCAGTCTCGTGATTTAGCTGAAAAGATTACTTATTATTTATACCCTATTTTATTTTTTATAATAAGATACTGAAGAATGAAAAGATTATATGTTCAAATGACTTACTTACAAATGACGTACATGTAATAAGCCCATGCCTATGTATGAAAGTTAAAGAAAATCAAGGAGTTGTGCTGTGTATACATTTGAGTTACTACCCCTAAGATATTATGCTTATTAGACTCAGAAGTGGTATCAAGTGACCAGTGACAATCTTCATTAGTTGACAAGTGTGTGTATTACAATCTATTAGTAAATGTTACTCATAGGTAAGCTCATTAGATTCCCCAGAACATTAACCTGTTTAGGGGAGGCATCAAAAGTTCGATGTCAGATCGGTTACCAAATAAATCTTGTTTTGACTTTAACCCCCCCCCCCCTCCCCCAGAAAACTAAATACCATAAAAGTTGATCGCTGACTTCTAGTTTGAGAATTTGAAAAATTATTTCTAAAAACGACCTAGTTTTGTTAATTCCTATCGTAATTTGCAGCTTTCAACAACTATTGATAGAATCTGAGACTAATCCATTGGAATTATCTTGACGAAGAGAGCATTAGGTAAAATCTTCATTTTTAAACCATTCCAAGGCATTCTGAGTCAAAATTGCAAAAGATTTAATTTGAAATGTTGAAAATTTTCGCATAGCAAACTGAAATGGATTTGAACCCCCCCCCCCCCCCAACTAGATTTATTTAGATTTCGATCCGACATCGAACTTTTGATGCCTCCCCTTATGTATATCAACTTTCATGCAAGATTAGTATTACCTTTATCAGATTCCTATTCAATTCTGTACTCAGATGACATGCTACTATTTTTTATTCAAAGACAATTACAGTCTTTAAACTGCACTCAAACCTACCATCATTCTTTATCAGTATTAAGTGTCTCTCATTTGTTTTGTATTATCTTTATTCTATTGTACAAAAATAGAAACCTAAGTTATTCACGCAATCCATCAATTGTATGTGAATCGATAATGAAGATCAATTAAGTATGTCAATCTAGATCAAGACCAGTTCAACTACTGGGGTACAGTATATCATTAGACTGCAGAAAAACTAGATTCTATTTTTGCTTCTTTTTTCTTTCATTATTTTTTCAATTTGAATAGTTTCTAAATAGCTGAAAAATGCTTACATAATAGATGTCACCCTTTCTTGTCTTTGATTTTCTAGGGCCAGACCTCCACTCAATTCAATGCTAGAAACTTGCAATAGGCACTTAATTTCATGATTTATCAAAAAGTGTTGGTTGAATCTGTCTGAAACTCGAATGGAATACTATTGGATGGCCCTGTCAATGTACATATTGTGATTAAACATGAAAATATTGGTTGTCATACGAATAAATCAAGGTTTTAATGGATTTCAGCATTGCACCAATGAAGATTTGGCCCAAGTTTTTTAAAATGTCATGGAAAATGATTTAAATGACATAACTGCGTAAATCTAAGCTATAATTGGAGAAAATTTGTCACTGAATCCAAATATGCTATCAAAAATAAAGAAAAGTAATTCATCAGAGGAAAAAAGTGCAAATCTCTTAAAATCTCATTTAAAAACGAGAATTAGCGAGATTTCAAAGCTATAGTTACAAAATTGGCCTAGCCTGAGAAATCAATTAAGGACAATAGCAGAAATTAATCTCAGGATAGGATACCTACATGCCACAATTTTTTCCAAGATTTACCAACATAATTAAAACAAATATGCTGCAAAGGAAGACATTCCATGCATTTCATTCATCTTTATGTACACTTTAATAGTAGAATTAATGAGAACTTTTGTCACAATCTGAGTTTTTATTTGCCTGCTTTGGTATTCCTTTGAAGACAAGCTATGACATTCCAACAAATACATGACTCTTGCCAATAAATATTAGACCCTTAAATGCCATTTGAATTAAAAAAACATTTCAATTCAAATAAATACAAGACCAGTTAAATTCCAAGAAACACAAACCCCTTAAAAGGCCAACGCAACAACAAGACCCTTTAAATTTACATAAATGCAAATTCCTTTTAATTGCAATAAATACAATAGAACCTCCAATGAATACAAGGCCCTTTAAATCTTAACAAGTATAAACTTAAGTTTCCAAAGAGTACAAGACCCTGTAAATTCTAATTCCGAAGATAATTAAAATGCCAAGAAATACAAGACCCATCAAGCTCTGACAAGTACAAGACCCTTTAAATTACAATAAATGCAATACACTCTAAATGCCAAAGACATAAGACCGTTTAAATTTGACCAAATACAAGACCATATTAACTCCAATAAATACAAGGCCATTTAAATGCCAACAAATACAAGACCCATCAAGCTCTGACAAGTACAAGACCCTTTAAATTACAATAAATGCAATACACTCTAAATGCCAAAGACATAAGACCGTTTAAATTTGACCAAATACAAGACCATATTAACTCCAATAAATACAAGGCCATTTAAATGCCAACAAATACAAGACCCATCAAGCTCTGACAAGTACAAGACCCTTTAAATTACAATAAATGCAATACACTCTAAATGCCAAAGACATAAGACCGTTTAAATTTGACCAAATACAAGACCATATTAACTCCAATAAATACAAGGCCATTTAAATGCCAACAAATACAAGACCCATCAAGCTCTGACAAGTACAAGACCCTTTAAATTACAATAAATGCAATACACTCTAAATGCCAAAGACATAAGACCGTTTAAATTTGACCAAATACAAGACCATATTAACTCCAATAAATACAAGGCCATTTAAATGCCAACAAATACAAGACCCACCAAGCTCTGACAAATACAAGACCCTTCAAATTCCAATAAATGCAATACATTCTAAATGATACAAGACCGTTTAAATTTGACCAAATACAAGACCATATTAACTCCAATAAATACAAGGCCATTTAAATGCCAACAAATACAAGACCCACCAAGCTCTGACAAATACAAGACCCTTCAAATTCCAATAAATGCAATACATTCTAAATGATACAAGACCCTTCAAATTTGACCAAATACAAGACCATATTAACTCCAATAAATACAAGGCCATTTAAATGCCAACAAGTATAAGACCCTCAAATGCCAAGAAATACAAGCTCCTTTAAATTTCAACAAATACAAGACACTTTAGATGCCAACAAATATAAGATCCTTTTAATAACCAAGATATATAAGATCTTTACATGCCAAGAAATGAAAATCCCCTTAAATTCTGAGAAATACAAGACCCCTTAAATTCTAAAAACTTCAACAAGACCCCTTAAATTCCCACAAATACAAGGCACTTTAAATGCAAAGAAATACAAGACCCTTTAAATTCTAACAATACTAGGCTCTAGATGCCAATAAATGCAAGACCCTTGAAATGCCAAGAAATACAAAACCCCTTAAACCTTAACAAATACAAGACCCTTGAAATGCCAACATATACCAGTCCAAATTTCATGTCATTTTGTAATAAGATTAAGCTCAATGTTGGTGTATAGCTAATCAATTGATGCACTCAATTATTCATTAAAAAGGAAGCTAGAAGATTATTAAAGATATAAATACATTCACTAAGATGGTGAAAATAGCTCATCACAACTTCTTATGAAATTAACACGCAAAAATCTTTTTTGATCCAAAATGTTAGTTCCTTCCTGTATAAGCTTACCTTGTGTGTTTATATTTCAAAATGTTTTTGTTTTAAAAAATATTTCATTGGAATTTTTGCTCATCTTTTGTCAGTAGATCACCATCATTCAATTTATTTTGATATTACTTTATGTCTTCATTGGGATTATTTCTACATCATTGACATGATACGATTATCTCAAAACTTTATTTATATCTATTGATATCACATTGACATTATGAGATTTTATTTTTTATCAGTTAGCCTCAACATATTATTATTAACTACTACTGGTTGGAAAAATAATTTTTCAAAGTATTATTGTTCAGATGAAAAATTGCCTTCCATTGGATTTCTGAACCTAGCTTACC